GAGGCTTGATTCTTAGCCTCAGTTCTTCCGATCTGTAAAATGGGAGCCTCAAAAAATTCGTGGGAAGCAGGGTGAGATAAGGGTGGTGAAATATCCTATATTCTGAACCTTCTATGTGTACAGTGGCTGGCATAAATCACCTCTGATGCCTTCAGTTTGGGAGGAATATTTGGTTGACTATGGAGGGGAGCCAGTTCGCAGTCCTTTGGAGAGGAATATGAGCCTTTAATTATTCTGATTCTACAAAGATGATTTATGTGCAATGCTTTCCAGGCACACCTATAACTTGGTTATTATTATTCCTGGCTGCTCTTTTGGATTTTCTTTTTAAGGCAAGGGTTTAATTGCATGTAATAGGGTGGATGGTTAACAGCCCGATAGACATCTGTCATGAGCAATTTGGGCGTGGCAGATCTTGCCTCCGGCAGGGAGGATAAATTAGGCGCTGTTTTGCACTACCAGGCTCTATGGCTACCTCTTTCATGTTTATTAATATCTATTTCTATTTATTAAAATATTTCTCTACCCCATCTCATTGACAACAACAAGGCTGGTGTACAGGAAAACAGACGTACAATAAAATTACAACTCAGCTGCTAGGTCAATGGAAAGCTCAGTTAAAAAAAATTTAAAATGGCGGTACAAGTTGCAGCACAAGCAGCAAGTGCTGACTGCCACAATTCAGAGAGGAGGCGGTTCTACAGAGAGGGCAGGACTCCAACTCTAAGATTCTACGCACAATTTGTGGCCCATCAGACTAAATACAGCTCACCAGCTACATCTGGCATGCTTTTGAACAGCTGCATGGAACTGCTGAGGGAAGTTATCTGGAGATTTGGGGGGCAGTGTCATCAGTATACTGATGATAGTATAATGGGGGACTTCAATTACCCGGATATTTGTTGGATGTCAAACTCAGCCAAGAGCATAAGGTCAAACAGATTCCTCACTGGCCTTGCAGACAACTTCATTGTCCAGAAAGTGGGAGAAGCAACAAGAGGAACAGCCATTTTAGATCTGGTCCTAACCAATGTTGATGACCTGGTTAGTGGGGTAGAAGTGGAAGGATCATTAGGCGCGAGTGATCATGCTCTTCTGAAGTTTACTATACAGCGGAAAGGAGCAGCCAAGCATACTAGGACTCAATTTCTTGACTTTAAGAAAGCCGACTTCATAAAACTTAGGGAAGTGCTGGGTGAGATCCCATGGACAGTAATACTAAAAGGAAAGGGAGTTCATGATGGCTGGGAGTTTGTTAAGAGGGAGATAGTAAAAGCACAACGTCAGGCAATACCAATGAGACGGACACATGGAAGGTGCCTAAAGAAGCCAGGGTGGCTATCTAAAGAACTTTTAACTGAGTTAGGATTAAAAAAGGATGTGTACAAAAAATGGAAAAGGGGGGAAACCACCAAAGAGGAATTCAAACAAATAGCCATCATGTGTAGACACAAAGTCAGAAAAGCTAAAGCACAGAATGAACTCAGGCTTGCTAGAGAGGTTAAAAGCAACAAAAAAGGCTTTTATGGGTATGTTTGTAGCAAAAGGAAGAACAAAGAAACAGTAGGGTCACTCAGATGAGAAGATGGTGAAATGCAAACAGGGGACACAGAAAGGGCTGAACTCCTCAATGCCTTCTTTGCCTCAGTCTTCTCCGATAAAGAAAACAATGCCTGACCTGAAGAATTTGGAGCAAATGATTCAGCAAAGGAAACACAGCCCAGAATAACTAAGGAGATAGTACAAGAATACTTGGCTAGTTTAGATGTATTCAAGTCTCCAGGGCCAGATGAACTGCATCCAAGAGTATTAAAAGAACTGGCAGATGTGATCTCAGAACCACTGGCAGTCATCTTTGAGAATTCCTGGAGAACAGGCGAAGTCCCGGAAGACTGGAGGAGGGCAAATGTTGTCCCTATTTTCAAAAAGGGGAAAAGAGAGGACCCAAATAATTACCGCCCAGTCAGTCTGACATCAATACCAGGGAAGATTCTGGAGCAGATCATTAAGCAAACAGTCTGTGAGCACCTAGAAAGGAATGCTGTGATCACCAATAGTCAGCATGGATTTCTGAAAAATAAGTCATGTCAGACTAACCTGATCTCGTTTTTTGACAGAATTACAAGCCTGGTAGATGAAGGGAACGCAGTGGATGTAGCCTACCTTGATTTCAGCAAGGCATTTGACAAGGTGCCCCATGATATTCTTGTCAAGAAGCTGGTAAAATGCGGTCTTGACTATGCTACCACTCAGTGGATTTGTAACTGGCTGACTGACCGAACCCAAAGGGTGCTCATCAATGGTTCCTCTTCATCCTGGAGAAGAGTGACTAGTGGGGTGCCACAGGGTTCTGTCTTGGGCCCGGTCTTATTCAACATCTTTATCAATGACTTGGATGATGGACTCAAGGGCATCCTGATCAAATTTGCAGATGACACCAAACTGGGAGGGGTGGCTAACACCCCAGAGGACAGGATCACATTTCAAAACGACCTTGACAGATTAGAGAACTGGGCAAAAACAAACAAGATGAAATGAATTTTAACAGGGAGAAATGTAAAGTATTGCACTTGGGCAAAAAAAATGAGAGGCACAAATACAAGATGGGTGACACCTGGCTTGAGAGCAGTACATGTGAAAAGGATCTAGGAGTCTTGGTTGACCACAAACTTGACATGAGCCAACAGTGTGACGCGGCAGCTAAAAAGCCAATGCAATTCTGGGCTGCATTAATAGGAGTATAGCATCTAGATCAAGGGAAGTAATAGTGCCACTGTATTCTGCTCTGGTCAGACCTCACCTGGAGTACTGTGTCCAGTTCTGGGCACCACAGTTCAAGAAGGACACTGACAAACTGGAACGTGTCCAGAGGAGGGCAACCAAAATGGTCAAAGGCTTGGAAACGATGCCTTATGAGGAACGGCTAAGGGAGCTGGGCATGTTTAGCCTGGAGAAGAGGAGGTTAAGGGGTGATATGATAGCCATGTTCAAATATATAAAAGGATGTCACATAGAGGAGGGAGAAAGGTTGTTTTCTGCTGCTCCAGAGAAGCGGACACGGAGCAATGGATCCAAACTACAAGAAAGAAGATTCCACCTAAACATTAGGAAGAACTTCCTGACAGTAAGAGCTGTTCGACAGTGGAATTTGCTGCCAAGGAGTGTGGTGGAGTCTCCTTCTTTGGAGGTATTTAAGCAGAGGCTTGACAACCATATGTCAGGAGTGCTCTGATGGTGTTTCCTACTTGGCAGGGGGTTGGACTCGATGGCCCTTGTGGTCTCTTCCAACTCTATGATTCTATGATATACAACTCAATCCTTTTTCTTCAAATTCAAGGGAGGCTACAGAAGTTCTGAAAACGCCCTGGGGTCTGTGATGGGCTGGAATTGCTGTTGGCCAGGGGCTGAGCCAATGAGAGGTTAGATGCTCATCTTAAGATGGATTACTATCACCTTCTCACCTTGTGACGTGATTTGTGCCGTTATCATCCTCCCTTGATCATCCTTAAATACTTGTTTCGGGTCTAACTTAGATTTAATATATCATACCACTCCTCTTTTCTTTGTTTTATCTGAGGTTATAAATTCCATTCCAATTCTTTTATTTATCAACACTTTTCTATGTCTTTTAGCCACATGAGTTTCTTGTAGGCAAACTATATCCAAATTTTGTTTTAAGATTGCATGTTCACTTTTATTCCTTTTTGTTTTACTATTTAAAACATTTACATTCCAAATTAATATCTTGAGATCAGCCATTCTGATATTTATCTTTTAATTAGAATCTTGTTTCTCTCTTCTTGAATACCTGTAATATCTTTGGCCGTTTCCTCTTCCTCACCTCCTGTTGCTCCCTGTTCCCCTACCATTGGTTTAGCTTTTCCTCTTTTTTATACCTCCTCCAAAACTTCTGTGTCTCGTCCACGTCTCTGCATCTCTGTTTCTTATTTTTGTGTGTAAAAGAAATTCCTTCTTGGACTTCTCATCTATAAGGTATTTTATTGTTTCTCAAAGGCGTCTGTTAGAAAGTTATAATTTATGCATTTTTCTTAAGAAGACAGGTTGGAATTTCCTTCCTCCAGTTTGTAATCTGTTTTGGTAGTTTGTATTATTCTGTCTTTAATTGATCTTGAATTAAAAATCACCAAACGGTCTCCTGGTAATTTCCTAATCTTTGCAAAATTTGATTTAACATGATAGATCCTGTCAAATGAACCATCCAGCTCCTCCTCTATATTTCTAACCATTCAGACAATGTGTTAATTAAATACTCTTTTACATTCTCCTCCTCTTGCTCTGGGACTCCTCTAAAAAGTAAAATCATCTCCCGCTGCTTCATTTCCTAAGCCAATATTGCATCCCAGCTTGTTTCCTGAGTGGCACAGACAGGTATGAGGTTATGATAAAAACTGGGCAGGAAAACAGAAGGGTGTTTCAAAGAGGAATTGTTTCTCTTTGTGTGATCAATCAATCAATCAATTGGTCTCCGAGTCCTGACTATTCTGAACCTTAACTTGGAGCAGACTGACAATGTATAATCAAATTGACAGATATTACTGAAAATGAATGAAGCATGTAGCTGTCTCAAGACCCCTTCCCAGCCCCAAATGTTTTCTTTTCCTTTTTTTCTTGGAGGAAGGTCCCCCTGCACATTAGGCTATACTCTGTGTATGCAGGCATGTGTAAGGGATGCTACCCTTCTGAGTGTGATCAGCTCTCCATTGGATGGAGGGGACAGGGGAGAGAAAATGATCATATAAAAACAATGGCATTTGGAAAGGGAAAAGTTGAAGCGTAAAGGTTGATTCCTAGAGAGAAAGGCAGACCACACAGAAAGCAATGTCTAGAATCTTCATTAAGTTCTCTACAAGTGTTCTCAATTCAAATGGAAGCCCAGCTGCCCTGCAGCTGCTCTTTGTGGCAACAGGAAAGCAAGAAGCACTGCTCCTGCTTGCCTACGTTTTCTGAAGACCTCCTTCTGGGCAGGCCAATTCTCCGTCTCACTGCCTTGCCATGTTGTTTTTTAGCATGGACAGGAGATGTTGGCTGGGTACAATCTTTGGATTGATCCGACCGCCGCAGCGTCTAAAAAGCTCCTCGCTGGCCGCCACCGCAGCGTTTGAGACAGCCACGTCCAAGTCACCCTGAAGGTCCAGGAGAGCTGCAATGGAAGAAGGAACATGAGAACCACAGCAGAGTCCTCCTGGATCAGGCCCATGTCCTGCGTCCTCTTCTCACAAAGGACAACCAGATGCGCCCACAGGAAACCCGTAAGTGGAGTTCCCTCCTGTGGTTTCCCGCAACTGGTGCTCAGAAGCATTTCTGCCTCTCAAAGCCATCCAAGTTGGTGGCCATCGCTCCCTCCTCTTGTAAACTGGTTATAAATCACATAGAGATATTTAAAGAGATAAATTCAAAGGAGGGACAGGGATAGATCTTGTCAGGAGCAAATGCCCCTCATTCTAAGGACAGAAGGAGCTGTCTGGAACAGAGTTAGGCCCATTGGGTTGCCGAGCTCAGTATTGTTTACGTGGAAGAGGTTTCCAGGACTGGCCGTTTTTTGATGCGGAAATGAGGAGAATTGACACACATGGACCCCCCCCCTTACCATTGGCTCTGCTGACTTTGGCTGATGGGGGAGTTGTAGTCCAACAAGGTCTGGAGGGGGCTGGTGTACTGGACAGGAGAATGGCAAAGCAATGGGGTTGCAATGGCAAAGAAAAGCAGCCGGGGAAGTGAGCTGGGCTCCCTGGGTAGCGCATGCCATTTTATGGGGTGAAATATGTTTAAAATATGTTTTTGGGTGTGAGGAATTAAAATCTGCGATTATTTTTGTGACTGAACAACATTTAGCATGGTAAGTCTATGTCTGATGAAGAAGCAGAAAAAACGGCTTTCGGAAAAACCAAAGAATTTTAACTTCTGAAGATGTAAGGTAATTACGTTAATACTGAAATAAAAATAACTAAGTTCCTAGCAATCGTTTGTAATGATTTCTATGCAATTTTACACTCATTTCACTGACCAAGCAAAAGCAAATCATATGCATTTCACCCAAACAACATCTGAATTCCTAAGTCACGTTACAACGTTTTAGCACCCCTTGCTTTCTGATTTTGAAAGCTGAAAAATTCAGCACGCCCTACTGTGACAATTCATTTCGCCTTGGCATTGCTAGGTCAATTAATGCCAGGTGTTAGAGAGAGAAACAAACACTGTTTCTGTTCAAGTCCAAGTGAACAGAAACAAAACTTTTGTTGTTAGGTCTAATCCACCTATATTGTATTTTCCCAATGCAATTTCTTGCCCAGCACAAACTCGTCAGATTACCCGTCATGTTACTGGCTAGAAGAACATGGGAATCACAATCCAGAAGGGAAAGGAGACTGCAGGGGCTGATAGTAACTAAAGTGAGATAATCTGGGATTAATGAGATTGGAAAAAGTACTCCTGTGGTGAAAAGATCCCTGCAAGGAAAAGAGCCGGTTTGATCCTTGCTCACCCAGATAAATGTCATCAATTTGTTTGGTGCTCACCAAGTCGGGTTTCATATACTGTGCATTGCACGCTAGACAGATCAATAGAAAACGATCAGTTCCTGCATTTGATACTTGGTCCAGCTTAAAATCATTCATCAGACCTGAGGCACAGAGGCTGTTGGTACTCTATAGAAGGGGCTAACAACTTCTGGATCACTTTAACAATTTGCTGGTTTAATTGTAGGAACCTAGGAAGCTGACGGATGCTGGGTCAAAGCATTGGTCTGTCCAGCTCAGGACTGTCTACACTGAATAACAGGGGCTCTCCAGGATTCCATACAGGGGAAATGGTGTGGCGTAGTGGGGGCTACTGGGGGGGATTGCCCCAGGCACAAAAAGGTTGAGGGGCGCGTCTCTGTTTCAATACAGGCAATCTGTCAGCATCGCCCTTGAGCCAGTGCCACCAACTGGACTCATCCACTTCAGCCCCGACTGGGCTAGGCGAGCTGGGTAGCACTTCCAGAGACCACCTTCTGCACAGGAACAGGTCAAAGTGCTGTGGACTCACAGCTTAGAGTTGTGAGCACCTGATTCACTTCCACAAGAAGACAGTCGTCGCACAGCAGAGTCTAGCAGAGTATATAAACAACTCGGAGAGCAGCTCTGTAGAATAACTTCTTTATTCTATCTACAACTATTATACAACTATATACAGAGCTTAATGAGTCTAAGCATAAATGAATGCTGCACTGCACTGAGTGTCTGCAGCCGCTCTTAGCAGCAACCTTATCTCTACACACGATCTCTAACACTCAGTCTCTCTCTCTCTCTCTCTCTCTGACACTGACTGACTGACTGACTCGGTGCTGGAGCAGAATAAGTAGAGAGCAGAACATGCCTCCTCCTCTCTGGAGAATCAGCAGACTCCTCAGGAGATTCTTGGATATGGGAGGGGTGAAATCTCCTCACAATCCTCATTTTGCGTGGGAGTTATGTTCCAGACCCCCCCACGCATTGGTAAAGCATTCCACCCCACCCTTGTTCCGCCCTGCCGTACCCCACCCCCATTCGACCCTTGCTCTGCCCTTTCAGTGACATCTTAACGATGTTTCGGTGACGTTTTCAGGCAACTTCCAGTGTGCGCGGTGCACCAATCGCAAGAAATTAGTCACTGTATTTAAAAGTGGTAACCCACCCTGGGACCTTGGGGCATGGGTCAGGTAAACAACAACAACAATGGAGAAGCGCCTGACTTGCTGTGGGCAATTGGTGGAAAGAAACTGCTTTCTGGGTGCAGCCTCCATTTAGCGCTCTCCTTTGGACAGAGTTAGGAAGCATGACACCTGGAGTTGCATCCCTGCCTCTCCGTCTCCAGGTTTCCCAGCTGAAATCCCACTTCTGTCTCATGCCCTGAAATCCCCTTTCCTCTCAAGAGCCTTGTTTTCAATTACCTATCAATATGGTCGCTGCCTCGCGATGCGCAGGGTTTCTGCTCTTTAGGTATTCCATCATCTGCGTGAGCATGTCCCGCAACCTCTGCCTGTATCTCCACAACTGGGGGGGGGGCGGGGGGAGTGGACAGGAAGACAACCGAGGTGCCAGATTAGTCTTTTGTAAAACTCCAGCTTCTTAACGCATTTCTATCCCTCGTGGTGGCCAAACAATACTTGAAAAGTATGACCTCATTGTTTCCGAATTGGCCACCCACAGTAATACTACTGCCTTTATATAATGCAGAATCATACTTCATGCCCAAGTATTAAGAGCACAGAAAAATTTAGTTGGTTTAGTTGGTAGAACTATGGAATCAGAGCAGAGCCACCCTCCATGAATTTGTCCAATCTTATTTTAAAGCCATCCAAGCTAGTGGCCAGCTGTGCGTCTTGTGGCAGTGAGTTCCATAGCATAACTGTGGATGCGGCAGTGTTGCTGGGCCTCTGTTTGCGGCTGTGCTACACATAGATAATAGTGACAAAATGTCTTAGAAGACATCTGTGATGGAGAAGGCAAGGGCAAGCTGGTGGCTGTGGCCGGCTGATGCTGATGCCACAGATACAGACACAGGGAGATGAGAAGGCAGATGCTGCAGCCACATACCTTCCAACATTTCTCTGATGAAAACAGGGACGCCCCATTCCATAATGAGAATTTGACTATTTATACCCCACCCATCTTAGTGGGTTGCCCCAGCCACTTTGGGCAGCTTCCAACACACATAAAACCATAACAAAACACTAAACGTTAAAAAACTTTGATATACAGGATTCCTTCAGACGGCTCAGAGGTCGGATAACTCCATACCCTCCAACATTTCTCCAGTGAAAATAGGGACATCCTAAGGAAAAGTGGGACATTCCAGGATCAAACCAGAAACCGGGATGGCTTCTCTAAAACAAGGACGTCCCTGGAAAATAGGGACACTTTGAGGGTCTGCAGCCACAGCTGATCCAGGGAGATGCACATCAGTACACCACAATGGCATAAAACTGGGGGGTTAATTTAGCAGAGGGAGAGAGGGATGAGCCGCTAGGAGTGCTGCAGCTGTTGCACAGCATCTTTCTAAGAAAAATCAAAACACACACACACACACCCCATTTCTCAAGAGTCTATTTTGCAGAATTTCATCTAGATATTCTTCCACTTCCTCACCCAAGCCGTGATCTGGGGCATTGTGGTGGATACAAAATATGATAGTAGCCAGGCAGTAGAATAAAATAAGCCTGCAACTCCCACTGCCCACATCAAACACACACAGTTTGGGAGGAAAGTAAGTGAGTCCCAAACTTAAGAAATGGTGGGAAAATTTCTTCTCCTCTGAAGAAATCTGGTGAAAGAGTCTGGAGGGAACAGTTGACCATGTTAATTTTACTCACAATGTACTTGCAGATAACTGAGAATCTGTGGTAGAGTCTGTCTTGCTGCACAGACTCAAAGATGTCAAAGGGCAGCTCCCCCAGTTTCAGGAAGGTGACAATTGTGTTAAGGACAATTTGACACTCCTAGAATTGAAAGGATGGGTGACATTTTACTTCACATCAAGCCTTAGGCTTGCAACAGCTTTGAAAATATACATATCTGCATTGAGGCCGCAATGCAAATAAAATGCAGACAGTAACCCAGGTAGGGTTAAAAACACAACTAGCCCACTGGGAATTAAACCCTGAGAGCTCACCTAGGTTTTTAACAAGCATCAAAACGCCACTAATGTAGGGGCTCACCTGCGCTCAGAAGGGAAGTGATTCCATAGAGAGGAGCCACCCTGAAAAAGACCCTCCCTCTGGTTACTGGCTGCTAAATGAACCTCCACCAGGCCGGCCTAGTCAGCTGATCACAGTGACAGCAGAGGTGTCAAGGCTTAGCTTCCAAACCCAAAAACTCAAACCTTGGTGTTTCAAATAGTGTCTAACGACCAGGTTTTAAAACCAACCCTGCAGGGTTTCCACTCCTTAAAGCTAACCAGCCTGGATCAGAAGACTTCCAGAACCAACTTCCTTGGAAGGCGGTGGCCTCTCCTTCACTGGAGGTTTTTAAGCAAAAGTTGGAGGACCATCTGTCAAGGATGCTTGAGCTGAGATTCCTGAATTGCAGGGGTTGGACTAGAGGACCTTGGGATCCCTTCCAACTCTGATTCTGTGGTTCGATGACTCTGATGGTTCCAACCTTTTGCAGAGCAATCCCAACCATAGCATGGTATCTGCAAGGATCTCTAACTTTTCTGACCTCAGGTGTGGTGATGACTCAGACCCCAAGCACAATCGAGGCCCACCCATTCAAGACCAGCCTACGCATTACTTGATCTGTGGGGCAGCATGGGATGATTCTCCAAGCCCTGCTGGAACACGCAGAGCAACGCTCCTCATGTGGAAATTCCCAGGAAAGGGGAGAGTTCCTCAGCTGCAACAGATGCTTTGAGGACCACCCAGCATTGGTATCGTAAGGGGTTTCCACAGGCAGAGAAACATTCCTCTGCGTTCCAGCTGCGTGTGACAGTTGCCAGGGAGAAGGAGTTTGCCAAAGGGGCCAGGCGATGCCCAGACTGGCCCTTCCAGCCTCAACCTACCTCTCCGCTCACAGGGTCAGTTAGCTGGATTATCAGGGGGACGAGGCTCCTGATGACAATGTCCTCCACCCTGTTTCTGTGCTCTTCCTTCACGCCCCTCAACAGCATCCCGAAAAGAATGATGGAGCAAAGGCTGAGCTCATTGTCCTCCTGAGGAGAGAGAGGAGGAGAACGCCAGTCAGTCCCAAGTGCTGTGCAGGGCAAACCCGTTTCAGGGAGTTTAGCTGAGGAAACGCTTCTCGTTCACTATGGGTCTGGTTGTTTGAGGGTGTTGTCTGGGCCCACGCAACAGGGGACCAACCCCGGGGGCCTTTGCCCACCACCGTTAAGCTTAACGGACTGAGTTCATCCTGGTGCATCTAAAGTTCTGCCAGCATCACCTGCTGGCAGACAGAGTCACCTGAAGTGCAGGTGAAGGAAGAAGTCTTGCAGATTAGGCCAGTGGGATCACTTGTGGGGGGGTGACAGAGGGGGGCTTGAGGTGTAAATGCGGCGTGCGTGCGGCACATGGCGTGGCATGTGTGCATGACATGTGCATGTCACACAGCGCCTGCCCCTCAATTGCAGGGGCAAGACGGCGCAGCTGGTGTTCTGAATTTCACTGTGTTATTATCTTCTTTATTTTTTCCTATAAGTCTTTATTAAGGCTTTTTCATAATACAATAAAAAAAGGAAACTGATCTAAATAAAAACAGAAAGAGCAACAGAAATGCAGAGTCTTCTCTCAAGGATAGCTCTTAACCCTTGTCTCACCAGGAAAGGGGTCAACCCTCCCAGCCTCTTCCCTTCCCTGTCTCTCACTTAGGGTCCTTCACCAACAAGCCATCACCTTCCTTGGAGCCCAACATGGGCGTAGCCAGAATTTATGTTGGTGAAGCAGTATTAATGTTGGGGGGGGGGGTGGCAGAAGAACCAAGCTATCTGTGATGCGATTGGTCAGTTAATTAAGTATTTTTCTTTATTTGCTTGATTGAAGGGGCAGTTGCCCCACTCCCCCATTGACCATGCTCAAAGAGCCCAATAATCAATGGCTCTGAGCAGAGGACACCAAGGAAAACAAAAGGAAAAGAGAGAAGAAAGAAGAAAGAAGATGGATGGAAGGAAGGAAGGAAGGAAGGAAGGAAGATAAAAAGGAATTTCGATTTTGTGTTATCATCTTCCTTAGTGGGTCGTGCAAACCTCTATTCTGAATACAGTGGTAACTTGGTTCTCAAACTGCTTGGTACTCAAATGCCTTGGTTCCCAAATGCCAAAAACCTGGAAGTAGAAGCGTTCCGGTTTTTGAACGTTTTTCGGAAGCCGAACACCAATCAGAAACCGCGCCATGGTTTTTGAACATTTCAGAAGTCAAATGGACTTCCGGAACGGATTAAAGTTTGAGAACCAAGGTACCACTGTATTTGGCGCTTTTGTTTTTACTATTTATTTTTACATTTTTGTTTTTGAGGCTTTTTCGGTTAATTAGTCTTTGTGACTGTGTGGAACCCAGTTCAGCTACTGATAGATTGATTGTGTGACTGTGGAAATGGATAAAAGCTCCCCATCCAAACAATGACTATCATCAGTGCAGGTAAGAAAAAAAAATATTTTAATTTTTATCATCTACAATACTGTCTTATTTATTTTATAGTACAGTACATTGATTATTGCTTTCATTTTATGGATCAATGGTCTCATTAGAGAGTAAAATACATGTTAAATTGCTGTTTTAGGGTTGTTTTTCAAAGTCTGGAATGGATTAATCCGTTTTGCATTACTTTCTATGGGAAATAATAATAATAATAATAATAATAATAATAATAATAATAATTTATTATTTATACCCCGCCCATCTGGCTGGGCCTCCCCAGCCACTCTGGGCGGCTTCCATAGAAACCAAAAATACAGTAAAATATCACACGTTAAAAACTTCCCTGACCAGGGCTGCCTTAAGATGTCTTCTGAATGTCAGGTAGTTGTTTATCGCTTTGACATCTGCTGGAAGGGCGTTCCACAGGGCGGGCGCCACTACTGAGAAGGCCCTCTGCCTGGTTCCCTGTAGCTTTGCTTCTCGCAATGAGGGAACCGCCAGAAGGCCCTCAGCGCTGGACCTCAGTGTCCGGGCAGAACGATGGGGGTGGAGACGCTCCTTCAGGTATACTGGACCGAGGCCGTTTAGGGCTTTAAAGGTCAGCACCAACACTTTGAATTGGGCTCGGAAACGTACTGGGAGCCAATGTAGGTCTTTCAAGACCGGTGTTATATGGTCTCGGCGGCCGCCCCCAGTCACCAGTCTAGCTGCCGCATTCTGGATTAGTTGTAGTTTCCGAGTCACCTTCAAAAGTAGCCCCACATAGAGTGCATTGCAGTAGTCCAAGCGGGAGATAACCAGAGCATGCACCACTCCGGCGAGACAGTCCGCAGAAAGCACACCTTGGTTTTGAAACGCTTTGGTTTTTGAACGGATTTTTTGAACGGATTAAGTTTGAGAACCAAGGTACCACTGTGATTCTTTTCATAGTGTAGGGGGCACTGGGGATGAGGCTATGGAACCAAAGGGGCAGCCCCCCCCCCAAATGTTTGGGAAGCACCAGGGCATGGATGAAGTCCATTTCGAGTAGGCTTGTTGACTTACATCACTGAAGTGTTTCAAGAGTTGAGGGTAAAGGCTGCAGCCGGCCAAGCTGTATTCCTCCCCCTCCAAGTGGTGGAACATGAGTTGCAGGCACTTAATGGACTCTTTGGCAATACTCTTGTCCGGATTGTAAGCGCAGTTGATCAGGGGCGAGATGAAGGGATTCAAGGACTCATCCTGAAGGAAGCAAGGAAGCAGGTGAGGGAACACGGTCACGGCAGAGAAGTCAGTGCACGCAGACGCAGTTTGCACCCAAAAAGCCACAGCGTAAGCATTACACAAAAGTAAACAACCCAAGCGGGTGCTCTCTCCTGAGTCCTTGTGCAGGGTGGGGGCCTCCAGTAGGGGAAGGGGCCAGAGCTGGGGCGTCTGCTTTGCATGCAGAAGGTCCCGGGTTCAAGTCCTGGCATCTCCACGCAGGGTTGGGAGAGACTCCTGAAACCTTGGGGAGCTGCTGCCGGTCAGTGTGGGCAACCCTGAGGTAGCCAGACCATTGGCTTGACTCTCTTTAAGGCAGCTTCCTCCCTATGCTGGTCTGCACCTGAGAATAAGGCTACAGCAGAACAAATTCAGAATAGTGCGAATTTTGAAATACGACAGTTCTCATTTTGGAAACTGCAAATGATGTAAGCTCTCACTTAAACGTGACCCAAACAGAATTTGTTCCCTGTCCAGAAGGTGTGTGTGTGGGAAACCTGGCATGGCTTCCACCTGAATCTTGAACAGAGGTTTGATCCACAGTGGGTACTGCTTTTCACAGCGTGGATGAAAGCCTCATTCCTACAGAGGAAGCAGCTTCCCGAGGGCAAAAAGTTGGCAGCTCTACTTCAAAAACCTGTGAGATGCCCCAGAGTTGGGAAATCTCCATCCATGGCTGATGGGCTCTGGCCTGGCTTGGTGGATCGCAGGTTATGCAGGGCATCTGAGACGCCCTGAGATTTGCAGGCAAAATGGATATATCCCCCCATAACACACTCATCTCTAAGAGGCCCTTACTCATCACACTCCAGTGAGCAGTCCAACAGGCTATCTACGACCGGGTTCAGGCGCTTCGCAGCAAGGTTGACCACAGCTGTGAGTGTCTCATCCTTAGTGCGGGTGTCTGATATTCTGTGGAGATGGTTGTAAATCTCCTTCACAACTATGGGCAGCTGGAAGAAGATAAAAGAAGACCAGGATGAGAAAGTGTGGTGAACCTGAAAGAAAATGAGGGATTTTGGGGGAATGATATATGACAAGATAAAAAAGATGCTCAAAGTGATTATTTACCGCCCCCCAAGAAAAACAAACAAAACAAAACTGAGATTAAAAACATGGTGGTTGTTTTTTGGAAGCTGAACTGCAGCAGAATGGAAACAGAGGCGCAATCCACAAACGTGGAAATCAATGCCTTCTTACACCCCTAGAAACAAGCTGATTCTACATCCAAAGAGAATGTTTAATTTAGAGGAAACCTGCTTCCCCCTGCCTCCATTTTGAGCCTTACATCTTCCATGTCCATCCCGCATTCCTCAAGGAAGGAACTCAGCAGCTTTCCTGAAGCCTGAGAGACGACTCTGTCTTCCACTGTCAGGTTGTCAATCGCCTTCAACACGACTTCGTTGATCTGGCTGGGCGCGAGGTGCTCCCCAAAAGCCTGGCACAAAGAAGAAAGACGAGGGAGTTTTCTTCTGCTCCGCATCTGACCACTTTTCAGTAGTCCAAGGGACAAACCTAGTGAAAGACACATCCACTCTGCCTGAGATGACCCTCAGGATCCCTTCCAACTCTCCAATCCTGATTCTATTTAAATGTTTCTTTAAGTAAAGTGGTCCCTCAGGTTAAGAACTTAATTCGTTCCGGAGGTCCGTACTTAACCTGAAACTGTTCTTAACCTGAAGCACCACTTTAGCTAATGGGGCCTCCCGCTGCTGCTGCGCCGCCGGAGCACGATTTCTGTTCTCATCCTGAAGCAAAGTTCTTAACCTGAAGCACTATTTCTGGGTTAGCGGAGTCTGTAACCTGAAGCGTATGTAACCTGAGGTACCACTGTAATTGAAAGATTTCACAACAAACAAAACTAAGAGTCAGGTGACGCCTTCCTATTTTTGATCCCCATCTAAAACTGGTTATGACATTGAAACAATCTAAAGTCAGACTAGAAAATAAGATAACTGTTCTTGCAGAAACAGAGAGGGCAAGTAATAGTGGATATCAGTTATATAATCAATCAATGCCAAACGAAGTCAGATTAGGTGGGAACCTGCAGGCTGTGTGTTTATTTCTTAATATACGTCAAAAACATCCACCACAATGTTAGCATAGTCCAGGCTTCCTCAAGCTCAGCCCTCCAGATGTTTTGAGACTACAATTCCCAGCATCCCTGACCACTGGTCCTGCTAGCTAGGGATCATGGGAGTTGTAGGCCAAAAACATCTGGAGGGCCGAGGTTGAGGAAGCCTGGCATAGCCCATTGGCTTGGCAGTGCCTCATGAAACGGGCACCAAAGGGGTCAACTTTTCATACTCTTTTTCTGCCCAAGGTGGCAATGCATGGTTCTCTCTCCTCCCCATTTTATCCTCATGAGGTAGTTTAGACCGAGAGACTGTGACTGACCCCATGAGTTTCCTGGCTGAGTGGGGATCTGAAGCCTAGGTCTCCCAGCACCTGGCCAGTCTCTCTAGCCACTGCACCACACTGCCTCTCCTCGATCCAGCAAAGGTCAGACATGCAGGGAAGCAGCTCTCCTCACCGCAGTGGCCCATCAGATGCACAGCTAGGGCTACTCCACAATTCTCCTGCAGGATCCATTGGCCTGGCAGCTTGCAGCTTGTAATGCATACGGATCTCTATCCAGGGCTCAGTTGTGGCAGTGCCTGAGTAGTTTGGGGTTGGGATCTATCTATCTATCTATCTGTCTATCTATCTATCTATCGTTTTGTGTAATGTGACCTTTTAGAATACAGTCATACCTCAGTTTACAACTGCTTCAGGTTGCGTTTTTTCAGGTTGCAGACCACCGAAACCCAGAAGTACCACTTTGTGCATGCGCAGAAGTGCTGAATCGCAACCCGCGCATGTGCAAACACGGGTTGCAAATGCTGCGTGTTGCGAACGTGCATCCTGCACGGATCACGTTCGCAACCCAAGCGTCCACTGTAAGTAGAATTTGGCATGCAGTTTAGACCAATGGGCGCTTGGCTTCAAAAGATTTATTCTAATACAATGCATTTCCATATGTTATTTACACTCATATATTCGTTTTCTGGACACTTTTAGCTTGCACAATCCTTTTTGTAGACACTGTTTGGCCAGGAAATGGCACTGAAAAACTCAAGGATGTATGAATTTCAAAGGCAGCTTATGTTTCCGTTCTCATATTGTTTCAGGAAGCCTGGATTTGATAGCTTTGGCTTTAAATGTGAACTGCTCTGAATCTCTCCCTCATCTCCTAGAAGGCGTGGGCTGCTAACTGAGAGCTGGCTGCGGCCTTAGCAAGAAACAGTCCAAAAAGCCACACTCACCTTGGCCACTTTGGAGATGTCGGTGTAGAAGATGGCGGGCCCAGGGATGAAGAAGTCTTCTCGGAACCATTTGACCACGTTGCCTTTCCTGTTCTTATGCCTCATCTCCACCTTCTTAGCTAAACAGGGTCAGGGATGGCGATATGCAGGCAAAAGAACACAGCATTAGTGCTCCCTGCGCAAACCCCCCAGTTTCCCCACTGCGACCCACAAAAAGATTCTCAATTTCACCTCAGAAATTATAATTCAGAACTGGGAAAGATTCAGAAGGGGGCAACCAAAACTCCGGGACATCCAATGAAACTGAAGTTTCAGGATGGTCGCAGCATTTGGGGGATTTTCCGTTTAGAAAAATGGTGAGGAAGAGGAGACACAATGTATGGCAAGGGGAAAGCGGAGAGAGAGAAAGCTTTCTCTCTCTCCCTCCTAACACGAGAACTCCTGGACCTCCAATGAAACTGAAGCTTCAGGATGGTCCTCCTTCTTGCAGTGCACAGCTCAACTTTGGAGCGAACAGCCAAATGGGAGGGACAGCACCATGTGGGCGTTCTTTTGACTCCTCTCGCGACCCGTAGCTCAGAAGCCACACCGCAAAGACTTTCGGGAATCGCAGTCCTCCTTTTCATACTGTTTCATTCGGTGGCCTTTCTGTAGGGGGGAGGAATGGAGAGCAGGTACTACGAGTCCCAGAAGGCAATGGGAGAGCCGGCTTCTCCTCCTCCTCCTCCCTTTCTCCCCTCGCCCGTGTTGAGTCCTCCCCATTGGCCGGCTCCTCCGACTCCGTATCTGGGCGAACCCCGGTCCCTGTCGACCAATGGAAACCGAGAGTCGGCGCGCGGGGCGTGGCTGGGCGGAGAGACGTTGGAGTTGGCGGTTGTTTCAAATGGCGACGTGGCTGCTCGTTGGAGTAAGGACCGTCTTTTTACCTCAGGAGGAGCTCGCAGCGGTGTCAGCTGGGAAGTGTTGGGAGGAGAATGAAAAGCGGGGGGGGGGAGCTAATTTGACGGCGGGCCGATAATAAATGGTGACAAAGGCTGCCGTGGTTCCTGAGCATGTGCAGAGAGCCGCCTCCGTTGCCTCAGGAAAGACGCCCCGCCGAGTGCGGAGCCAGGCCCGGGGGTTACGGGGGAAGCCCCCACTCCCAGGGCGGGGGGACCTTGGCCTGCCAGCCTCTCTCTCTCTCTCGCCCCTCGCCCTACTCTGCAGGGGTGTTGTGAGGGGCCGGGGAGCGTCGCTTGAGGGAAAGAGCGAGTGCTAAACAGGGCTGCTTCGTGTTCTAGTACAAATGCTAGTGCAAGACCCAAGTTACAGGGAACCAGGCAGAGGGCCTTCTTGGTGGTGGCACCCGCCCTGTGGAACTCCCTCCCACCAGATGTCAAAGCGATAAACAACTAACTGACATTCAGAAGACATCTGAAGGCAGCCCTGTTCAGGGAAGCTTTTAATATGTGACATTTTAGTGTATTTTTCATCTTTGTTGGAAGCCGCCCAGAGTGGCTGGGGAAACCCAGCCAGATGGGCGGGGTACAAATAATAAATTACAGTGGTGCCTCGCAAGACGAAATTAATTCGTTCCGCAAGTTTTTTCTTCTTGCGAGTTTTTCGTCTTGCGATGCACGGTTTCCCATAGGAATGCATTGAAAATCAATTAATGCGTTCCTAGGGAAACCGACTTCAGACCAGGTCCGGGGACAGACTGTCCCCGGACCTCTTCTGAAGGCTGGGGGGGACAAGGGCTTTTCTTCCCACCCACCCCAGCATTTTAAAACCCCGGGACAGCGGAGGGCTTCTCCGCTGTCCGGGCGATCTTAAAATGCTGGCGGGCGGCATTTAAAATTGCCCCGGGACAGCGGAGGACTTCTCCGCTGTCCGGGGCAATTCAAAGCCCCTGGGAAGGCAGGCAGGGGGACAAAGACTTTGCCCCCGCCAGCCTTCAGAAGAGGTCCTGGACCTCTTCTGAAGGTTGGCGGGGGCGAAAGTCTTTGTCCCCCCACCTGCCTTCAAAAGCTGTCCAGCCAAGGCTTCGCGGACCTCTCCGCAAGCAGCGGCAGCACTGCCGCTGCTTGCGGAGAGTTGCCGGCATGCCGAAGCCTGCGCGCGCTGAGATCAGCGCGCCCAGGCTTCGCGGACCTCTCCGCGAGCAGCGGCAGCGCTGCCGCTGCTTGCGGAGAGTTGCCGGCATGCCGAAGCCTGCGCGCGCTGAGATCAGCGCGCCCAGGCTTCGCGGACCTCTTCGCGAGCAGCGGCAGCGCTGCCGCTGCTTGCGGAGAGTTGCCGGCATGCCGAAGCCTGCGCGCGCTGAGATCAGCGCGCCCAGGCTCGCGGACCTCTCCGCGAGCAGCGGCAGCGCTGCCGCTGCTTGCGGAGAGTTGCCGGCATGCCGAGCCTGCGCGCGCTGAGATCAGCGCGCCCAGGCTCGCGGACCTCTCCGCGAGCAGCGGCAGCGCTGCCGCTGCTTGCGGAGAGTTGCCGGCATGCCGAAGCCTGTGCGCGCTGAGATCAGCGCGCCCAGGCTCCGCGGACCTCTCCGCGAGCAGCGGCAGCGCTGCCGCTGCTTGCGGAGAGTTGCCGGCATGCCGAAGCCTGCGCGCGCTGAGATCAGCGCGCCCAGGCTTCGCGGACCTCTCCTGCCTTCAAAGCCGTCCGGGATAGCGGGAAGCGCTTCCCTGCTATCCCGGACTGCTTTTAAAATGCTGGCGGTGGGGTGCAAAGCCTTCGGCCCCCGCCAGCCTTCCTGGACCTCTTCTGAAGGCCGGAGGGGGAAGGCTTTGCTCCCCACCGCTAGCATTTAAAAGAGGTCCCCGGAGATTTCCTATGGGCTTTCGTCTTGCGAAGCAAGCCCATAGGGAAATTCGCTTATGAAGCGCCTCCAAAACGGAAAACCCTTTCGTCTAGCGGGTTTTCCGTCTTGCGAGGCGTTCGTCTTGCGGGGCACCACTGTATTATTATTATTATTATAACACCAGTCTTGAAAAACCTACACTGGCTTCCAGTACGTTTCTGAGCACAATTCAAAGTGTTGGTGCTGACCTTTAAAGCCCTAAACGGTCTCGGTCCAGTATACCTGAAGGAGCGTCTCCACCTCCATCATTTTGCCCAGATACTGAGGTCCAGCTCCAAGGGCCTTCTGGCAATTCCCTCGCTGCGAGAAGCCAAGTTACAGGGAACCAGGCAGAGGGCCTTCTCGGTAGTGGCGCCATTCCTATGGAATGCCCTCCCATCAGATGTCAAAGGAAATAAACAACTATCTGACTTTTAGAAGACATCTGAAGGCAGCCTTGTTTAGGGATTTTAGTGTTTTGTTGGAAGCCGCCCAGAGTGGCTGGGGAAACCCAGCCAGATGGGCAGGGTATAAATAATAAATTATTATTATTATTATTAGTCTATAATAGCTACTTCGAAGTATCCATTCAATTGGCAGCCAGCCTTTAGGTACTCCTCATAGATCTAGAGCAGGCATGTCCAACCAGTGGATCGCCATCTACTGGTACATCCCCAGCTGATCCTGGTAGATCACGGGACCCTTATTGATTGTGGGATTATATAAAGTTTATTGAAAGTTAACAAATAAAAGCTCAACAACTCTGGGCAATCCATCCACCCCACGCACGCGCCTCATCTCTCCAATGCCAATAGGTAGATCACTGCCAGTTTTTTTATACTGGGAGTAGATCACAGTCTCTTGGGAGTTGGACGTGCCTGAGCTAGAGAAATGGCTTAATGCTGCCATTTAGCAACATTTGATCTCTAGCTGCTCATATTTACATGTTTATTTGCTTACATTTAGCCTTCTCTTCCATCATGGAGCCCAAAGTAGCGTGCGTGCACATGCAGTTCTCAGGCAGTCTCCCACCCAGCACTAACCAGACCTAGACCTGCTCAGCTTCCCAAAGGTGGTGGCATCATGTTCCTTCTGGCCCTATCCTGGGAGTAGATCAAACATTGAATAATATTGTACGCACTGACGAATTAGATCTGGGCTTTTGAGTTTCATTTGCCTGCCTAGCCAACTCCCAGTTGGCCCTTCCTTACTCAGAGGTATTGAAGGAAGAGGAGTGAAGAGATGGGGGGAAGGTAAAAGCTCCATTGTGCTTTTAGCCAGCTTCAGCTAAAACAATTGTTCTAGCTTGCAAGTTAGCTCTGCGGTTAGACAGTGGGTTTCCTGTCTGCAGTCATACTTAGTTGAAGCAAAAGAAACTCAGCTTGATAGGCCGGTAGTGGCTCATATCTGCTTCAGTTGTGGTGAGCCTTGTGGTAAGCTAACTTCTCACCTCAGCTCTGCAAAATGCAAACATTTTTAACGCAGAAGCAAACAAAATGCAATGGAGGGGGGGAGGGCTCAGCTAGCCCAATAAGGTAATGAAATGTATCTCTGCTTGTTGATTGGGGAGCAACTGGGGGCAAGCTTGAAATTACTGTATAAGACTGCTTGGAAGACAATAGAGGGGGCCAGTCTTTGGAAACTATTCCACTGGCTACCTCTGCGCAGATTTGCAATAAAGCCTTTTCTCCGTGAATCCCACCCTGGAGTATGTTTGTCTCCTTCTTGATACCAGCAGGGGCAGGTGACTGGAACCGGACCCCTTAGGATCAGATATCCTAACATATCTGGTGCGTTGGCCGGGAAACCCACCTCTCCTGCTGTTTGATCTTGAAGGCCAGGCTCGACTGGACGAACAGCTTGGATCGGCGTAGGAGGTTCCAGCGCGCGCCCGCCAGTTGCGGGAGGATTCCCTCACTCCGTTCCTGAGTGGAGACGTCCGGTCGTGGGAGAAAAAGGGATCGGCCGAGGGGGACACAGGGTGTGTCTCAGGACATAGAGGTAAGCTCTTGGGAAAGAAAAGAGCAGGAGATCTGATCAATCTCACCTGGAGTGTGGCAATTAAGTGCCCCCAGGAAGGCTTGGCTGGGACAGTGAGGTCCTGCTGCCAGTGTGTGGGAAAGGAAAAGGGTAAAAAAGGGGGGGTCCCTTTGCCAGTCTGTGGAAAGGGAAAAGGGTGGAGGTGGACTGTGAGGGTGTGGAGGTGAACTGTGTGTTGTATGACCAAATACTCCAGTGAAAGGATGAATGTGTGAGAGGTCGGGGCTTAGCGTCTCCGTGGCCAAGCGTGTCTAGGGCTGTACTCGTCTAAGCCACAGGCTGTAGTGTGTGAAGTGGGCAAGGTGTTGATTTTGGCTAGGAGCGGAGTATTCTGGTAAACATGGGTTCAGGAAATAGTAAATGTACCCCTTTGGAATGCTTCCTGAACAACTGGAAATTGGCCACGAAAAATGACGACTGGGGGTTCAAATTGAAGAAGGAGAGGCTTAGGACCCTTTGTGAAGTGGACTGGCCGACGCAGGGCACTGCCTGGCCGTCCCAAGGCAGTTTTGAGGGGCGGTTGATCAATCCCTTGCTGCAGAGAATAATTGAAGACCATCCAGATCAAATTCCCTATATTTCCACGTGGAAAACCAATGTGGATAAAACCCCCCCTTGGCTGCAGGCTTGCCGAACTGCTCCAGCAAAGGCAAGGATCTGTGCTGTCCGGCAGCAGAAATTACCTCTTGTGGTTCAGGACACAGAAGAGGAATTAGCTGTGAGACCACCTCCTTATAGACCCCCAATACCGGCAGTACCACAGAATGGCCCACCCCTGCAGAATAACCTCCAGAATAATCCCCCCAACCCAGTTGGTGGCAGCCCTATCAACCCAAGCCCTGAGGATAAAGACCCCACCAAATCAGAGACAGCTAAGGAGGATGAAAGTGATGATGATGAGGGGGATGAGGAGACACTGTTAAAGATGTTGGAAAAGAAGGTACAGAAGTGGCAGAAGTGGAGTAAGAAGCAAGACAAATGGATAAAGGACTATGTAGACCCCTATAAAGACCAAGTGGATGTTAGTCCCCACCTCTTAGAAGTGGCACGTTGTGAGGATGGGCACTGGAAAAAGAAACAAAAGAGGTGGCTGGAGGCAGCACGTAGAGCCGCCACCCACCATGAGAGAGAGAGAGAAGAAAGATCAGGCTACAGCCTTGATGCCCCTCCGGGTAGTTTATGACCCCCCAGGACCGCCAGGGGAGAATGGGGCAGCAGCACCGCGCACCTACACAATCCAACATGTGCCTTTTTCAACTGCTGATATTTGCAATTGGCGCAATCAGAACCCTTCCTTTGAGGAGAACCCAGCCAAAATCATCAAACTTTTTGAAGGGATCTTTAAGACTTATGATCCTACTTATGATGATGTTCAATATCTTTTGGACTCTCTGTTAACAACGGAAGAAGTCCGGAGGGTCCATAGTGAGGCAAGGGCGCATCTGAGGCAGTTACAATTAAATGATAACCAAATAAATGATGCCTACCCCCGAGCCACTCCTAATTGGGACTATCAGGATCAGATATCCTAACAGTATCAGAGAAGATAAGACAGAGTTTTGTTGGCCTGCTTTGGCTTGCTTTTGTATTCTGCCTGTTTTTACTGATAAAGAAATACTTTCATGGATAATTTTAACACCTTAACCCAACTGACAGCAAGTCTAACTTGTGCTCTCTGCTCCCATGAATTTTTTTTTTTCCAGACCCAGGAATGATTCTCTTTTGTGTGAAAATGTGTTCTCTGTATTTGCCCTTAGAAGTAGAAGTTAGTGCCATGTCAATAAATACATTTCTTGAAGGTGCAGTGTTCTTGGTGTTGGGCAAGGTTATCCTTGGGCCTTCTCAAGTCTGGGTTGGTTTGTTTTTGTTCATTAAGAGTTTTTTCCTGGGCTCCTTAAGCACCTTTTCTTCTTTTTTCTTTTTTTGGTGCTGCTTTCATTTCCTCTTTGTGGGAAGCTTCAGTGTGGGAGGTGCTTTGTAAGAACAATTCAAAGTTTTCCTGATCTTGTCTGTTCAATTTCTAGGTATTTCCACAGAGCGGAATTTTAGAGCAAGACACCTGCTGAAAGGTCAGAAAGCGGAAGTGAAGGCAACGGTGCCTGCAGCTGCTGCTGCTCCTGCTCCAATGGATGCCTGGAAAAGTGCAGGCCAAGCACCTGGGCAGCAGGTCAGTACGGAGAAGGGCAAATGAAACCAGAACTCTTGAGGCTGCAATCTGTGGCAGATTTAACCTGCAAGTCCATTCAACTCAGCAGGACTGTTAGTTCACCCCATCATGTTAGCTCACTCCCTCTATATAATGCTAATTATAAACCAATTAGTCCTCTACTTCTTCTTTTCCCTGAGGCCGATCTGTCTTACAGGGCAAATTAGAAAGTGTGAAAGCCCTTGTTTCCAAAGAGGAACTGTTGCCCAATTGCTGACCAGCTGGGCTGGTGTAGCTGAGTCATAAATCAAGATGTGATTTGATTGGCTGGTGCAAATGAAAAGCACAGCACTATTTCAGAAAAGAACTGATATCTCAATTTGTTTTTATTGTTTTGTTTCCCACCCAAGGGTTAAGGGTGAGCATCAGGTATTTCATCTGAAACATGTCTCTCTAAAGGGCTCATGCTCAAAACGGAAGAGATAAAACAACGAGGAAGCAAGTCTAAGGCATCTAGGCACCTTTCTTTCTTTCTTTTATTGTGTTTCCATGCTGACTTTGGAGGAGGGGGCAAAACAAATATTGCAGGCTAGTAACTTTTTGACTTACGGTATTTGTAAGGCTAGCTGAAGAAGTACCCTTCTCCCCTTTGCGTACAAAGTGGATGCAGCAGGATAGAGAACTACTGCTGCTGCACCCTTGTTGAGCTCTTCTTGTCCTGGCAAGAGTACAGTTATGGGGCTGTAGGATCACCCTATACTAGTTATTAGAGGGTTGAGTTGTTGTCACGTCACCAGAGAAATGGATGGCTGTTTTTAACTCTTGCACAAAGCAGAGACACAAATGCCTAGACAAGGGCTGGGATCTATGGAATACCCATGCTTATACAGTGGTACCTCGGGTTACATACGCTTCAGGTTACATACGCTTCAGGTTACAGACTCTGCTAACCCAGAAATAGTGCTTCAGGTTAAGAACTTTGCTTCAGGATGAGAACAGAAATCGTGCTCTGGCGGCGCGGCGGCGGCAGCAGGAGGCCCCATTAGCTAAAGTGGTGCTTCAGGTTAAGAACAGTTTCAGGTTAAGGACAGACCTCTGGAACGAATTAAGTACTTAACCTGAGGTACCACTGTATGCATGTCTGTATTGTGTATGTATGTGTTTGTGTTGAAACAGTTTTAAAAATTTAAGCTCCAGCAGGTTAGCAGTAGCGGCAGCAACTGGTGTGATTGTGCAAGGTGTGGCAGGTTGTACATTGGGACCTTCTCTGCAAAGATCCTTCCTGAACCTCTAAACCACCGCTTTGTTCAAGCATTAGTCATTAATTACTCTTGGATTTCATCTCTGCGTAGTCCAGTAATTTCTAGTTCATTCTCAGTATTTTTGTTCTGCTGCTGTGTTATTCACTGTGGAGAAAGGTGCTATTACACGACTGAAATTGAGAATATAATGGAAGACTCCCAACTCAGCTCTCTGAAGGTGCACATTGTATTAGCTGTGGAAATTCAAGACTTAGCTGTTACATGCATGCAGAGAGCTGAAGGGAACTGAGCATTTATGTAGCATGAAATGCCCTCTGGCGGACAAAGAGTGCAAAGTTAGCCAGTTCTTACAGTAAGGGAGGATGACCAAAGCACTGGCAGTGACATTTTCATTGCTGCAGTAACCTGAGGTTTTCAGTTTCCTTTGGTCCCTGCACAGTAGCAAAGTGGGGTTGTTATGGCAGGCACATTAGTTCTATCGACTGTGAGGGTTTTAGAGCTCCTTTTAAGTCTTTGAGCAGCATCAGTTTTGACTGAGCCGTCGAATGCATGTTGAATTGTGAACTGCACCGGATTGATAGTGAACTAAATGCCGAATTCTGAAATAACCACAGAGGGGGGGAAATCAAGCATTTTAAATCTTGAATAGCATTTATTGAAATGATAAACTGTTTTTTATTGTAATCATTTCCCCCATACTACTGCATTTAGCAAGGTAGCCTTTAACATTCACACATATTGTATTGATAGTTATATGATATATTCATGGGTTGACTTTTGTACACTTTTGTCAATAGCACCTTGGGCAGAGCAATCTTTTGCTCCTGGAAAAACTGCATTGTCAACCAATTAATAAATAACATCATTAATAAGGATTAAAAAGGGGGCAAATTGGTTGGTTTTTTATTGTTTAAAAACTTGTGTTCTCTTTAGTTCTTAATTCACCTGGGGCCGAATATACAGCCTGTGGCTTTATTGTAGATTCAGAAACACTTCTTCCATGTTAATGATTGCTTTTTAAAATGCTGGTTTTAATTTTCAGGTCCCTGACAAAGTAGGAATGAAGAGTGCTTCTCTAAAGGATTTATGTCCTGAAAACAAGAGGCACTTGGCAAACTTAATTAAGGAGCTTGCAAGGTGAGGATAAACTGTCTGATAATGCATCAGGTTTAGGATGAGACTCTCCTTTTTAATAAATATTTTATTAATTTCCAAATATAACAAAAATAAAACATCAATACAAATTCAGTATCAAACAAAAAAGTTGACTTCCCCCTAGTCCCTTCCTTGGTTCCAATGTTTATCAACATACCACATGTCCAGCGTAAAATAAAAACTATTAAAATTATTGTTCATTCATAATGTAATTACAAGTAGTCCTAGAACCCTGCCAATGTATTAACCTGTGTACATTTCTTCTGTATATATGCAATAAAGTCCTTCCATTCTTCCTTAAATTCGTTGCCATCTCTTTCTCTTAGTTTCATTGTCATTTTCGCCATTTCAGCATATTCCATTAATTTAACTTGCCAATCTACTTTGGTTGGGACACCTTCTTTCCAATGTTGTGCAAGCAATACTCGTGTGGCTGCAGTCTCATACATACGTTCTTTTGTTATCTAGGTATATCTACTCCTGTAATTCCTAGTAGGAATGCTTCTGGTATTTTGACAAAAGTTATTTTATACATTTTTTTCATTTCATTATAAATCATTTCCCAATAGTTTTTTTTACTATTTTACATTCCCCCTACATATGAAAAAACATCCCTTCCGTTGTTTTACATTTCCAACACTTGTTTTCTTTAGATTTGTACATTTTTGCTAATTTGACTACAGTTAGATACCATCCATACATCATTTTCAGTTAATTTTCTTTAATCGCTACACATGCTGTAGATTTAATCCCACTCTTCCATAGTTTTTCCCATTCCTCCATCTGAATATTGTGTCCCACATCTTGTGCCCATTTAATCATGACTAAGATGAGACTCTCTTTCCAATTACTGTTATGAAATTTAAGCATTCATGTTTATTAAAAGCATATGACCACTCCTTGCTGGCACAGGTATGATCAAGTAGGGCATGGAGCGGTTGTCTGCCTCTCTCTGTTTCAAGAGACTGCTGCTGTTTAAGGAAGGCCTTCAAAGGGTTTCCTACAAAATTTGTCCCCATTGTGTCATGGATGGCCTGAAAAGTTGTGCCCTATCTCACTTTGCTGCTTCCCCCCAAGCACCTACAAGTTCTTGCTTTGGACTGTGACATACTAACATGGGGCCTCTGTGAAACCAGCACCCATGTGGTCCTGAGAGCACACTCCCTCCCAAAGGATCTTTAGTGGGAGTCACACAGAGTGCTGTCCTTAATGTGTGTATCTGAACCCTCCCAAACGACAAAGGTGAGTCCACATGAAAATAATATAAAAAGTAAGAAATTTATTATAAAGGTAGTTTTATCAAGGAGAAGGGGACGACAAAGGACGAGATGGTTGGACAGTGTTCTCGAAGCTACAAACATGAGTCTGACCAAATTGCGGGAGACAGTGGAAGACAGAAGTGCCTGGCATGCTCTGGTCCAGGGGGTCACGAAGAGTCGGACACGACTAAACGACTAAACAACAAAGTTTTATCAACAAAGTGCAGCAGCATACACACAATTCTAGGCACATATAAAAGCAATATTCTAACTTTCTAAAATAAGCATTCTAAATAAGGGTCCAAATTAAACAGGGGAGGTTAATTAGAAAGATAGTCACAAGTTAGTTCTCTTGGCACCTGCTGGAGTGCTCCTGAAACTGTGAGTGTGCACACCTGTGAGTGTGCAGGTGATCTGACCTGAGGTTGCCTGACTCATCCTGGAAGTGCCATTATTCTGTCTAGTTTGTATTTTCAGTTCTATGGCATTCCCAGTTGGTTGAAGGAACCTGGCACCAGAATCTTAAAGCGGAGGCGTCAGGACCTTTTGCTTACTAATTATCCCATAGCCACTGTTGCAACCTAGCTTACTGAGGAGGAGTGAATTGTTATGTATCTTCCTGACCTAGCTGGCAAGAAGGTCAGGGATAGCCAGAGTAACTGTGTCTTTCCCCATTTAAACTGTCCCAGACTCTCCTGAAGGGAGAATTGCCCTTTGCTTGGATCCTGCTTGCGAGTTTCCCACAGGCATCAGGCCAGCCCCTGTGAGAGCAGGATACCGCACTAGATGGGCTGTTGGCTGGATCCGGCAGAACTCTTCTGATGTCCTTATGTCCAGAGGGATTCCAAATGAGCAAACCAATCAGTGGGCCATTTCTTCTCTTGCACGATGACCTCCTTCCTCAAGAAGTTCCAGAGCATGAAGAAGGGCAGAGCCCAGGTGAGGGAGACCAGAAGCAGAGTCTGAAAGGGCCTCAGTGCGTCCTTGGAGCAATCTGTGGCACTGCAGTCTCTGGCCTGCTTGTTCCCTGGGGGCTCCTCCTCTGGAACAGGCCAGGACACCTGTCAAGGAGCTGTAGGGGGCGAGCACAGGCCATTCATGGGGCAGGAAAGAACAAGAGGCATAAAATGGAATTAGCTTTTATGTGCAGCAAGCAGCAACACAGCCCAGCTCCTCTGGCTTGATTTGCTCCAGCTGGAGACTGAAACAGACCTCAGAAACTCACTCCGGATACCTCCCAAGCACACGGAGACTGAGGCAAGGGGGTGGGCTCGTCCTCTGAGCCTGCCTGGCCTGTCGCTCAGCAACTGCAGGTCTGTCCTCAAAAGGGATGTCAGGGGGGAGGAGAGCCAGCAGGACTGGGAATGCCCAGCCGCTGAGCAGCAGATGCAGTCTCCAATACATAAAATTCCAATAGATAATAAATTTTCCTTTCTTTTTCCTACTTTCCATCCCATTTTCCATGGTGTTTCTTTATTCTATCATATTGCTGCACCCCAACTTCACTCTTTTGTATCATAGCAAAAATACAATCATCTCCAATTATTTCCATTGCTCATAGTTCAAATCCTGCTCGCGAATTTGTGATATTATAATATTTCTTCAAATAGTCCTAAAAAGACTTCCATTAAACATAAATCAGTCATGGTTAAGTTCTCTTATTTTAGCTGCCAGCTTTGTTGATCTATTCTTTGCTTATCCATTCTTTTCTGCTGGGAACTTCTTCATTGTTCCATTTCTGTGCATAGAGAATCCTAGCTACTGTAGTTACATACATAAATAACCATCTTTTTTTGAACTTCTAGCCCTATAACCCCAAAAGCTTCAGTTTTGTTTTGTTTTTTTCATTTGAGGGGTATAATCACTCTGAACAGAAAAAAGTCATATATCGTTCCCCAAAATTCCTCTTTTTCATTCAGGTCCACCACACTTTCTCATCCTGGTCTTCTTTTATCTTCTTCCAGCTGCCCATGATTGTCAAGGAGATTTACAGACATCTCCACAGGATCGCAGACGAGTGGCCACCTCACATCAAGACTGCAGTGTGCAACCTCGTCTCAAAACGGAAGAACTCAGTGGTAGACATCCTTCTGGAATGCTCTCTGGAATGTGAAGAGTAAGAGATGAGTCATTAATCCCGCTAATATTATTTTTATTTTATTTTTAAAATTGCTCTAATCCTAATGTACACCAAGTCCACCTGGTGACATGCCAACCAGGTGAGTTACTGATGGATATATCCATCTTGCTTGCAAATCTCAGGGCGTCTCAGATGCCCTGCATAACCTGCGATCCACCAAGCCAGGCCACAGCCCATCAGTCACGGATGGAGATTTCCCAACTCTGGGGCATCTCCCAGGTTTTTCAAGTAGAGCTGCCAACTTTTTGGAGAAGAGTGACTAGTGGGGTGCCACAGGGTTCTGTCTTGGGCCCGGTCTTATTCAACATCTTTATCAACGACTTGGATGATGGACTCAAGGGCATCCTGATCAAATTTGCAGATGACACCAAACTGGGAGGGGTGGCTAACACCCCAGAGGACAGGATCACACTTCAAAACGACCTTGACAGATTAGAGAACTGGGTCAAAACAAACAAGATGAATTTTAACAGGGAGAAATGTAAAGTATTGCACTTGGGCAAAAAAAATGAGAGGCACAAATACAAGATGGGTGACACCTGGCTTGAGAGCAGTACATGTGAAAAGGATCTAGGAGTATTGGTTGACCACAAACTTGACATGAGCCAACAGTGTGACGCGGCAGCTAAAAAAGCCAATGCAATTCTGGGCTGCATCAATAGGAGTATAGCATCTAGATCAAGGGAAGTAATAGTGCCACTGTATTCTGCTCTGGTCAGACCTCACCTGGAGTACTGTGTCCAGTTCTGGGCACCACAGTTCAAGAAGGACACTGACAAACTGGAACGTATCCAGAGGAGGGCAACCAAAATGGTCAAAGGCCTGGAAACGATGCCTTATGAGGAACGGCTAAGGGAGCTGGGCATGTTTAGCCTGGAGAAGAGGAGGTTAAGGGGTGATATGATAGCCATGTTCAAATATATAAAAGGATGTCACATAGAGGAGGGAGAAAGGTTGTTTTCTGCTGCTCCAGAGAAGCGGACACGGAGCAATGGATCCAAACTACAAGAAAGAAGATTCCACCTAAACATTAGGAAGAACTTCCTGACAGTAAGAGCTGTTCGACAGTGGAATTTGCTGCCAAGGAGTGTGGTGGAGTCTCCTTCTTTGGAGGTCTTTAAGCAGAGGCTTGACAACCATATGTCAGGAGTGCTCTGATAGTGTTTCCTGCTTGGCAGGGGGTTGGACTCGATGGCCCTTGTGGTCTCTTCCAACTCTATGATTCTATGATTCTAAATTAATCACATGAAAAAGTAGAAAGTCTTCCCCGCACCCCTTTCCGTTCCGTTCCTCGTACCAAAAGTCTACCATTCTCTGATGTTATCTCTGTTCCTTCTGTCCCATTCTCAGTGGTAAAATTATTAGCAGGTCAAAACAGAGACAGTTCTTTAAGGGGGAGGGTTGTTAAATTAATCACATAAGAAAGTAAAAAGTCTTTTCCCCCCTTTCCGTTCCTCCTACCAACATGTCTGCGATTCTCTGATGTTATCTCTATTCCTTCCGTCCCAATCTTCTTCATCTCAGTGGTAAAATAATTAGCACATAAAAACACTCCTGACCTCTCTTGAAGCATGTGCGTTTACTTTCTCCAATTGTTTCTTCTTTTTAAGCAACGCAACCAGATTTGCTCCTGAAAGTAGCTTCCAGGAGTTCCGAGCCTGTTCGAGGGCTTTCCACCCTGTGCCTCACCCCCTCCTTCAGTCGAACTTGGGGGTGATTTATGGCATCCGCGGGTGAGTACAGCGTCTTCCCCTTCCCAAGGAGACTGATTTTACTCCCCATAATCAGCCTCTAATTACCTCGTACAAGCTGGATAGATGGTATTGTCGGCCATCTTCGAAGGCGCCCCTAGCGCCCCCCCTTGATAGGTTTGTCTTTCAGTGCTTACGCAATCAGATTTATCGTCCATCCCTCATGATCACTGATTGCAATAAAGAAAATGACACCGCCTTAGGCTTCATATTGCCACATATCTCAAATATTGATGGCACTGAAGGAATTCGGCCACACAGTCGTAGCTAGGAAGAATGAGATGCTTGAGGTAAGGGTGCCAAATGAAAAAGGAGCATTGCAAGAGTGTAGGTCAGCCATCCCCAACCTGGTGCCCCTTCCCCATCTGTGTGTTTTGAACTGGAACTCCCATCAGCCCCAGACAGCATGGCCAATGGTTAGACACGATGGGAGTTGTAGCACAACCATATCTGAAGGGCAACAGGTTGAGAAGATCCTGGCAGATTGGGTCCTTAGCTGCTGTTTACATTCACACCAAAGCATATGAAACAGCCTCTGGGTTCCTATTATCTAGAAAAACAGAGCTGTGTTGGAAGAGAATGAATCCTGCCCCAGGGTTCTGTCTTGGGCCTGTTGTTGATCACCTGTTTTTAAATAAATGCCTTGGACGAAGGAAATTGAGGGGATGCTCAACAAATTTGCAGATGACACCAAACTGGGAAGGGTAGTCAATGCCGCAAAAGACAGAATCGGGATTCAAGATGACCTCAACAGATTGGAGAACAAGGCCCAAACTTACAAAACAAAATACAGTAGGGACAAATGTCAGGTTCTACATTTAGGCAGGAAGAACCAGATGCACAAATATAGGATGGGAGACACGTGACTTGCCAGTAGTATGAGTTTCCTGGAGGGAAAAAATGAATCTTGTAAGTCTGCACAACAACTCCACGACTTACTGACTACTAATATTTTCCCAACTGCTAAAAGGTCCCAACTAATGGTGACTTCTTCCTACTGCACTTAAGGTTTCCAAACACACTTTTCTCAATCTTTCCGTCCAGAATATGGTCGAGAGGAATGCCTGAACCATCCTTTCCTATGGGAAAATGGCGTTTGGGGCACAGCCAGAAGACCTGTGGTCATTGTGACAGAAGTCCTCTTCCAGTTCCGTAGCGTCAGAAAGGTATGGCTCTCATTTCCCCATGGACTCCTGTTGTTTGTTCTCTCGATTATACCATATTGGCCCAGATATATGCCACATCCGCAGATAAGCCACACCTTTAAAATTCGGGGGGGGGGGGAGACATATATAAGCCGCCCCCTTAAAATTGGAGAGAAAAAGAAAAAAGTCAATTAGATTCAGGGAATAAAATACCGGTAGTGTTTTTCTTTTTTATCATATACCAAGCAACCGCTGGTGCTGGACCCCCGAGCGCGCTTGGTGTGGTGGTGGCAGAGATGGTGTCTCCAGTTCTCTGACATGCTGTGTGCTTCCCCCACAACAGGAAGTTATAAAAGAGAAACCACTGGGGTCTTTCTCTGTTTTCGTCCTCCGCCAAGCCATGGACACAATCACCCACAAGACGTAAGTACGGGGAGGTACTTATAGTCTCCCTACAGCATGTCACTGCCCCACCTATTTCTGGCACCTCCCTTGCTGCTGGGTGCATGTTGTACCAGGACTTACCCATAATTATGCTCCACAGCTGCTGAATTAGCACTTTTCCTGTGAGTTTTGGATCATTTCCTCTCCCCTTCTTTCTCTTTCCTCTTCAGTGCCTTGCAACCACCCATAGACTCAGCTCAGGTCAGAGCTAGTGAAGAGAAGCATACGGAAAATATTCTCACTGCCATCCCTGAAGCTGACGCTCAAAGCTGGGACCACCATGCGAGCACCAGAGAGCCAGGTGACTGGACCTTCTGTTTCTAGGGATCTGAATGGAGGAAAATGGGACTGCCAGATTAAAGGATTTGAGGGCAAAGAGTCTGAGCCATGAAATAATGCTTCCAGAGACACTTGACCAGGCTTCCTCACACTCGGCCCTCCAGATGTTTTTGGCCTACAACTCCCATTATCCCTAGCTAGCAGGACCAGTGGTCAGGGATGATGGGAATTGTAGTCTCAAAACATCTGGAGGGCCAAGTTTGAGGAAGCCTGCAACTTCATCCATCACAACAGGAAGTTATTGAAGAGGAGCCACTGGGGTCTTTCTCCAGTGAAATCCTTTGCCAAGCCTTAGAGACCATCACATGCATGACCTAAGTACAGGGAGGTACATCTCAGTCCCCCTACAGCTTGTCACTGCCCCACCTATTCCTGGCCGGGTGCCGCTTCCCTTGCTCGTTCCTCAAACAGAAGCTGGCTGCTATGAATGCACAACCTCACTGTCTATCTCCACACACGTCAGTTGACTGCAAGGGATTCCTGCAAGGAATCATAGATTGGATGCTGCTTGTATGTGTGTATATTTGTTTGTGGTGGTTGTTGTTGTTTTATTTTTGTTACTTTTGTTGAAAATTTAATAAAAATTTAATACAAATATATTTAAATTTTAGAACCTTTTTTTGACACAAACACATATATACACAATTCAGACATCCATATAAACATGAGTATTCCTTAGATCCCAGCCCGTCTAGGTATTTGTGTCTCTGCTTTGTGCAAGAGTTGAAAACAACCATCCATTTTTCTGGTGACGTGACAACAACTCAACCCTCTAATAACTAGTATAGGGTGATCCTACAGCACAGGGCCCCAGCCCCATAGCTGTACTCTTGCCAGGACAAGAAGAGCTCAACAAGGATGCAGCAGCAGCAGTTCTCCTTCATCCTGCTGCTTCCATTTTGTACACAAAGGGGAGAAGGGTACTTCTTCAGCTAGCCTTACAAATACTGTGGTGCCTTGGGTTAAGAACTTAATTCAGTTTGGAAGCCCATTCTTAATGTGAAACTGTTCTTAACCTGAGGTACCACTTTAGCTAATGGGGCCTCCCACTGCCGCCGCCACACGATTTCTGTTCTCATCGTGAAGCAAAGTTCTTAACCCGAGGTACTATTTCTGGATTAGCAGAGTCTGTAACCTGAAGCATCTGTAACCCGGGGTACCACTGTAAGTCAAAAAGTTACTAGCCTGCAATATTTGTTTTGCCCCCTTCTCCAAAGTCAGCATGGAAACACAATAAAAAGTGCCTTCTTCCATGATGGATGGTGGAGGAGAGACACTCTGATAGTCCACTGTGTTTTTTGTGCTGACTGTGGATGAGATAAGACTACTCTTCCTTTACAGTTAGCCAAGAAATCAAGTGAGCTGGCTGCTCAGTCACCTGCATGAAAATCCTGGTTGCCTGTGGCTACTAGGCAAGTCATCAAATACAAGGCAGTCTTCAGTGATTTTAGAACTGTTCCCTTTCATCTTTTGAGTCTTCGAACCCATGAATGTCTCCATCCCCTTAGGTGCCACTTTAAATTGGCCAAAGGCTAACAACACAATGCTTTTTCCCCCTCTGAAGAGCTTGCCATTTCTTGCCAACAGAGGCCTGTGGCACAGATCACAAAGAATGAACAAAGGGTGTGTATCTCTTCTATGTGATGCCTCTTCAAGAGCATGACTGGGAGTTGTGGCTAGACATTACCAAGAAAACATGCCCTTCTGGGTCCAGCTACTCCTTTCAAAGAAGTATTCAAAAACTAATAAAATTATTAGCTCTGCACTGTATGTTGTTGTGTAAGTGATGCATTACTCCAATATAGGAGCTGCACACAGACCAGAAGGGTGGCTACACCAAGCCAGAAATGGCTGGCAGCTCTTTAAGCCATGGAGAAAACTTTGCTAAAGGACGTACAGAGCAAAATAAGCGGCATGGCATTGCCATGAGTGAGAGGAGGGCATAAGGCTTAGGCTACTAACTGCTTGTTTCAATGCAATCTCAACCATGCCAGTAGGTCATTCTGCTTTGACCAAAGCTAGGTTAGCACAGTCTTCTTCTCTATTTTCTGGTGTTTGCTGGTACTTTGTGCAGAGAACAGCACAGTAAACAGCTTGGCTTCCTCTTCACCTTGACATTTGAGGTGGAATCAGGCAGCTGAAGCAGCATCGCAAAACAAGGATTTACCAAGCCACCAAGATCCACAGGATTCAGGCAGAAATGCCCCTTCTTTCGCTTCTGAGGTTATGCAACAAACTCTCAGAAAGAATCACGCACGAGAACGGAGAAGATACAGGCAAAAAACAATTCACCGCAGTTCCTGCACTTACTCTCTGGGAAGGTTTGCCTGGTGACAACACTTATAACCTTTCGGCACCAGGCTAATGGGGAGGGGATTCCATGGGTGCCACAAGAACCACAACTGGTGACCCCAGATGTATCTTCTTCTCCTAGGAACTGAATGAAATGGGATTGTAATGCTTACTGCTGTTACAGCCAATCTGCCCCCTCCCACTCCCTCCCAGCCCCAAATAGGGGGAGCAGAAGGACATGCCTCTTTTTGACAAAGCTCTCAAGAGTTCTGGTTTCATTTGCCCTTCTCCGTACTGACCTGCTGCCCAGGCGCTTGGCCTGCACTTTTCCAGGCATCCATTGGAGCAGGAGCAGCAGCTACAGGCACCTTTGCTTTCACCTCCACTTTCTGACCTTTCAGCAGGTATCTTGCTCTAAAATTCCTCTCTGTGGAAATACCTAGAGATTGAACAGAGAAGATCAGGAAAACTTGGAGTTGTTCTTACAATGCACCTCCCACACTGAAGCTTCCCACAAAAAGAGGATATGAAAACAGCAACCCCCCCCAAAAAAAGCTTAGGCAGCAGCCCAGCCCAAGAAAAACTCTTCATGAACAAAAACAAACCAACCCACACTTGAGAAGGCCCAATTATAACCCTGCCCAACACCAAGCACCCTGCACCTTGGACTTCTTTCTGGCTTTGAAGGGCCTGGCCAGCACCCAAGAAGTGGGTGGGTGGCAGCAATTAGCACGATTAGTCTCTGGTGCTGACAAAAATATTTATCATGGGAGCAGAGAGCACATTGGACTTGCTGTCAGCTGTGTTATCTTGTTAAAATTATCCATGAATTTTTTTTCTTCTCTCAGTAAAAACAGAATATAAAAGCAGGTCAAAGCAGGCTAACAAAACTCTGCCTCACCTTCTCTAAGACTTCTGAGTAAGGAAGGGCCAACAGGGAGTTGGCTAGGCAGGCAAATGAAACTCAAAAGGCCGGATCTAATTCGTCAGTGTGTACAATGATATTATTCAATGTTTGATCTACTCCCAGGATAGGGCCAGAAGGAACATGATGCCACCACCTTTGGGAAGCTGAGCAGGTCTAGGTCTGGTTAGTGCTGGGTGGGAGACTGCCTGAGAACCGCATGTGCATGCATGCTACCTTGGGCTCCATGATGGAAGAGAAGGTCAATTGCAAGTAAATAAACATGTAAATATGAGCAGCTAGAGATCAAATGTTGCTAAATGACAGCTTTAAGCCATTTCTCTAGGTCTAGGAGGAGCACCTAAAGGCTGGCTGCCAACCTGTGAAAATGAGATGATGGTGCCTAAAAGCACGCCATGATTTTTCCAGCCCCCCTAAAGGACCTGAAACAGTTGTATCCCTAAGTTATCATTTGAACTCTTTTACTTCTAGCCCTCTCCCCAAAGTTACAAACAGAACCCCAATCTTATTTTATAACCCGTTGCTCCAAAGTTGCCGAGATAAGAGTGCATGTGCCGTATGCACAGAGTGAATCCGAATCAGGTCCTGGCCCAATTCACTACCCAACAAGTCAAATTAAATGTGGCAACCATTCAAAGATCATACCTGGGACATAGACAGGTGGCTGCTCTTCGTCAGAAACTGAATGCAATTTCATTCAAGGAAAGAAAGGGCAAAAGGTTTGTTCCATTCTACATTTTACACTCTGAAAATATTATACAGTGGTACCTTGGTTTACAACCATAATCCATTCCAGAGGTCCGTTAGTAAACCAAAACAGGATGTAACCCAAGGCACGCTTTCGCCAATGGGGCCTCCAAAAAAACCTTGTGTGTAATCCCCCCCAAAAAAAAGGTTCGCAAACCGGGGCACACACTTCCAGGTTTGACGTGTTTCTATTCCAAAACGTACACAAACCAGACTGTTTGGAAACCAAAGTACCACTGTAGTCTGAAAAATCTTCTGCATCAAAATAGAAAGTTCAGAAGCAGCGGACAACTGACCAGGACACTACCAAAGCAGACATTTCTGTAAATCCACTTTGTTATTACTCTTAAAGAGACTCATTTAAAAGGTTGTCTTTTATTAAAGACTAGCTCAATCAGAGAGATAATGAGCCACATTTATTTGTATTAGCCTTGATTATAAAAGCAACTCCTGGAGGCTATACATTCAATGCATGCTCCTCAGACTCTGATTATGGACACAGAGAAACTAAGCTTTACACTCACACATTTTTTAAAAAGCTATCTGGGGCTCTTATAAGCAGGTACTGGTATTTGATGATCAGGAGAGAGATCTGGGTAAACTGCACCCTAGTCAAGACCATAATCTGGGACCCTTCCCTGTTGTATCATCCAGATTGCCATCAGACTGCATATCTTTAGCAGTCACCCATCAACTCATGGTGGATTCAATTAAGTTAATAACAGCCCATTGCCAATTATTGGCAGCATGTTACATCCAATAAGTTGTTCTCTGCACATCATCTCTTCTAGATGCTGAAAGGAAGTTCTTACTCTGCCTCAGTGGGCCAGAGGGGAGCAACCAAATGGAGACTAAAATCCATTTGGAAAGATTTAGTGTAAATACATCAGCCGAAGACCTATGTAGGCAAGTTAGTTCATAAAAGATGTGAGCATTATAATACCAAACAGAAATCAACAACAGATTATATATAAATGAATTCTGGGGAAGAGGACAGTATAACCGAATAATGAGAGAAAGGAACAATATATGCAGATAATGATTACATGGAAAACAAAATAGCACGTTTATGCAATTACTTGCATATACTATTCCTTATAAAGTACACTGCTCCCTTCCTCATGATTCATTTACATACAATATGCTGTTGATCTCTCTTTGATATCTTTAAGCTCACATCGTTCATGAACTAAAATCCATTCACTTACCTTCTGCCAATATGTTTAAAATTATATTTTTGAAATAGATTCTAGCTTCTTGGGCCCACTTAATCTCATCCACCCCAGCAGATTAGAGTCTCATTTTCTCATCAGTTACGTGCACTCAGAATGTGACCATATAGTGTTATCGTAAGATGCTCATCTAACTCTTTTAAGCTGGAGGTGCAAGATGTGTGGCCCCCCCCCCCCCGTTAAAGCCTTGAAAATGTTAGAATCATAGAACTGCAGAGTTGGAAGAAACCCTAGGGGTCATCTAGCCCAGCCCCCTGAAACGCAGGAAATTGAAGGTGACCCTTATGAGGATCAAACCTGCAACCTTGGCATTATCAGCACCACGCTCTAACCAACTGAGCTACCTAGTGCAGGATAGCCTTCTTTTGCAGAACTGTGATGCAAAGTCTCTAAGAACCACTCACTTTGCCTCTGAGAGCCTGGAGGTCTGAGCCTCCATTTCTAGCTCTATATGTATGACAATTTGGTGGCCGGGACAATCAGTCGTTTCTGCTGCAAGTGGGACACCTAATTCTGCTGCCAAGGATCGAAAGGACACTAGGAGGGAGGGACAAATAGGCTACGGGTCTGCTTTGCAGGGTCACTTGCTGAAGGGGAGAGGCTATGGAGGCAGAGGATATCATAGACAGGACACGTCCCCCAAGACATACAGAAGCCTCAAGGGCCATGCAATATACGTCTCCTCTTCACCAGCCCCGTCTTCCCCAGGACGGCAGCCAGCAAAGTTACCAAAACTTCAGCTGCAGCAGCTCAGAGTTGACGGGGAAGCCGGAAGCCCCGAGTTCAAGTCTCCCTTCAGCGCGACCATTAGGGTGGCTACGCTGTGCACTGAATGGAGACTTGGAAGGAGCTAGAGGGGAATTTAACATACTGCCAGCAGCATTTGTACTAGAACATGAAGCAGCAACATTTCCAACCTGCTCTTTCCCTGCGGACGCCAGGGCGCCTCAAGCGACCTTCCCCGGCCCCTCACAACACCCCTGCAGAGTAGGGCGAGGGGCGAGAGAGAGAGGCTGGCAGGCCAAGGTCACCCCGTCCTGGGAGTGGGGGCTTCCCCCGGAACCCCCGGGCCTGGCTCCGCACTCGGCGGGGCTTCTTTCCTGAGGCGACGGAGGCGGCTCTCTGCACATGCTCAGGAACCACGGCAGCCTTTGCCACCGTTTATCATCGACCCGCCGTCAAATTAGCCCCCCCCCCGCTTTTCTTCTCCTCTCGCCCCCCCCGCCCCCCGCGAGCCCCTCCTGAGGTAAAGAGACGGTCCTCACTCCAACGAACAGCCACAACCGATACCTTGAAGCAACCGCCACTCCCAACGTCTCTCCGCCCAGCCACGCCCCCGCGCCCGACTCTCGGCTCCCATTGGCTGACGGCGACCGGGGTTCGCCCAGATACAGATCGGAGGAGCCGGCCAATGGGGAGGACTCGGAGCGGGGTGGGGAAGAAAGGGACGAGGAGGTGGTGGAGCCGGCACTCCCATTGCCTTCTGGGAGTCGTAGTGCCTGCTCTCCATTCCTTTCCCCCTACAGAACGGCGATCGAAAGGAACTGAATGAAAGGGAGGACTGCGATTCCCGAAAGCCACCGCGGCGGGGCTTCTGAGCTACGGGTCGCGAGAAGGGGCAAAACGCGCTCACCAGGTGCTGTCGGCCCCCGTTTGGCTGTTCGTACAGGTGTACAGGTGCAGGTGGTCAGGGGCTGATGCGGGAAGGAAGAGGAAGAGGATGGAGGAGAAGGCCCCGCGCAGCGTGAGCAGCTCCAGCAGCACCAAGCCCTACCTGGAGAAGCTCACCCTGGGGGTGACCCGCATCCTAGGTAAGGTGGAGGTGGAGCTGGCATCCCTGGTTGCCATGGAAACAGCCGAGGGATGGAGCCGCAAAGAGCCTTTCTTCCCTCTCTTGCTCATTGCATGGCGCTTCCTTCCCCCTCACAACAGTCCTGTGAGGGAGGCCAGGCTGACTGACTGCATCTCCCAAGGCCTCACCCTGTGGAATTCTTGGCGAAGTGGGTTTTTATTTGTTTGTCGGGGAAATAAGAGCGGCTGAAGACCTATAAGGAGTGGGGAATGACAAACCATCCTCCAGGAATGGCCCTACTGCAGCTAGCGAACCAGACAAAGCTGGTAAAAGGCACTGCTATCTCTGTGACACTTTCCCATTAGCTCTTCCCAGCGGCATAGCGTGGGTTGTCAGCACCCGGGGCAAGGCAAGTAATTTGCGCCCCCTAACCCCTAACCTGCCGCCGCTGCCAGCTGCTTCTTGCTGCTGCCTGGTCTGGTCTGGTGTGGTTCTCTCCCGTGCTCAGTGCTGCGTTGGGCGGCCGCTGCACTGTCCCTCCCCCAGATAGTCCCTCGCTCTCTCTCCGCACCGCACGCCTGGCACCCCCCCCTCCACAGTGGGCGGCGACCCAGTGGCTCGGATCGGATTCGCACAGCCAGCACTGCAGTGAGGGAGAGTGAGTGAGCCAGGTAGGGGCAGAGAGCTGCGAGTGCGAGCGCGCCCCCCCCCAGATGTTGCGCCCGGTGCGGCCGGCCCCCCCTGCACCCCCCACGCTACGCCACTGGCTCTTCCTGACGTTGGATGAATGCTTAGTTTTGTGTGATGCAAATGACCCACAGTTAATCTCAAGCACGCACATTTATCCCCCAACTTCCCCAACCTCCTTTCCCCTCAAGACTGGGAGCCCAGGGGGGCGGGGGTAAACTAAATGACCTAACAGGATTTCCCCCATCTATTACCTTTGATACTTCAAAGGGCTCCCTGGGGGGGGGGGCGGCTATCTGTCCTCTTTTATTTTCCACACTGAAATTTAAGATCTGCCTGCTTGATAGCTTCCAAACACCGTGTGCTGTGCAGCGACTTTCTTCCTCTAATTCCGCCTTCCCCCTCTGGGAGTTTTGGAGCTGGTGGAAGCTGTAATGCAGTGGTGTCATAGACAGGCTGGATGCAGAGAAGTGGTGGGAGGCACAAGCTGGGGAACCGCCAAGGGAACCCCCAGGGGAAGCAGGCTCTTGGAATCAGAATCAAAGAAAAGCCCTCAACGACTAGGACCCAAATTATCTCAGGGCCTGCCTGAATCCTCAGTCACTGAGAATCTCTGGTAGTTCCCAGCACCCCTGAGTTTCATCTAGTCTTCACTAGGGATGTACCCTTGAGTGTGACAAGCCAAGCCCTGTGGAACTCCCTACTACTAGAAATTTGTCAAGGACCAGCCCTCCTTTCCTTCAGAGATCTTTTGAAAGCCTTGTTTGTTTGTTTAAACAGGCAACATGATTTTAACCAATGAGTATTGATTGATATGCATTGATATTTTTATGGATCTTTTGTTGATTCACCTGTCTTTATTTTCCCACTTGCTATATTTCTACAAAATGGCAGATTATAAAATTTGTAAGTAAATCAAGCAACATGTGGCCTTCCAGCTATTGCTGGACAACAACTCTCATCTCCCCTCCCTGTTGGCCATGCTTGTTGGGAACTGGACGTCCAGCAGCAACATCTGGAGGACTCCATGCTGACTCCCCCCCCCCACTATGCTATTCCTCCTCCCTCCCAGTCCCTTTTCCTTTCATGTTGTGGCTCTTTAAAGTTGCAAGCCTAGAGGCAGAGGGACTGTCTGGTTTATATTCATCTGCAAACTGCTTTGGGGGAATCATTCTGGTTGAAGAGCAGGGCAAGTATTGTTTACACTGATTACTCTTTTTGCAGAAGCTTCTCCAGGAGTTACTGAGGTGACATTTGTGGAGAAGGTGCCAGCCGAGCGCCATGCCATTGTTTCATGGGAACAGGTGAGACTGGCTATTATTTATGCATATTGCCTCTCCTCCCCCATGGTGCTTGAGTCGGCTTTTGCAGTATTATTAGTTTGGATTTTCCATAGAGGTGATCAGAACAGAGCACCTGGAGGTGAGGTCGTTTTTTTAAATGGGCCTGCATGCAGAGTTGCCCTCTGGTAGCAGAGCAGGTCCAACTTGCGGGATGTGAAACTATTGGTAGTAAATGAGTTTGCAGTTTGTCCCTTTGGCACTAGGTGGCACCATCCTTCCTGGCTTTCCCGTCTCACCCTCGCCAACCTGGTGCCCTCCAGCTCTTCTGGGAAAAGTGGGCAGAGCAATGACTGCAATCTTTATCTTTGTGAAGTAGTCTACTTTCTACACACTTTCACACACCCTTCTCTGTCCTTCATCCTGGCAAGCGAGAAGTCTAATAAGCTCCAGGACATAGTCAAGCCAGGCAAAAACACTCAAGGAAGTTGTGAAGCTAGATGGCTGAGCAAATATGGGTTTGGGAGAATCTTAAGGGCCAGGCGGCGAGACCAACCTGGCTACTCTTCTGGCACTGATTTCAAGTTCATTCTAAGGCAATGCTTCTCAAACTTTTCCCTGGGCCACACTTTCAGAATAAAAACAAGAATTCTTTTAGTGATAAGAAACATATTGCAAAAACAAAAAGAAACAACTCCTAGCAGTGCTTGACTTACAACGCAGAAAACAACTACTTTATAGTATGATCATTCATGGGGCACCCAAAAAGCTTAAAACAATTCAACTACATAAGAGTACAAATCATTCCCAAAATATAATTATAAGCAAGCCTCTTACGTATTTTAAGTACATTTACAAACTCAGTGAGAGGTTTGAGCTTGCTTTTGCTGGCTAATGTTACTGATATTAGGTCTAATTTGAGACAGACAAACTCTCATATGCCTATCGACAGAAAGAAAGCTTTCTCTTTTCTGATGTTTCATATTTGTTAGAGTTCAAAATTCCTCTTTGCAACAGCAGGTCATGGAGAACTATAGAATAATAGCCAATGTTCCTGAAAAGAAGCATGCATGCAGTTTATGGCAATATTCCCCAAAATTATTTTACTATACTGAAATGTTTAAATTTTTTTTTATTCTCCCTGCCACACTTGCCATTCTCCCCTGCCACCCCCTTTGAGAAGCACTACTCTCAGGGGTGTTGGATATGTCCTCACCAATTATTCTCCCTCTGTTAAATTGGGCTGTAATGAGGAACTGAAGAATCAGGGGAATCTCACCTGCTGTTGGGTCCTGCTTTGAAGAGCACCCTCCGTGTGTGCGACGCACCCTTCCTCTCGATGCTGCCGCTCTGATAGCTGTTAGTTTAGGAGGCACGAGTTTTCAGGGCATGTAATCCAGGGCAGCAGAGAACCGGACATAGCGATGACATCAGGCAGCAGGCAGGCAGCTCAAGAAGAAAAGTGATGCAAACCTGGACAGAGCTGGCTCTGCGGATGCAAAGTTATAGATGCAGCAGGGCAAGGGGTCAGTCTTGACATAGGCTGAGAAGAATGCTGAGGGGGAGAGATGATAGGGCTCTCAGACAACAGCTGGATACTGCAGGCCTGTTTCTGTCCATCGGGGCCAAGCAAAGTATAGGAGAAAGACAAATGTTGGAAGTGATATAACGGACAAGAGGGCCAGCTGCACATCAAGGCTTGTTTGTTTATTAAATTTGTACACTGCCCTACACCCATAGGTCTCAGAGTGGATCACAACATAAAACCACAGTATGAAAAGCACAAAATACAAGTTAAAAATAAGGACAAGGACAAACCAATAACAACCTCTCTTGTTTGCAGGCTAGCACACTCCACAAAGCAAGGATGCCCTCCAGATGTTGGGAAAAGTTTGTAGTTTAATGGTAGAACATCTGCATTACACGCAGAAAGTCCCAGGTTCCATCTCCATCATTTGCAGGTAGAGAGCTTCCCTACCTGAAACCCTGGAGAGCATCTGAACCCTGGAGACAATGGTGAACTAGGTGGCCCAACAGTCTGGCTGAGCATAAGGCAGCTTCCTATGTCCCAGTGTTGCAGTACTCCAACTCCCATCACCCCTGATCCTTGCCCATGCTGCCTGGCCCCATGGGAGTTGGAGTCCAACCATATCTAGACGGGGCCACACTAGCAATTCCTGCCACAGAGGCAGTGGCTGCTGCTTGATTCTTTTTCTCCTGCCCTTGCCTCTCCTTGCAGAAGAATGCCTGCGTCTTGCCCGAGGATTTAAAGAATTTCTACCTGATGACGGATGGCTTCCACATGACTTGGAGTGTAAAGTTTGACGGTAAGAATAAGCTTTCCACAGCTTGGGACCAGTTTACTCACAAGGTCGCCTTCTTTACTCATCCACTTTGATCTGCAGAACCGACACCATTACAAACACCCCATAATACTCATACCGCATATGTAATAAATCAATATTTTAGTGCAGCAGCGGCCACACTTTAGAACTCCCTGCTTATTGACAACAGGCAGGTGCCTTCGCTCTACTCTTTTTGGCAGTTGCTAAAAATATTATTGTTCAGGCAAGCCTATCTAGTCACAAAGAAGTATGGCATGTATTTTAATCCAGTTTTTATCTAATCATTAATTTTAATTAATGGAGAGGGCATTACTGTTTTCTTTTGGTTTTGTTCCTGTTTTTGCGGGGTATGTTGTATTTGTACCTTGTGTTTTTATGCTGTGAACTGCACTAGGATCCTCAGATGATGGGCAGTATACAAATAAATAAATAACTTTTGAATGCTTTTAAATAGCTGTTATTAACTTTTTGTTGATCATTTTATCGATAAGCGCTCTGAGAGTTTTACTCACAGTCAAACAGTATATAAATGCTATGAAAAACACACAAAATAAACACATTCTTATCTGATCAACAATTGCATTCACACACCCATTTCCTCTGCTTCAGTTGTGTTCTGTCTTTATTTTTGGGGAAGGGAGGAATGAAACGGGAGCTGTTCCGCAGCAGAAAGATTCCTATTTCAGCAGCAGCAGCAGCACTCTGCGTGCTGCCAATCCCATCTTTGCTGCTGTGATGGTTAGGCGCTTGCTTTTTGCAAAAAGCAAGCAAGCAAGCTGAGATTCTTCTTCAAAGGGCATCATGTTCTGTGAGCCTTCTGTGCCCCTACAGAATAGTGCCATCCATGCCAGCAACCTAGTAATGGCTGCCTTTTTTCCAGACAACCCGATGCCGCTTGGCTCGATGACCATCAACAGCATCTCCAAGCTAAACCGAGTCAGAGCGTCGCCCGTCTACGCCTTGCCCAATGCCCCCACGCTGGCTGACTTGGAGGACACCGACGATGAAGAAGGTACTGCCCCACCTCACCCCTTTGTCCATGGGAGACTTCAGTCCTCCTCTCTGCCCCACCTGCTACCCCCCCCAAAAGTTTCCGTGACCTTATACACAAGCCCCACCGATGCCCAGCTTCTCAAGCTCTGCCTGGTTTGGGTATTCCTTGCCCTGCACCCGATGAGAATGCCTGCCTGCCTCGCTCAGCCTTTTCTTTCTCCCCAAAGGTAACAGTGGTCAGCCAGAGAAACCTCACTTGGACTCACGGAGCCTGGTGTTTGAGCTGGACCCGTGCGGAGGGAATGGGAAGGTCTGCCTTGTGTACAAGAACACCAAGCCGGGTATGTTGTGTGATACCAGAAGCCCAAGAGCTGCCTGCACAAATCAGCCCCATCTGCAAACCCCAGTTAGCTTTTGCCTTATCTCCCACATCTCCGTTTTGGACTACTGTACCTAGCACCATGGCTGAGACTGATGGGCTTTGTAGTCCAGAACATCCGGAGGGTACCAGGTTAACAAAGGCTGTTGTCTATGATGGCCTGTGATGAAGTCTTCCTGAAGCAAGCTATGCCTGGCTTTCATAATTTGCCATTATTATTATTATTATTATTATTATTATATAATATTAAAATTTGTATACCGCCTCAGAGGATGAATTTCCCTTGGGAATGCCTTTACCCTTTCTAGAAAGCACCGAGGCCCAGATCATCATCCGTAGGCCTCATAGTTCCTTATTAAAACCCCCTGAGAGGTGGGGTGGTCCATTCTTCTCATCCTGCGGCCTAATAGTTTTTCTCTCACTTCCAGTTGTCACCCCGGATTCCGAGATCTGGTTTCTGGACCGAGCTCTCTACTGGCATTTCCTCACCAAAACCTTCACTGCTTACTACCGGCTTCTGATCACCCACTTGGGACTGCCGCATTGGCAGTATGCCTTCACCAGCTACGGCATCAGCCCCCAGGCTAAGGTGAGAGAACGACAAATGGCCTGTCCCTTTTCCTAGGGTCTGCCGCTCCTCCTGATTCTGCCTTCGCAAAAGCCCTGCGAAGGTCAGGCTTAGAGTGAGTGAGTGGCCCAAGAGTAAGTGATTGGCCCAAGGTCACCCAGTGAGCTTCATGGCCAAACGGGAATTTGAACCCAGATCTCCCAGGCCCTAGACCGACCTTCTAATCCAGTGTGTCTCAAACTTGGGTCCCCAGCTGTTGTCTGGATCCAGGTTTGAGAAACACTGCTCTCACCACTATGCCACACCACCTCTACACTGATTGGCTGCTGCTCTCCAGAGCTACAGGTGGCATGGTGGGGGTCTCTCCCAGCCCTCCTTGGAGATACCAGTGGGGATTTGCATGCAACATAAATGCTCTCCCCTCTGAACGAATCCTTTTGATCCAGGGCTGAAGCTCTTCTGTTCCCTTGCTCTGTTCTGCATCACTCCCACTTTCCCAGAGTGACATTTAGACACTGACTCTCCAGGATTTGGGGGGCAGACCCTACAACATTGGCCTTTTAGTCCCACTTCAACCCAAAGATGAGGTTGATTTGATTCCCCCACTTCTTCCCAATGGAAATCTTCACTCTCGCCTTGTTCCCTGGTGGCCAACGTGTGCCAACCTCAGGTGCCAAAATGTCTTGGGCTGGCTCTGCTTGTGGATTAAGATAAGCCCTTTGTCCTGGATGGACATTTCCTTCCCTGGTGAGAGTTGGACAGGAAGTGGCTGTTCCTCTCCGCAGAGACTCCTCTCTGTTGAGATGGTCCAGGCCCCAGAGACTTGTAGAATCAGAAGGGATTTTCTGGCTGGCATGTCAGGTGTTGTTGAGACCCTGGTCTTCTTGTGTAATGGTCAAGTGAGCCGGGACATCAATAGGACTGTTCCTAGGTGGCTTCCCTGACCCTGTGGAGCCCTGGTGGAAATCTTATAGCAAGCTTGACTGGGCACAGGTACAGGTGTATATGCCTCTGAACCCTGACTCTCTCAGCCCTTCTTGGAGACCCCAAGGATTGAACTCTGTATCCAACACACACACTCTGACACCGAAGCACGACTCTTCCCTCAAATACACCATGCAACATGGTTTTAGGATTACCATGCTGTGGTGTGATCTCTCTCCTGCAGCTCTGTGCCAAGAAAGCCTTGCCAAAGGGTAATAATAATATTTTAGCAGATCATCCAGGGATTAAATTGGGGATCTGCTCCATCCCAAGCAGACCCCCTTCTGTCCCTGAGCCCATCTAGCGGGATTCCTGTCTGAGGCCTCCGGTCCCACGGCCGGCAGATAACAAGCCAGGAGCCAGGCCTTGAGACACCCCCACCCTACCATCACTCACCTTCCTTCTCTGCCATGTGCAGCATTATTTTTATCACCAATTTTGATAGTTATTAGATGGGCAATTTGCCTTGACAGGCAGGGCTCAGAGGCTAGAGTCCTCCTCTGCGTCACGACAGCCTTTGGACCAGAGAGCCACACCTCTTTGGGATCCTGAGTTCCCTGGCTTACCTTTCTTTTACCTGGCTTACCTTTCTTTTTTTGCTTTATGTGTCTCTTGTAGGCAAATTATATCAAGATTTTGTTTGAGAATTATATGTTCCTCCCTGTTTCTCTTTGTTTTATTGTTCAATCCATTCACATTTCAATTCAGTATTTTAAGGTTTGCCATTATCAACTTCTCTCAAGATAGGTCTACCTCCTGCTGCACCTTTTCCTTCTTCTTGTGCAAGCCGTTCCATTGCCTGCCTTTGCTTTTCCAGAGGGGTATTCCCATAGCTATCTGTTTCTTGTCTTTCTAAGACTCTGCCTTGTTTCTCAAAAAAATTGTGTTCCTGCATTTCTGTTGTAAGTCTATACCTTTTGCCTTTGTATATAAATGAGAGTCCCTCTGGAAACTCCCATTTGTATTGTATGTCTGCTTTTTTTAGGGCGGTTGTCAGGAACTTATATTTCTGTCTTCCGATTCTCAATTTAAAAGGAATTTCTTTAAATATCTCAACCCTGTTATCACCAACCCTTAGACCGGTTTCAAATCCCTTCTGGAGAACTGTTTCCTTTATTCTTCTAGTTATGAAAGTAACCAGTCTCCAGGCTGCTGTGTCCCTCTTTTTCTCCTATTTCTGACCTGGTAACAGGTCTGTATAGCCTCCTCCACCCACTCCTCTCTTTCTCCTAACCATTCGGCTAAGATTTTTTGCTAAATGCTTCTCTAGTCTCTGGTTTTCCTCTTGCTCTGGTAAATTGCATATTTCACCATATTCTCATTTTGTCTCATTTGTGTCATAAAAACAGCATCTTCTAATAGAGCCAGTCTACCCACAACCCCAACCACAGCCTCTTTACACACTTCTTATTGTTTCACTTGCTCCATTTGTTCAGAGATTTTCTTAAATTCAGCCGATTTCTCCTCAAGTTCTTTAACCTTTACACCCATTCTTTCTATCTGCTGTGACAGCTGAGCTGCACTATCCTCTTAATACTCATTTTCTGAAATAGCTCCTGCATCTGTAATCCAAAATCCTTCCTCTGTTGAACAAATTGCTCCATTACAAAGTCTGCCAAATCTGGTTTAGGGTCTGTTTTTTTCAGAGGTCTCTTCCTGCGTTGAGCCTCTTCTATCTGCTTCCCCCACCCCTCCGGCTTGCTTAGCTTTTTCAGGCATTCTCAAAACCAAGTTTTTACTCCCAAGGTCACAGTTCAATATTTCTCTCAATATATCCTTCTCTGCCATGTGCAGCATTTTTTTTATTGCCAATTTTGATAGCAGCGTTATCAGATGGGCAATTTGCCTTGACAGGCAGGGCTCGGAGGTTAGAGTCTTCCTCTGCGTCAGGACGGCCCTTGAACCGAAGCGCCACGCCTCTTTGGGATCCTGAGTTCCCTGGTTTACCTTTCTTTTACCTGCCCTGCATCTCCCGATGAGAGACTCCCTTCACTTCCTTGTGCCATGCCAAACTTCGTAAACTTCTATCGTGCTGCCTATTACTTGCCTTTTCTCCTGACCAAAAAGTCCTAACCTCAGCCACCTTCCTTCATAGGGGAGTCACTCCACCCTCTTGATAATTTTGGTTGCCCTTTAATGAACTCTTTTCAACATACTTCTCAAGACAAGGCGACCAGAACCATATGCCTACCCTGCAGTGATTGCCGTTTGCTGCTCCTCACTTTCCCTTCTCCTCTTCCAGCAATGGTTCAACATGTACAAGCCCATCACCGTCAACACGGAGCAGCTCTCTGAGGAGGCCGATTCCTTTGTGAACAAGCTGGACCCAAACAAGGTCTTCCGCAGCAAAAGCAAAACTCCGGTGATGAAGAAGAAGCTGCCGTCCCAGACGCCCTCCTCCCAGAAGGGCCAGGCGGGGACAGCCCCCAAGAATCCGCAGCAGGCCGGAAGCTCCTCAAGGAGACGGGAACCCCAGCCCTGACTGACCTTTCCCTTTGACCCTGCACCGCCCCACCGTGGCTTCGGTCCACTGCCCCTCCCCCGAGAAAAGGCCTCCTAGTTTGTGGCTGGTGGAGCATTGAATGGGACCAAGATGTATTTATCTAAAAGTATTTATTTAAAAGGCTTTAGGTTCTGGCTGAATTTCCTTTGTGCCAAACGTGACCAGTGGGCTCAGGTTCAACATGGTCCTTCCTTGGAGTGAACGTTGCTAATAATAATGCTAATAATAATTATTATTTATACTCTGCCCGTCTGGCTGGGTTTCCCCAGCCACTCTGAAAGGCTTACAGCACATATAAAAATATAATGAAACATCAGACATTAAAAGCTTCCTGATACAGGGCTGCCTTCACATGTCTTCTAAAAGTTGTGTAGTTCTTTATCTCCTTGACATCTGCTGGGAGGCCATTCCACAGGGCGGGTGCCACTACCGAGAAGGCCCTCTGCCTGGTTCCCTGTAACCTCACTTCTTGCAGTGAGGGAACCGCCAGAGACCTTCAAGAGGAGGACCTCAGTGTCCGGGCTGAGTGATGGGGGTGGAGACGCTCCTTCAGGTATACTAAGCCTCTCTAGGGTTCATAATGCAATGGCTGGCTATGGGGGATTCCTACTGGGAATCCCCTTTCCTGTCTAGATTGAGGAGCTAAAGTGCACAAAGGGTGGGGGGAAAGCAACCCTCCCCTGGGAAGCATCCTTTGAGCAACCTTTCTATGGCACTGATGAGAGTTGTAGTCCAAAATAGCTAGAAGTGCACTAGGCTGAGAGCCAATCACTTTTCAAGTCATAAACCAAACCACACGTGAATTGTGTCCCAATCATCCTTGACACGGCGTCGGATGAAAGAAACGCAATCTGCAATTTGAGCAATTGCGGATAAGAGAGTTTGGTGGTTTGATGTTTGCCGCTGGAACCATCAAGGGAAAGGTGCAGCCATTGTATTTAGGTGGCCCTAGTTCGTTTGCGAACATCTCTAGTTAAAGGGGAAAGGGTCTGGGAAGGATCTCTGCCGGGGATCTAGTGGCCGTGTCACCAGTCAGGATTGTGGGCTACATCTCCTGTAATCCCCCGACCTTTGGCCATGCAGACTTGCACAGACGGCATCCAGCAACACCTGAAAGGTTCTGCGTTACCAAACTCTGCCTTGGGATGAGATTTTCGTACAATCAGAATTGTAGAGTTGGAAGGGAGCCACGGGTCATCTAGTCCAACCCCCTACAATGCAGGAATCTCAACTAAAGCATCCATGACACAGGGCCCTCCAAGGAAGGAGAGCTTGCAACCTCCCAGGTTTTGAAGAATTTGAATTTGTTTGAAGAGTTAAATGGTAGTGAAAGGAAGAGGGTGTTCCTGTGTCTTACAACAGTGCTTCACCTTAAACCAGAGAGCAGGCAGATGCAGCCAGGAGTCTTATGCCTGATTGTACGTCATAGCCAAGCCTAGAAATTCTCCTGCATCTTTCCACAATTGTTGCACATAGTTCACAAATTGCACCTGTATAATTGAGTGCACTGGCGGAGGGTGGTTGGGGCTACTTCTGTATACAAGGAAAAAGTTGGGTCAACCAGTCTATAATAACTGAAAGTACTGAAATGGTGGTGTATTTTTCAAGGGCAGCGTCTCACAGCACACCCCTTGAGCACCCTTGCCTAAAGGGATTTTTGCAAGGCTCTTACATGAGCCCTGACATGCAGCTCACTGGCAGCAGCTGAGTGAGAAGAGCACAGGGCAGGCAGGAACCTACACCTTCCAGCCTCCCCTTATATTCCCCCTAAAAAAGTGCCCTCTGTTTATTAGCTAAGAACATAGATTGATATCTGCTTGCACGCTCTTGGGCACTGTGGCCACAGCAGATAGCTTTCTGCTATGGATCTGTCCCAAGTCCCAAATTCAGCTTCCGGTTGACGGGAGTCCAGATTTCACAATCGCTGCTCAACACTCTCGTCGCCCTCGCAGTCTGGCTTCCTGCTCCCATCCAGCCGAGGGCGATTGTGAAAGTCAACGAAGATGTTGTAGATGAAAATTCCAAGGAGGCTTCCCAACATCGGTGCGACCACTGGGACCCACCACCAATTATTTGATGCGCTGGGGGGGTGGGGAAGAGAGAAAAGCTGGTTTTATTCGGTTCTAGCAGAAGCCATGCTGGAGGAGACTCTTGAGAGTCCCATGGCCTGCAAGAAGATCAAACCTATCCATTCTGAAGGAAATCAGCCCTGAGTGCTCACTGGAAGGACAGATCGTGAAGCTGAGGCTCCAATACTTTGGCCACCTCATAAGAAGAGAAGACTCCCTGGAAAAGACCCTGATGCTGGGAAAGATGGAGGGCACAAGGAGAAGGGGACGACAGAGGACAAGATTGTGGGACAGTGTTCTCGAAGCTACCAGCAGGAGTTTGACCAAGCTGTGGGAGGCAGTGGAAGAAAGGGGTGCCTGGCGTGCTCTGGTCTATGGAGTCACGAAGAATCGGACACAACTAAACAACAACAACGAGAAGCCAAGAGCAGAAATTGAGCTCAGCTGCTTCTTTGACAGCACCACTGGAGACCACATGGTTCTTTGTAGACCTGGTGGCAGTATTGAAAAGAATCTGGTCCAGGGATGGGCAAGCTGTGTCCCTCTTGTTGCTGGATGGTGACTACAAGTGACAACCATTTTGAGCAGAGGTTCCCTTCCTGACCCCCATGGGTGTCAGTGGAGCACTCATAAGACCGTCCGGCCCCAATTTGGGGCCACTTCCAAGTCGGGAGCAGTGTGTGTGTGTGTGTGTGTGTGTGTGTGCGCACGCGTGCGTGATCATGCATCTATCGGACCCACACAAAATGGTTTCTGCCTGTATCTTCCCCATCCTTGAACTGGACCATCACTTGCCTGTACTGGACCTCAATTACGTCCATCACAAATCAGCCTTCCTTTAACGCAAGAGTGGCCCCTCTAGAGATTGTTGGAGTGCAACTCCCATCATACGTGGCTGAGCTGTCTCCAAGGGCAGCCCCAAGTGAAGCGTGTCACAGCAATCCAGTCTGGAAGTTACCAGAGCATGGAGCACAATGGCCAAGGCATATTTGTCCCAAAGGGGTTCCAGCTGAGCTAGGGGAACGGGAGAGTGCTCCTTGCCATCAAGACCACCTGAGCCTCCGCTGACGGTGTTGAATCCAGCTGTACCCCCAAGCTGCTCCTTTGGGGGGGGGGGGAGGATCCAGATCTGGCAGTCTCCCACTCTGCATCCCCAATTACACAAAACAGGATTCAGATTCAATTTATTGGCCCATCCTGCTTCCAAGCATTGCATCAAGTTCAGGAGACCTGTTTCCACCCGCAACTTTTTAATACTCTCATTATGTACTTTTAAAAGGGGGAAATCCTAGGTACACCACCTTGAATTCCTTAGAGAGGAGGTAGGGTGCACATCAAAAGCACTTTCTGTACTCTTACTCCAGTCCTTAACAAATGTGATAGCTCAATGCACGATCTAACTTCTCAAATTTCACCTAAAATTGGGCGAGGAAGTTCAGACCTACCTTCGCATCCACAAGAGCCATCAACCAATTTGTTTCAATTGATCTATATTTAAATAAGTGGTTGTTGCCCACCCTGCACCTGATGGGCAGAGCAAACTAGGAATAATAAGAAAAAAAGGTTCAGTAATTAAATTTAATCAATCCATGCAAATAAGGGGGGCAGAAAAGGTGGGGATCTGCAATATTCACCTAGGAGACACCTGCCTTGTGAGTAGCACATGTGAACAAGATCTAGGGGTCTTAGTAGACCACAAGCTTAACATGAGTCAATGGTGATGCAGCAGCAAAGAAGGCTAATGCTATTCTAGGCTGCATCAACAGAAGTATAGTGTCCCGATCACAGGAATAGTACCACTCTATTCTGCCTTGGTCAGACCACACCTGGAGTACTTTGTCCAGTTCTGGGCACCACAATTTAAGGTGGATATTGACAAGCTGGAATGTGTGCGGAAGATCATCAAGGGTCTGGAAACCAAGCCTTGTGAGGAATAGTTGAAGGAACTGGGTACGTTTAACCTGGGAAAGGAGACTGGGAGGAGATATGATAGCCATCTTCAAATATCTAAAGGGCTGTCACAGGGAAGATGGACCTATCTTGGTTTCTCCTGCTCTGGAGCGTAAGACATGAACCAGTGACTTTAAGTTACAAGGAAGGCGATTCCAATGAAAACTTAGGAAGAACTTTCTGACAGTAAGAGCTGTTCAGCAGTAGAACAAACTCCCTCAGAAGCTGGTGGACTCTCCTTCCTTGGAGGTTTTCAAGCAGAGGTTGGCTGGCCACCTGTCCTGGATGTTTTAGTTGAGATTCCTACATTGCAGGGGGGTGGATTAGATGACGCTCAGGGTCGCTTCCCACTCCTATGATTCTGTGGTAGAGAAAAGGAACTCACTTGAAGACCTCCAGCCCCCATCCAGCAACGGCTGTGAAGATCCTTGGTGGCAAGTCTCTGGAAGGGTTAATGGCATAGCCAGTGTTCATCCCCAAGGACATGCCGATGACCGCAACCAGCAGCCCAACACTCAAGGCATGGGTGCCTGGAAGAGCACCCGCATTCTTCAGGTCGTTGATGGCGAGGATTCCAATCAATAGCACAGCTGTAGTGATGAACTGCGGGGATGAGGCCAGGAGGGAAGGAAGGAAGGATGGAATAAAAGATGGCAGCCCAGAGGCAGAAGAGGCCTCTCCAAAACAAGGTGGGGGAAAGTCCGGTGTGGGGACCAGTGGGGAACAGTTATTACAACCCCTTTCCCTTGCTTGCTTACTTCTTAACCCACCTGAGACAGACAACAAAATGGCATCCCCCTTCCCTGCCAGGGAAGAAGCGGTGAAGGAAAAAGGCAGGAAGAAAGATTGACATCAGGATCCGCTGCCCCAGTGGATCCTGCTGACTGAGGCGATCACCTCACCTAGCCTCATGGCTGGGCCGACCCTGTCTTAACCCCCTGCATTCTGAAGACTGATTGGGTACATTTGTCTCTTAAGGAGGAGTCCCGTATGAGGACAATGGTCAAAGCTGTCCATGTCTATGATCTAGAAGCCATAGAATGACGCCCTATGAAATAGTTGTGTTTTAACTGCTTTCCCTATTAATCCTACTGTTTAATTCTTTTAGCAAACCACTTTGGGGTTGGTTTTTTAAGTATATAACAAGAAGTATATAACTTTAATGAACTAGCTAAATAAAGTCAATCCTGGTGCACCAACCTCATTTATAAATCCGCCCAAAGTCGACATGTACGGAGACGGGTAGGTGGCAAAGATGTTTGCCGTGCCAGTGGGTCCTCCAACGGTTAGGGTCCCCCCGGTATAATTCATCAGGGCCTCTGAAAGGGAAGCAACCAGATTACATAGTTCAACAGCAAAAGCACAAGTTGGAGAGGCTACAAGTGGACTTTTTGATTGAACCACTCTGCCCTTGCACGGACCCACAATGTGTGTGTTTATGAGAGATAGGGGTGTGCGTGTGTCACTGAAACAACTAAAAATCAGGTCTTCTTTCTCCCCAGCTATTCTAGTGGCTTTGTGAGGGGTTGGGGGTCAAGGGAAGTAGCATACCATAATACAGTGAAAACGTCGTAGCAGAAGCCAAGAAGGATCCCACAAACTGGCCAATCACATACGCCGGAAGCTTGTACCATGGCAGATTCCCCACGACACAGTTTGCAAATGTAATTGCTGCGTTCATGTGAGCACCTTCCAGAGGCAAAAAAAGTGACAGGAATGCGAGAGTAAATGATGATCATAGTAATAGTAGTAGCAATAATAGCATTTGCAAGCCACCCCTCCACCTTGCCAATTCTTAGAAGGGCTATCTTTGCAAAAACAAAGACCCAACAAAGACCAATTCTGAGAGCGTTTGCTAAAAACACAACATAGGGAAATGCTAACTGAAGGGAAAGCAAAAGGAGAGCTTTCTCTTTTTTGGCTGTTTTCCTTTTCATTTAGATTAGTTTGTTTTTTATGGTATTGTATGCTGAACATTTTCAATAAAAAATAAAACAATGGAAAAAAGCAAAACAAGCCAGTTCCGCACTTCCATTCCACACCCTCAGCTGCTGGAGGCAAGTCTCAGCAAGGTGGTCCCCAGATTATGGAAGTTGTTCTATGGGGTGGGGGTTGGGATTTGCTTCTCAACCCTGAGAACCGTGGTTCTGTGAGTGTAGAGATAACCTCAAGGTTGTGTCAAGGCTGAATCTGTACGTTTCTAGATCTCCGGTGTGTGGAAGTTCTCCGTATCCTTTACAGAAATCAGTATAAAGCAAGGATGTCACACAAAGATGAAAACAGCTTTCCTCAAGCTTGTGCCTAGGTTACGGGTGCCCAACGGCAACCACGACGTAACATGACATCATGACGTTGTCTACTTCCGGTTTCTACTGAAAGTCACTTCCAAGACTTTGTAGGGGCTTGGAGGTTGCGTCGGAGCCCCACGGTGTGGGTGCTGAGTACCCACACACAAAAATTGTGAGTACCCTGACACCCAAGGCCCCCTAGAGTTGGCACTAGTGCTCATGCCCTCTAGTGCTTTGGGTCTACAGCTGTATAAACGACTAAGAATGTAAGAAGAACCCTGCTGGATCACTTGCCCATCTAGTCCAGCACCCTCTTTCACAGTGACCAATCAGGTGCTCCTGTGGGAAGCCCAAAATCAGGAGGACCTGAGTGCAAGGGCACACTCTTCTTGCGGTTTCCAGCAACTGCTGTTCAGAAGCATTGCTTCCTCCAGCTGTAGAGGCAGCACATAACCATCATGACTAGTAGCTGTTAACGGAGAAATCTGAGGGCTCCCTTGGACAAAAAACAAGGACACCAGCCAGGAATACCAGAGCAAAACAACAGCCAGTAGGCTTGGTCTTTATTGAAGACTGTCGCGACAGGACTCCCACCTGCCACCAGGTGGAACAAGATAGAAGCCCCAAACAAAAGAGCCCCCAAACTTTTATTAGCTACTAATCCCCATGTTACACCCCCCCAAACTACATCATGGTTACATCATGGTTACATCATGAAAGGGGAGGTCTGGCGGCAGTAATCTGAGCATCCTGGACCCTGCCCCATGGTTCTCCTTGCCCTCCACCAAACACCCATCAAGTGTAACAAAAGAGATATTTACATTTCCCTGTTTCCCAGCCAAGTTAATCACGCCCTTTTGTCTTCATCTGGGTTTGTTATTTCTGGAATGGCTACCTGTCTGGCCCTCAGGTATTAGGAGGCCAGGAATTATCACTCAGGCTGAGTAGCTGAGCTCACATGTCTATATGAATTTCTGAAGTTTTCCCTGTGAGCCAGGTCAGAGACACATTTATCAGGGAATTTTTACCTTTGGTATTGTGCAGCAGAGGCCCTTTGAATAGATGGGAAGAAACTGTGATGAAGTGTTTTGTGGGGACAAATCACAAAAGTCACAAAAGTGATTGTGCTGGTTTTGGTAGTGGGTTGCACGTGCATGATATCTGCTGGAGGGGCAACCCCCCCAACCTATACATACATTCCTGCAACATAGCCATCGATTGCCCTCTTGTCCTCCATGAACTTGTCTAATGCTCTCTTGGAGCCATCTATGTTGGTGGCCGTCACTGCCTCCTGCAGGAGAGAGTTCCACACTTTCCTTTATCTGTCCCAAACAAGCTTCCTTGAATGTCCATGAGTTCTAGCGCCATGAAAGAGGGGTAAAAACTTTTCTCGAAGAGGTAAAATCAGTTATGATTAAATGGGCACAAGATGTAGGTCACAACGTTATGATGGAAGATTGGGTTAAATTATGGAAAACTGACTTAAAATTTACAGATTGTTCCCTATTGAAGGAGAATTACATGAAGATGATGTACAGATGGTACACAACACCAGTGCAGTTAGGGAAAATGTACAGAACTAGTTCAAATATATGTTGGAAGTGTAAGGAAAAGGAGGGGACATTTTATCATATGTGGTGGGATTGTAAGGTAATTAAAAATTTTTGGGAAATGATATACAACGAATTGAAGAAAATTTTCCATTTAACATTTGTTAAAAACCCCGAAGCATTTTTGTTGGGGATTGTAGGGAAAGACCTGCCAAAAAAGTTGAAAAACATCTTCATGTATGCGACAATGGCTGCGAGAGATCTGGTAGCACAAGGATGGAAGACTGAAGAAATCCCAACTAAAGAATCATGGCAAGAAAAATTGATGGACTATGCAGAACTGGCAAAACTGACATATAAGCTATGGGACAAGGATAACTGTGACTTTAAGGATGAATGGGAACCCTTTACAAAGTATCTGAAGACGCAACAAAGCGAACTGGACTCCTTGGCAGGTTTTGAATAAACATTCACAAACTTTTTATTGATAATAATCAGATAAATAGTTTGAGGATCTATAAAACTTTGTAACATGCAGAAAACAGCAGTCTCAGAGAAACCAAAAACTGGAACTGAGAGAAGTCAGGGGGGTGGGTGGGTGGGTTTGTGTGGGAGGTGGGAGGGAGGAAAAATGGGGGGAAACAAGGATAATATGTTTTTGGATAATATGTCTTGTTATAATTTTGAATAAAAAACAAAAAACCCAAAAAACTTTTCTCTATCTACTTTCTCCTGGGCTAGGTTTTGTAGTCTAAAACCTCTGAAGGGCACCAGGTTGGGGAAGCCTGCAGTAAAACCATCCCGGCAGAAAATGTTATGAAACACAGAACCTCTCTGGAACAGCAAAAGGAAAGAAGGAGAAGCACTAAGATAATATAGAAATCAGCCTTTTAGAAACTAGCAAGGGGTGGATTAAAGCAATTTATGTCCAGATCTAAACGGATTGAAACCGCACAGTTGATATTAAAAGGGAGATCTTCCAGGCACATTATCTACCAGACTCACCTGAGATTCCACCAGCTACGTGAATTCCCAACATGACACCGAATCCAAATCCCAGATTGCTGCTCAGAAAGTCCCCAAAGCTATTCTTTCCTATTACCACCTGGGCAACAGAGCCCTGTCCAATAACCTGTGGGGGAAGGGGGAAGAAGAGAGACCCGTATGTGTCAAGGTATCCATCGTCATGGTAGCAGGACAACATCACCCGTGCAAAGATCACTGGTGTTGAAACGAGCACAATTCAAAGTGTTGGTGCTGACCTTTAAAGCCCTAAACGGCCTCGGTCCTGTATACCTGAAGGAGCGTCTCCATCCCCATCATTCAGCCCGGACACTGAGATCCAGCGCCGAGGGCCTTCTGGCGGTTCCCTCATTGCGAGAAGTAAGGTTACAGGGAACCAGGCAGAGGGCCTTCTCGGTGGTGGCGCCTACCCTGTGGAACACCCTCCCAGCAGATGTCAAGGCAATAAACAACTAATTTACTTTTAAAAGACAACTGAAGGCAGCCCTCTTTAGGGAAGTTTTTAATGTCTGATGCTGTATTGTTTTTAATATTCAGTTGGAAGCCGCCCAGAGGGCTGGGGAAACCCAGCCAGATGGGTGGGGTATAAATAATAAATAATTATTATTATTATTTTCAGCTTCAGCTTCAGCTTCATTTGACTGGTCAAGTTGTACTGATGCCTGATTATTGCCTTCCAAAGCAACTATATTCACAATGTAAGAAAGGAAAGTGAAATACTGGTGGTCAACAGAAGAGGTTTAAAGACACTCTCAAAGCAAATCTTTAAAAATGTAGTATAAGCACTGATAACTGGGAAACACTGGCCTGCGCTCCAGTTGGAGAACAGCCTTTACCAAAGGTGTCATGGGCTTTGAAGATGCTCGAACTCAGGACAAAAGGAAGAAACGTACTAAGAGGAAGACATGCTTGGCAAACTCTCACCAGGATCAATTCCTGCCCGGAAACCTATGTCCCCACTGTGGAAGGACGTGTGGATCCAGAATTGGCCTCCACAGTCACTTAGGGACTCACTGTTAAAACCGTGTTCATGGAAGCTACGAGGGATCACCAAAGAAGAGCTCTAACCCACTGAGCTGTCCCGGCTGACATCAATGTATGGCATTTACAGACCACCATTTCTTCCAAAGAGCTCAAGGCTGTGGACATGCTTCTCTTCCTCATCCCCACAACACTCCCGTAAGACTGAGAGACTGGCCCGACGTCACCCAATGAGCTTCGTGGTCTCCCATGTCAAAAGCATATTATTTTGCTTCCAGAGTCTAATGCCACTATCCCTGCCTAATCCCAAAGTGTCTAATACTGAATTTAATAGCGATGATAATGGATTAAACAGCCCTTGCAATAATAATACTATATTTTTAGCCGGTTAGATGCTTAGAAAAATAAAAATAGCATTGCATGAGCTGTTCTTGAAGAAATGTTCCTCATTAAGTTGGGCGTAATGGTGTTTTTATCAAATGCTTCCTCCAAATCATGAAACAATGGGTTCCAATCCATAACCAATTAATACAACCAGATACCTAATGCAAATTGAAGTTCAGTACAAAATGTCCTCCCCCGTTTTCTCCCATAATATCATCTTTGAGTCGGGTTGTTGTTTGCTATTCCAAATATACTGTTTAGCATATGAAAGGTTTGCTGATCTTCAGGTGGATCACTAAACATGGTTAATGAGCCGTGCTCAGGTCGGCGGGTCACAGCCTGTGTGTGGGAGACATTGATCCTTCGTGTCCAGAACAAGGGGTGGAGATGACTGTTGCCGACTCTGTATGCCTTTAAAGCACCTTTGAAGCCTATCCTTTCCCTCAAAGAATTCTGGGCCCTGTAGTTTGCCCCTCACAAAGTGACAGTTCTCAGCAACCTTTAACAAACTACAGTACAGCGGTACCTCGGGTTACAGATGCTTCAGGTTACAGACTCCGCTAACCCAGAAATAGTACCTTGGGTTAAGAACTTTGCTTCAGGATGAGAACAGAAATCGCGTGGCAGCGGCAGCAGGAGGCCCTATTAACTAAAGTGGTGCTTCAGGTTAAGAACAGTTTCAGGTTAAGGACGGACCTCCAGAACAAATTAAGTTTTTAACCCAAGGTACCACTGTATCCAGAATTCTTTGAGCGGAGGGGAATGTTCTTTGAATGTGCTTTAAAGATATAATTGGCACACACAACACTGCAGTGTTCAGAAGAGCCCCGAGGCAGGATCAGACCTAACAGATGCATTTTTGCACACACACTGACAGATTGGAGAATAGTATCTCAAAATTTAGATATGTGCACATTTTGAGGGGTGCCTGTTTTGGTTCCGCTAATGTTTTGCAAACTTGATGAATTCTGCTTCTGATGCAGACTGGGTCCCCTTCCTGTCTCTTTCCTCATCCACACACATCACCTTTTCAGGAACAAGAAGGGGGGGTGCATGCCCCAGCCTTTGCCACCCTCTCCCCCTCCCCGAATGACCCCAGCACCCTCCACCCCTGACCTGCTCACCATCAGGATGAAGGTGGACAAAGCCTCTGCCAGTCCCTGCCGGATGGTTTCATTTCGGATCGTCAGCCAGCCGATGATTTTCTTCAGCATCTTGGTCGCCGACAGGCAAGAGATTCAGTCCCTGTTGGGAAGGCAGATGTCATAACTCCTGGTGGCACACTCTGAAGCGAGTCACTGTCCTCCCCTTCGTAGCCTGTCTCCACCTGACAGCCCTGACCGATGCCTGGTTAAAGGGTAACAAGGCAATTAAGCAGCAGCCTGATCTGCAATCTGTTCTCTCTGCCCTTCCTTCCTTCCTTCCTTCCTTCTTGCATAAAACTGTAGCATTGGAAGGAACCACGAGGCTCATCCAGTGCAGAAAACTTTTGCTGGACGTGGAGCTCAAGCCCACGGCCCTGAGATTAAGAGTCTTGGGCTCTGCTGCAAGAAAGGATTTATTTATACTAGATCTAGGTTTCAAACGGAAGTGACTGAAGGGAAAGTGAAACTACTGAAGACTGCATACAGCATACTATTAGAATGGGAGATGAAAGATGAGGAGGTAAAATCAGTTATGATTAAATGGGCACAAGATGTAGGTCACACTATTATGATGGAAGATTGGGAAAAATTATGGAAAACTGACTTAAAATTTACAGATTGTTCCCTATTGAAGGAGAATTACATAAAGATGATGTACAGATGGTACACAACACCAGTGCAGTTAGGGAAAATGTACAAAACTAGTTCAAATATATGTTGGAAGTGTAAGGAAAAGGAGGGGACATTTTATCATATGTGGTGGGATTGTAAGGTAATTAAAAAATTTTGGGAAATGATATGCAACGAAAAGAAGAAAATGTTCCATTTAACATTTGTTAAAGACTGGGGCCTTCCTAAGTTTGTGCTGAAGACGCAAGGTGCGGCCTCACAGGTGAGGCCAATTGGTAACTCACAGCACCTGGTGGCAAGAGCCGGGAAGGGATATAAGGTCAGCATTTCCCTTCAGCTCTTTGCCACAGCAACACGTTCCCTGCCTTCCTGTGTTTTGACTCCTTGCTCCCTGGACCCCTGACTTCGTGACTCCTTGCTCCTTGGACCCCTGACTTCGTGACTCCTTGCTTTCTGACCCTCGGACTCTTGGCTTCTGGACTCCTGTTCCTGCTCCCACCCCGCCATCTTGCCCCCGGTCCCAACGTCCCCAGCCGGGACTTCAATCGCCTGTGAACCGGACCATGACAGGATGGCCCTCTGTCACGGATGCTTTAGCTGAGATTCCTGCATTGCCGGGGTTGGACTAGATGACCCTCAAAGTCCCTTCCGACTCACAATTCCCTGATTCTATGAGCGAAGGAGAAGAACTTTCCTCTGACGCTACCCCACAGATAACAACTCCTATCTGTCCCTGCTAGCCGTCCCTACAGCCTTCCGTCGGTCGAGGCCTCATCTGAGCTACCCTGAACTCTTCTCCCTAGGAGGGAGGTTGGGCAGAGAATGAGTAACTTACCCAGGTGACACACAAGGCGAGCATTTTGGCCAGAGATGGAATTGAATCTCCCCCGTCTAAATCCGTTCCTCTTTATCATGGTGCTGCCAGACCAGCTCAACCCAGATGTCTCCTGTTAAGTTGTGGGTGAACATATCAGACGACGCAGCGATTCTTCAAACAGCTCTTGTTTATTCACAGGCCAAAACAGAACTGGGCTGAAGGGTTCAGTCATCCTGCTTATATAGAGCTCCAGTACAACGTAACTGTAACAATTTTCTAAAACTATCCAATCACTGAAAGCCACTTTCGATCCCTTATTTGCATAACTATCTACAGTATCCCCCTGCTGGCCCAGGGTGAGAACTTCAGTGCATAACATCTCCTCCTTGCTCCTTCCCTCTCAGCTTCCTCCTCCCCAAGTCCCAGCACCGCTTTGACTCCCGTGGGGCTGGAAGGGACCCAAAGGCCATTTACTCCAGCCCCACCTGCAATGCGTTTCCTCCCTCCAACAAATCACTCTGGCCAGCTTTTTTGGTTGCATTCACCTGGGGTGGGGAGAAAATGACTTCTCGTGCTTCAAAGTTCACTAGGGAGAAGAGACGCCATCCAGTTGCCAGTCCTCTGAAACAGCAGGGCTTGAGCTGACCTCTTCGACGTCCGAGGTGCCGGAACAGAGCCCAGGTTCCATCTGCTGGAAGGTCTATTATGGGCTGGCTCTGAAGTCACAGTGGCCTCTGCCAAAGCTGGGTTCTTTTTACAAGCCATTGAGGTTACCTACCCAGAAGCTCGAGCGGTTATAACTATTTTTAAAATTATATTCTTGGAACTTCTTTTTCCGTCCATTTCTGCACATACACAATCTTAGCTGCTGTTGTTACATATAGAAACAACTTTAACTAATTATAATTAATAGCAGGTCACCACAACCAAAAACTGCAGTATCTAGTTCACCATTGCAATGATAAACCCTAAAAATATAATTGAGACAAGACGATTTAAGGAAAATTCACCAGAAACTATTCATTTTGGTTGTTGTCAATGTCTGTGGACATGCCGTAACATTACAGCACATGACTCCCCCCCCCCCCAAATTTACCCCTAAACACAGTGCTATAGGTGCCAGTGCAACACATGACTGGTTATCCTAGAGATCACTGCGTGCAAAAACTTGCAATGCCAGAAAATGACGTTGAGCCTAATATTTACCCTGGAATCCCAACCACCTTTCCCAGAACAATGTATGACACCCTGGACTCAGCTATACAGCTCCAAATAGAACGTTTTATTTTATTTTAAATATATATTTTAATTAATTTTTCATTAATACCCAATATGAGCTACATTATTACAATATAAAATCATGCCAAATCATAATACAATTTATAAAGCCAATTATACATCCCAAATTAAACAAATGGGGTGACTTCCCATGTTCTGATCATCCGGAGATCGTTATTCCTAAATCCTGCACAGAATCTCATATATAATCCAAATACACCAATTCTGATCTTGAGCCTTTCTTCTGTTTTTGCAGCCACTGGTGTAATGACTTCACTCGTATTCAAAAAATCCTTCTCCATTAACTTGCAAGAGGGATTTAACACCTGTAGTTTTCTGTGTAAATTATTTTTCCTTTGTACTCCCTTTCCTGTTATAATCCATTGTCCTTCTTGCGGGTTGTCTCCCTTGAAGAGCTGTTTTTCCAAACTGCGTCAGAGCCATCGCCATCTTGTTTATCTGAGCCAAAAGTATACTGGCATCAGGCCATGGCATAGGACTGACATTCAGCTCTCGCTTCTTTAATCTTCCCTTCATTTTTAACAAGCTGATGTCTCACCAAAGCAATTATAAATCCAAATTAATGCTCTCCATAGGAGACAGTGCCACAAAACCTCACAGTATTTTACACAGTCTTTCGTTTGAAGAACTCCATAGGTAGATTCTAAAGTTCTTGTAAAGTCCCTGTTGCATTCCATTTACAATTATAATCCAATAGTAAATTCAATCCATTAATAGTTTCTTGGTTCGTCTTCGGTGAAGGTTTGCCGGATCATAAATCACCAAATATAATGTAAATAAAGTATATACATAATGGGAGCAGAGATCATGTTGGACTTGCTGTCAGCTGTGTTATCTTGTTAAAATTATCCATGACGATATTTTTTTAAAGTAAAAACATAATATAAAAGCAGGTCAAAGTAGGCCAACATACTCTGCCTCACCTTCTCTTATACCTCTGAATAAGGAAGGGTCAATTGGGAGTTGGCTAGGCAGGCGAATGAAACTCAAAAGCCCGCATCTAATTTGTCAGGAAGTCAGTGCATACAATGAAATTATTCACTGTTTGATCTACTCCCAGGATAGGGCCAGAAGGAACATGATGCCACCACCTTTGGGAAGCTGAGCAGGTCTAGGTCTGGTTAGTGCTGGGTGGGAGACTGCCTGAGAACCGCATGTGCATGCACGCTACTTTGGGCTCCATGATGGAAGAGAAGGCTAAATGTAAGCAAATAAACATATAAATATGAGCAGCTAGAGATCAAATGTTGCTAAATGGCAGCTTTAAGCCATTTCTCTAGCTCTAGGAGGAGTACCTAAAGGCTGGCTGCCAACCTGTGAAAATGAGATGATGGTGCCTAAAAGCACGCCATGATTTTTCCAGCCTCCCTAAAGGACTTGAAAAGGTTGTATCCCTAAGTTATCATTTGAACTCTTTTACTTCTAGCCCTCTCCCCAAAGTTATAAACAGACCCCCAATCTCATTTTAACCCGTTGCTCCAAAGTCATTCCAAGAAGTTGTTCTCCGCACACCATCTCTTCCAGATGCTGAAAGGAAGGATCTTACTCTGCTCCCATGGCCAGAGGGGGGCAACCAAACAGAGACTAAAATCTAGTTGGAAAGATTTAGTTTAAATACATCAGCCGAAGACCTATGTATGCAAATTAGTTCAAAAAAGATGTGAGCATATTAGTACCAAACAGAAATCAACAGCAGATTATATATACATGAATCTTGGGAAAGAAGAAAGTATATGAGGATGACAGTAAGGAACAGCATATGCAGATAATGATTACATGGAAAACAAAACAGCACATGTTTATGCAATTACTTTCATATACTGTTCCTTATACAGTACACTACTCCCTTCCTCGTGATTCATGTATATGTTTACGATCCATCGACCTCCGTCTGCTACCATATGTTTTCAAGCCTGTGAACTTCCGGGAAAATTCTTTCCCACAGCTAGTCACATCATGTGATGCAAACAAGCTACCAGTTTGCAGTTTGCAGCTGCGTTGCTCTCATATCATAACAGTATATACAATATGCTGTTGTTCTCCCTTTGATATCTTTACGCTCACATCGTTCATGAACTAAAATCCATTCACTCATCTCAAGCGACTCTCCCCGGCCCCTCACAACACCCCTGCAGAGTAGGGCGAGGGGCGAGAGAGAGAGGCTGGCAGGCCAAGGTCCCCCCGCCCTGGGAGTGGGGGCTTCCCCCGTAACCCCCGGGCCTGGCTCCGCACTCGGCGGGGCGTCTTTCCTGAGGCAACGGAGGCGGCTCTCTGCACATGCTCAGGAACCACCACAGCCTTTGCCATTGTTTATCACTGGCCCACTGTCAAATTACGATATGATATGATACGATAATCTTTATTGTCTTTTTTTTTTTAATGATATTTATTCCAAATTTAAAGTTACAGAAAAAAGAAGAAAAACCATACAAAATACAAAGAAAATTTTAACCCTAACAAAGCAAAAGATAAACGAATAAAAAGAACAATAAGATAGAATAAAAAAGAAGACTTAACAAAAAATATAAAAATACATTAAGTTAAAGTAAAACAAAAGCAGATTAAAACTTTACAAAACCTTCTCCCTTTACTTATTTCCATGACCTCCTCTCACCTCCCAATTTTGTATTCTAGTTCAAATCGTGTTTCCAGCAAATCTTTCTAACCTTATTTTCATTTACGTATTTTAAAATTAAACGATAATCTTTATTGTCATTGTCCCATGCAGAACAACGAAATTGAAAAAATCTACATAGGACATTCAAAAACCAACAAGCCTGTTATCCCAGCTATCCCAGCCTGGTTAGCCCCCTAAAAATTCTGATACCCCATAATTAAATACAATATACTCCCACAGAAACTCCTTATACTGCATTTAAAACCAAAATCGCATTTGGCTAGAAACTGTTTCTCAGGCGGCTAGTCCTAGTCTTTATAACCCTGGACCTTCTTCCAGAAAGCAGAAGCTGAAAGAGATCATTTCCACCCCCTGCTATTCCTTCTCCTCTCGCCACCCCGCGACCTCGAGTCCCTCCTGAGGTAAAGACACAGCCCAATGAGCAGCCACAACCGCCATCTTGAAACAACCGCCACTCCCAGCATCCATCTGACCTGCCACGCCCCGCACGCCTGACTCTGACCTCCGATTGGCTGATGGGGCCTGGGCTTTGCCCAGATACGGCGCAAGCAAAGTTTTGTCGCAGGAGCCGGCCAATGGGGAGGACTCGGAACGGGCGGGGGGAGAAAGCGAGGAGGAGGAGGTAGAGCCAGCTCTCCCATTGTCTTCTGGGAGTTGTAGTGCCTGCTCTCCATTCCTCCCCCTACAGAAGGGCCTAAATGGAGGCAGTGAGAGATATTATTTTCTTGGGCTCCATGATCATGGCAGATGCTGACAGCAGTCACAAAATTACAAGACGCCTGCTTCTTGGGAGAAAAGCAATGACAAACCTAGATAGCATCTGAAAAAGCAGACACATCACCTTGCCGACAAAGGTCCATACAGTGGTACCTCGGGTTACAGACGCTTCAGGTTACAGACTCTGCCAACCCAGAAATAGTACCTTGAGTTAATAACTTTGCTTCAGGATGAGAACTGAAATCGTGCTCCAGCAGCGCGGCGGCAGCAGGAGGCCCCATTAGCTAAAGTGGTGCTTCAGGTTAAGAACAGTTTCAGGTTAAGAACGGACCTCCAGAATGAATTAAGTACTTAACCCGAGGTACCACTGTATAGTTAAAGCTATGGTTTTTCCAGTAGTGATGTATGGAAGTGAGAGCTTGGACCATAAAGAAGGCTGATCGCCGAAGAATTGATGCTTTTGAATTCTGGTGCTGGAGGAGACTCTTGAGAGTCCCATGGACTGCAAGAAGATCCAACCTCTCCATTCTGAAGGAAATCAGCCCTGAGTGCTCATTGGAAGGACAGATCGTGAAGCTGAGGCTCCCAGACTTTGGCCACCTCATGAGAAGAGAAGACTCCCTGGAAAAGACCCTGATGTTGGGAAAGGTAGAGGGCACAAGGAGAAGGGGACGACAGAGGACCAGATGGTTGGACAGTGTTCTCGAAGCTACCAGCATGAGTTTGACCAAACTGCGGGAGGCAGTGGAAGACAGGAGTGCCTGGCGTGTTCTGGTGCATAGGGGTCATGAAGAGTAAGACATGACTAAACGACTAAACAACAACAACAACACACAGTTGTAATTCAACCAGTGTTTAATTGCTTTTTAATTGTTGATTTTCCCACCTGGCCCCAATATTTTTATCTTGTCTTATTTTCATCCGTGAGCTGCCTTGAGTCCCCGTCAGGAAAATAAATATGTGATCATTCTGATAATAAATTCAAGCCAGGCATTTTTCATCCCTATATACAATGCTGGCAAGAGAGGAAGGCCACCCATAACTTAGAGTGCGGAGGTGAAACAAGCATATGATCCTCGGATGAAGGGTGTCATAGAAATTTGATGAATTTATTTTACTTTAATAAATATAATAATGATATTGCCTTGACCTGCTTGGCCAAAAAATCTCACATGGCTTTTGGATTCAGCAAAACCCAGGGGGACCGCAGTGAAACTCCAAGGCCACACCTGCATACACCTGGCCCATTGTCCCAGGCCAGGTGAGCAAGAGGTCTCCTTTCCACTGACATCATTGCACTCCTGATGTTGCCATAAATAATGCTGTGACCTCATGTCTCCAGGGGCTTGGGGGCCCCTAGCAACGCTGGTGAGGAGGAGCCACATTATCAGAGAGTTTTTATTTCCTTTTGCCCCCTGAAGATTACAGATCACAAAGAGGCGAATGAGAATATCAGGTAAAATAACTCCTGCGCATTCAAACTGGCTGCCTCTGGTTGCTAACCTTCATTCTGACAGATTGTTATTGAACTGCCCTGGATACTTTCCTTTTTTTGACGAAGGGTGGTGTATTTTATTCCCTAAAAGAATAAAATAAATTGTGGGGTTGGCCAAATAACAGCCCATCATGATAGTAAGATTCCATAAAGTTTGGATTCAATTTGCTCCAGGAGTTGCCGTCGCTTAGCCCCAGAACGTGTTTTCAGCCCTAAAGAATCTCAGTCTTAGGACAGGAGAACTAATGAAGGCAAGGAGGCATCTGAACATACGCAAAGTGCCTTTCCTTTCACCACTTGAGTTGCAGCAAGCAGTTCCTACCCCTTGTTGCACACCAACCCAACCACCTTTTTCTTGCTGCTCCAGCCTGACGCTCTGCGACTACAGGAGACGCAAGACCCTCTTGGGGTGTCGATGCGATGCCATTGTAGCCTCAGGTTACATAGATGTGTAAATAAACCATAGATCCTCAAGACATCACAGTCTCCGCTGCCCCTCAATCCCAAAAGGAAACACAAACCCTGGGTGAATGCCTGGAACCCGTGGACTCTCGCACCACGGAGATTGGGTTGGCGTGCAGCAACAGGGAGGGATTGCTTGCTGCCCCTCAAGTGGTGAAAGGAGGGGGGGACCAAAGGGGTTCCAAATGAGCAAACCAACCAGGGGGCCATTTCCTCTCTTGCAGGATGACCTCCTTCCTGAAGAAGCTCCGGGGCCTGAAAAAGAAGGACCAGGAAAGTAATGAGAACATCCAGGAGAGCAACCAGGGGCAGCGGGACAAGCTGGAGGCCCCGTCATCTAGTCTGCAACAAAGTGCCACCCACGACCCGGCTGGCCGGAGAACCTCCCAGCTCTTGCCCATGCTGGTGAAACCTTCCCAGTCACCTGCGGAGGCCAGGAGGAAATCTCAGGCCCCTCCGGTAGTCTTCCCAGAGCTGGTCCAGCGTCAGACCAGCACTGTTCAGCCAGTCAGCAGCAGACAGGACTCCAGGCAGCAGCGGCACTTGTCCCTGGGGAAAAAGAAGAGCCCTGAGGATTCTGGGCCAGTGTTCCCAGGTGAGTAGGCAGACCCAGATCCCCTTTGGGTTCCCCTTGGCAAGGCCTGCGTCATCCGAGGCCGGGGTCTCTCTTGGTTTCCTTGATCTCTGGGCGCAAGTCCCACCCACCCCACCCCTCCTTTTTAAGAGGCGTGTAACATGGAGCAGGGACTTCTGGGTGTTTGCCCCTGTTCTGTTCTGCATTGCTGGGGGTTGGACTAGGTGACCCCACAGGTCCCTTCAAACGCTACAGTTCTATGATCCCTTCTCAGTTATGGCATGCATCCGCTACCTGCACTTTCCAGAAACCATTTTTCCCAGTTTGATGAAAGGGGACAAATTCAACACAGCGCTAAGCAGATTGCCACATTTGCTCAGACATTTCTGCTTTCCTGGTGGGACAACCTACCCGCTCCTTCCCCCCTGCATGCTTTGTTCTGGGGGTTCGCCTGCCTACCCCTGAGCCAATTAGGGGGTGCTTGGGGGGCATATGGGGAGAAGAGAGGGTGGGGGAAGCCCAATTGTGCTAGCAGAAGTCCAGGGTGCATGGAACGTACACACATGTGGGAAGTGTCTTGTAATTCTGGATATGCAGGAGTTTACAGTGAAGAGCAACGACAAAGTAGTACTAGGAGCTGTGGGGAGCTCTTTCACTAGGAGGTCCCTGATGAAGGCTGGAAATGACCCTCAGCCACCCCAGAAAGACCCCTCCCCTGAAAGTTTACCCCAGTATGATAGACACCAGGTGGTGCCATTTGAAGCATGCAGAGATGACATGGTGCGGCCACCCTTTGGGGCTGCCTTTGCCGGTCCGAGGAACTGAGCCGTTGTGGCAGTTCTGTGGCCCCTTCCCCACGACCTGCTTCCTGAACCTTCGTCCGGATCCGTTTGCCAAAGTTTGTGGGGATGTTGAATGAGGTCAGCGAGTGAGCGCTCATCCCAATTCATTCGCAGGGAGATGAGACAATGTCGCATCAAGAAAATGCTAGCTCCCACTTTCCATTCTAGTTTCCCTGTCACTTTTCCCACCACGAAAAATGTCCGATTTGGAGTCTGTTGGGGAGCAGGAAGTAGGTTCATTGTGCAAATCGCTTCAACCGAGCAACTTGACTTTGCCGACGTGCCATTGAATCCCATCTGAAAGGAGCAACTGGAAGCCCCCTGACAAAGAACTGACCTTTCCTCTCGTCTGCCTCACTTACTCACCTTTCTCTTTCTCTTTCTCTTTCTCTTTCTCAAGAACTCTCAGATGAGAAATTTGGATACTTGTGGGCGGGTAAGAAGCTGCTGAGAGGAAGATCGCTCAGAGAAACTTTGGAGATGTTGGATGAGCGGGAAATTTTGGACACCATCCTCAAACACCTCCAGCCAGCTCCCCAGGTACGTGTGATGCAGGGCAAAGGTAAAGGTACCCCTGCCCGTACGGGCCAGTCGTGTCCGACTCTAGGGTTGCGCGCCCATCTCACTTAAGAGGCCGGGGGCCAGCGCTGTCCGGAGACACTTCCGGGTCACGTGGCCAGCGTGACGAAGCTGCTCTGGCGAGCCGGCACCAGCGCAGCACACAGAAACGCCGTTTACCTTCCCGCTAGAAAGCGGTCCCTATTTATCTACTTGCACTTAGGGGTGCTTTCGAACTGCTAGGTGGGCAGGAGCTGGGACCGAACGACGGGAGCTCACCCCGCCACAGGGATTCGAACCACCGACCATGCGATCGGCAAGCCCTAGGCACTGAGGTTTTACCCACAGCGCCACCCACATCCCTTATGATGCAGGGTAGAGTTGATTTAAATCAAATCAATTTAAAATCATGACTCAAATCACTGGCCAGTAAGATTTTGGGAATAATAAATGTTCAGAGTTGTTTTTTGCAGTTATATCAAAAACTACTTATTTGGTTATACTGTTAGAAATGCATAGACAGATAATTATGATATTTCTAGTCTAGTCTATTTCTAGGCATGCATATTTTTTAAAGAGAAGACAAGTGGCAAATAAATGGCAACCGTTCTCTAGACAAAAAAACGACACTTTTCTTAATTTTATTCCCTTTTCTTTCTGACTTTAAAAGCAGACCTCCAGTGTCCACAGAAAATCGACTATCTTGTCCCAGGATTCAGCTGCCTCAAACCTGAGAGCAGCAGTCCCTGGCCAGCAAAAGACCTCTAAGTCAGGGCATGAGAAGGTAAGTTCTGAGTATCGTAGATGACACCGGGTGGGGTGGGGTGGGGTGGGCAGCATACAATCTGAGGAAAGAAGAACAGAGTTTTACTTTCTTTCTTAGCACAGGCCTTGTACATAGCAGGGAGACACTGAACAAAACATTCAGAGGCAAAGCTCCCTCAGAACTACCAAGCCAATCAGAGTGCAGGCTTCCTCAGTAAGCGTCAGCAAGCAAAACCTCTACCTTTCCCTCTTTTGGTTATTTGGCTTGAACATGAACACAATTCACCTGGAATGACCTCCTGTGGGAAGGGTGAACTTCCAGCAAAACATTTTCTTCAAGGAGCGTGGGAGGTCGTCCCCCCACTCCTGCTTAGCACACTCAGGCCCTGAGGGACAAGCTAGAGAGGGCCGTAAAAATCTGGTCTCCAGCTGTTTTTGAACTACAGTTCCCATCGTCCCTGACCACTGGTCCTGCTAGCTAGGAGTGATGGGCGTTGTAGTCCAAAAACAGCTGGAAACCCAAGTTTGGGAAACCCTGATCTAACGCTAATATTTTAAGGAGCTTTGAACAAGGGTTCTGTGGGGGAAGCAAGATCATTCATGGGGCATGAGGGTGCTTCTAATGTCTGGTGCAGACGGAACTCTGGTTTCTTCTGAGCTCATAGGTCCACAGCAGTTGGCTCCCCCTTTCCCCCTTTGGGAAAAGAGAGGGGGCAGAGCGTTTGGCAGTCTCCCTCATTGAGCAAGTTGACCAACTCTGCCTCTTCTGGCTGTCCCCGCAGGGAATACAAGGAGATCGTCTGAACGCAACCTGCTGCTCAGGTTTTCTCTCTGTCTTGGCAGCCAACAACTGTGGCGTAGGTGGGGTGCCAGAAAAGAGAACACCCTCTCCCAATTTCAGTCATGCAGGGTGGGTGGGGAGACCCATAAGAGGCTGCGGGTGCAGGTACTAGTTTTCTTAAAAAGCGGGAAGAACCTAGGGTCAGTTTATCTAGGACAAAAGTGTGTCATAAGAACGAAAGAGGAGCTTGCTGGGTAAGACCAGCAGCCTGCGCAGTCCAGGATCCTTATCTCACAGTGGCCAACCAGATGCCCATGGGAAATTTGAAAGCAAAATTCGAACACAGAGGCCTTCCCCCTCCTGTGGTTTCCAGCAACTGGTATTCAGAAGCATTCGTGCCTCCAGCTGTGGAGGCAGAGCAATTAGGACATGCTGAACTTTTCAGCTTTCAAATTCCTCAAATGAGGGGTACTAAAGAGTTGTAGCATGACTTGGGATTTCAGAAGATACTGTGGTTAAATTAATATAATTTAGTTTTGTGTGGTAAGTAAACTGTGTGTCAAATTGCATACAAATCATTAAAACAATTGTCTAGTACTTGCAATCTATTATTATTATTATTATTATTATTTTATTTAGCATTACCTGACATTTTCAGAAGGTAAAATTGAAATTCTTTGGTTTTCGAAAAGCAGTTTATGTAACTGGTGGGGTCTCCTCACTGTGACTCACCCAAACCTTCCCCACCCCTTAGACTGTCCTCTATAGATACTACGGACTCAAACTACGGGATTCCAGGAACAAAGATACAGTCCACCAATACTTGCACTTACTTCTAAAGTTGCCTCTTGAAGAGGAAACAGTCAGAGAGGTGAGTGAATTACTGTGTTCCCATAAAGTCCTAGGCAGTGCTACACGGTTTTGACAAATGTACACGTTTTTGCCAGCAGATCCCACTAATACAGCACATTTATTCAAACATTGGTTGGATGACTGCATCACAAAATTACCTGTGCAAATTTTGAAAGATAGCAATGTTTTGTCTCAAATATTGTTTCTGAAAGTGCAGATTGACGTGTGTTATGAGAATGATACGGTCTAAGATATAAAATAAATGTACCAAGCAAACACATACATAAATACATAAACCGCATGCCTGAAACAGTACAGGAAAAAGTCCCGAAACCATTTTGTCTCTCCCAAACTGACCTCAAATGTTTCTCTGCAAGGAGGGAGGAAATGAGAAAAACCTCCCCATTGTCTCTTTGCTCACAAATCCTGCCATAAGGGCACATTTAAGATATGATTAGGGTGAGCCTGTGACCTGGACTCAGGAATTAAGTACCGTAGTTTTCATCACGAAAGAATAGCCAGGCTGTCCAGGTAAACCCATTAACAGCCAGGTAACCCCACCAACAGGTTTTGTGTCAGACAGGATTCTGTTGTGGATCTCCCCTTCTCTGATGTATGTATGATATATGGGGGGGGGGGGCAGGTCTTGGGCTCCAGGGTGGGCAAATTCAAAATGTCTTGCGTGTCATTGTATGGGGTCCCTCCTGCCTCCTGCGTGTGGTTGTGAGCACCCTGTTGCAACAGTTCATAAAGATCAGGCTTACTAGCTGCTTTGGTTCTCAAGATTCTCTGGTTGGCCTCTGTTATTTTCTCCTACTGATAGAGAACCTGCAAAAGGACTCTATGGGCTCTTGGGTACCCCATAAGGGAAAAGGAGCAGTTTTTTCCTTATAACACATGCATCATTCTCCCTAGGGAATTTCTGAGGCTGTCGGTGTGGCTTCATACTGCCATTTATCTCAGATGCTGATGGCGCTGCGTGATTTCGGCCACGCAGTCATTACAAGGAAGATTGAGATGTCTGAGGTAAGGGTGTCAAATGAGGAAGGAGCATTGCAAGAGTGTAGCTCAGCCACCCCCAACCTGGTGCCCCTTCCCCATCCATGTGTTTTGAACTGGAACTCCCATCAGCCCCAGACAGCATGGCCAATGGTTAGACATGATGGGAGTTGTAGCGCAACAATATCTGAAGGGCACCAGGTTGAGAAGATCCTGGCAGATTGGGTCCTTAGCTGCTATTTAGATCCACATCAAAGCATACGAAACAGCCTCTGGGTTCCTGTTATCTAGAACAGGCATCCCCAAACTCAGCCCTCCAGATGTTTTGGGACTACACTTCCCACCATCCCTGACCACTGGTCCTGTTAGCTAGGGATGGGAGTTGTAGTCCCAAAACATCTGGAGGGCCTAGTTTGGGAATGCCTGATCTAGAAAAACAGAGCTGCGTTGGAAGAGAATGAATCCTCCTCCATTTCAAAATATGCTCTTTTTCAAGGGATGTGATCCTTACCACTCCAATAAAGCAATTAGATCTGCTAATGCTCTCAGTATGTAAGGCCAGAAACTTCCTCTGGGTGTATGCCTCAGCCATCCTTCTAAAGTGGGCTCCAGCAGTCCTGTCTCTGTGGCTGCAGATCCTAGATCTGATCTGATCCTTTTGCTCAGTCAGTCAGCCAAACAGATTCGTTAGAAACCATTGGTCATCCCCAAAGTACAAGCAATACAAAAGTGCACTGACTCATGTTTTTAGCTTGGTTGTTGGATGGTTGGCTGGCATTTCTTCAATATGGAAGCTAATTTTGGTGGGAGGGGGGTTGTCTCCTGGTTACCATAGAAGATAGAATCACAGAGTTGTAGAGTTGGAAGGGACCCCAAGGGTCATCTAGTCCAACCCCCTGCAATGCAGGGATCTCAGCTCAAGCATCCCTGACAGATGGTCCTCCAGCCTTCGATGAAGGAGAGCCCACAACCTCCTGAGGGAGAGTGTTCCGCTGTCAGAAAGTTTTGAATGGAGAACCTCTTAGAGTTTGGAAGAGGGGACACCTCTCCAACTGAGGGGAGGGAGCAAAACCCAAGAGAGAAGGCAGTCGGCAGGTTGGGAGAGGCAGAGAGAAAGAGGTGAGAGGTTTCAGCTGCAATCGGATTTTGAAAATGGGGTGCTCTCGGGCAAGCATTCATCTGCCTTATGGGAGTGCCTGCTGGCCACATTCCACTATGTTTTAGAGTAGACCCATTGAATTTAATGAACATGACTAAGTTGGGCCCATTCATTTCAACCGGTCTACTTGAAGCAAAGCATAGTTGAGTATCACTCTCTGTGTTCACCTCCATATATTTGTAAATGAGGCGAATTGTTACAAAGGCATAGTAACTGCGTGCACATCTAACAGTTCCATAACCTGAGGGGGCCTTGGGGTCGTGTGCCCCTGACTCTCCACTTCTCCTCCAACCCAGCTGGAAGGAGATCAGAACCTTTTCCTTCCATTTTCAGTTAACTTCCATCAAGTGTTACTTCAAACGCCCCAAAGGATGGTTAATATTCACTGTGATTTGTTCAAAGGAGCCAAGAAAAATGAAACCCAGGAGTGTGTTGCCCCAAACTCACTTTCCCCACCCTTTCCCTCCAGAATACAGGGGAGAGGAATGCCAGTATCACCATCATGCTTTGCTACGGGCAGATGGCTCTTGGGGCGCGGCCTGAAGACCTCCTGCGCTTCATTGAGCTCATTGTGGCAGAGCTCCTCTTCCAATTCCAGAACACCAGGAAGGTATGGCTCTCATTTTCCCATGGACTTCTGTTGCTTGTTCTCTCGGCACTGAGCAGACCTCCTGAACTCCGTCCTTGCACCACATGCCTTCAGACTGTGCCCTAGGGCAGGGTCTCTGGCTTCATCCACCAAAGGGTTGTAGACTGACTCCACACGTAGGACCAAATGGGGTATTACAGTGGTACCTTGGTTCTCAAACTTTATCTGTTATGGAAGTCCATTCAAAAAACAAAGTGTTCCAAAACCAAGGAGCGTTTTCCCATAGAAAGTAATGCAAAATGGATTAATCCGCTCCAGACTTTTAAAAACAACCCCTAAAACAGCAATTTAACATGAATTTTACTCTCTAACAAGACCATTTCTGGGTTAGGCTTAGGGTTTATTTTAGGATTGGGTTCGTGTTAGGGTAAGGATTAGAATTAGGGTTAGGGTCAGTGTGACTTTATGTTTCCTTGTGATTTTGATTCAATCTCAATTTTATAAAATCCCTTCTCCTTTTAGGACGAGGCTCTGAAAAAGGGCCTTATGAAGGCAGCCATTCTAACAACCAAGGCGCTTGTGCAAACAAATGTGGGACATGTCATCTTCCCGCACAAAGCGGAGCTCACCATCTGCATCATTGTGAGTAAAGAAAAAAGGAGGGGAATCTCCTGGGTTTTTTTTTTTCCAGAGTGTTTTTTTTTTTTTAAAAAAATAGCTGTGTAGGTCTAGCTCTGGTAAAATATCAGGGTTGCAGGTTCTGAGCATCTGGCCCCAAACTATTTCTGGGTGGTCACGTTCTGCTCCAGCTCAAGTTTCCAAACCCTCTTGCAAGGCAGCCCTCCATTGTGGCAACCTCAGCAGGATGTCACCAGCGCTTAAGGAAAAGAGGCTGGGTTCTCCCAGGAGGAGAGGGCTGTCCATGGTGCCTAACCATGTTTGCTATGTTCTACCTCCACAGTGGAAGGAAGCAATGTTTCTGAGCATCAGTTGCTGGAAGCCCCAGGTGGGGAGAGGGCTCTTGGGCTCATGGTCTGCTCCCTGGTTTCTCACCTCTGTGAGAACCGGATCCTGGACTAGAAGGGCCATTGGCCTGGTCCAGAAGGCTGATCTTATCTTCTTATGAGGTAGAGCTCTGTCCAGGTGAAAGATGGATCTGATTCCCAGATCCAGGAAACCCACTCTTCTCCCCTGGGAGGACCCACTTGCCAACTGCAAAGGTGGTGTCAAGTGGGCTGGGCTGGAGAGAGAGCACAAGTCAGGGCCTGGAGTGGTGGTGGCAGCGATGGTGCCTCCAGGTCTCTGACGTGCTGTGTGCTTCCCCACAACAGGAAGTCATTGAAGAGGAGCCGTTGGGATCTTTCTCTATTTCTGTCCTGCACCACGCCATCATCACCGTCAGCTGCATGACGTAAGTACAGGGAGGTACTTCTCACTGCCCCACCTATTCCTGGTCCTTCCCTTGCCATACACTTGGCCAGACACACTGCATATTTGCTCACCAGGTTTATGGACTGCTGGGTGCTGAGCATTTCCTCTCCTTTCTCTTTCCTCTTCAGTGCCGTGAGACCACCTATGGACTCCATGCTTCGGTCTGAGCTAGTGAAAAAAAGTATCAAGAAGGTGTTTTCGTTGCCGTCCTTGAAGCTTACAAAGCTCAAAGCCGGGAGTCCCATGCAATCATCACAGAGCCAGGTGACTGGACCTCCTAGGGATATGAATGGAGGAAAATGGGGTTGCCAGGTTAAAGGATTTGAGGGCAGAGAGTCTGGGCCGTGTAAGCTACAAATAATGCTGCCACAGACACTTGGCCCATCACAATGATGTAACAACCAGAGACTTTGGGTGTGTATTTTTGATTTTAATCATGTTTCAATATTAACTGCATTTAACCTTTGGCTAGAATGCATCCACAAATGATTCCTGCATGCCTGCATTTTGTGATTCTCATGCCTCCCTCCTACACTGCATTTAATTTTCTTTGTTTGCTTGTTTGTTTATATGCTGCCCACCTGACTGGGTTACTCCAGCCACTCTGGGCGGCTTCCATCAAATTAAAACACAGCAAGACATCAAATATTTAAAACTTCCCTATGCAGGGCTGCCTTCAGATGTCTTCAGAAGGAAGTATAATTATGTATCTCTCTGACATCTGATAGGAGGGTGTTCCACAGGGTGGGCCCACCACCGAGAAGGCCCTCTGCCTGCTTCCCTGTAACCTCCGTTCTTGCAGTGAGGCAGCTGCCACAAGGCCTTCTCAATAAACAACAACAACAACAGCCCCCTCTGAAGATTTGATTGCTATTGCAACGGAGGTTAAAGAACGATAGTTAGGGCCAAATGGTTTGGGACACCCCAAGGAAGCTGAGCCCAGTGTGGAGTCCTGTATCTTTATATCCCATGACCTGTAACCTTTCTTGGTGTATGTCAAAGAACGTTTGATGTTTATGACTCTGAGCGCTGTGTTTGAACCCCTGCATAAGCTTTGTTACGAATTTGCTGAGCAGCTGGAGGGCAAGGCTGCCCTATTGCAGTAGCCCTAACATATGAAGCTTGCTGCGATTCTCTTGTTTCTGTGTGCCATTCAAAAGGTGTTCCCTCACCTGGGCAATGGACAGGTGGTATAGAAATAAAGTCTTACCACAACAGCCCCCCCCCCCGGTGGCTCTTACCCTCTTTTCTCATTCTGGCTACGGGCTGCAAAAGTACTTTTCTTTCTTTATAAAGAAATAGAGTTGAAGAATGTGTGCTTCTCCAGATGTGCTGCCATTGGCCCCAGTCAGCATAGAACCATAGAATCGTGACAGGTGGCCATCCAACCTCTGCTTAAAAACCTCCAAGGAAGGAGGGGGCTGTTGAGCTCACGTCTTGCTTGTGGGTTTCCCACTGGGTCATTGCTTGGCCCCTGTGGAAAGCGGATGCTGGACTAGAAGGCTCCAGGGCACATGGGATTTCCACGGGGGTCTTCAGCTTTTAACTGCTTTTGCTTCTCTGCTTTCAGGACTTTTATCAGCAGACGGTCAACGCCTGCCTCAACATGCTCACCAGCTTGCTGTCGGAGGCCCCCTCTCTGGAGGCGCTGCAGGATATATTAGTGGTAAGGGAGCCCCCAAGATGTCAGAGCAGGGGGAGGCAGCAGATCCTGTTGAAATTATTGCACAAGGGGCATCTGTGCCCAGCTCACAGGTTGTGGATGCTGATGGTGAACTGGGCCTCTGTTCTGCTAGGAAGGCTTGTGCAAAGCACACATCCGTTTCCTTTCAAAGATACGTCCTCTGCTGCCGATGGCATTAGGGGAAGGGCCGTGGCTCAGGGGTAGAGCTTCTGTTTTGCATGCTCAAGGTCCCAGGTTCAATCCTCAGCATCTCCAGGTGGGGCTGGGAAAAGACTCTCTGTCTAAAACCCCGAAGGGCCAACTGCCCATCATCATTACCTGTGGCCAACACCAAGGTTGGTGGATCAATGGCTGGGCTTGGTCTAAGGATGCTTCCTGCATTCCATGGCTATGGATGTGGTGAGGTGTATGTTGTATTATTGTAATTATCACACACACAAACACACAAATGACAGATCGCAGGGCAGTTCACAACATGAAAAAACAAAATGAGAACACAAAATACACAATAAAACAAAAACAAACCAACAGCCAATTAATTTCTAATTCTATTAATGTTCAATGTGTTTCATTTAATGGCTTCTTTTTTCTATATCTCAAGTTGTTCTTATTTTGTTTGTAAGCTGCCTCGAGTCCCTGTCAGGGAAAAAGGTGGGGTATAAAATAATAATAAGAATGATGATGATGGTGATGATGAAGTAGAACAAATTGCAGCAAACTTTCTCCTTTACAAAACAACCCCTTTTTGAAATTTGTCCCCTCTATGGTCCCGGCATTATTGATCCAGCCAGTAGCCAAAGCTTTGTGAATTTGCAAACCCGGATTAATGGTTGTCCTTCTATGTGATGATGATTATTTCTCTCCCGCAGCACACAAATGGCTGGATTGACTCCACAAAAATCTATGAGCGCGAAAGAGCTGTCAAGAGCACCAGCTTTCTAATGAAATATGTTTCCGAGCATTTGGACTTTGATGTGAGTGACCAAGGCTTAACGCTGCAATTTCATATTTGATTTTTGTAAAATGTATTAAATTTCTATACTGCTCTTCATCTGAGGATCACAGGGTGGTTTACAATATAAATACACAGGAATACAATAACAGATCATTCCGATTAGATAACGCGAATGGGTCTTTTTTCATTTTCGTTTTTAACTTGCTTTAACTTGTATTTAACTTGTCGGATTTTCTCCGGAAAGGGTAAATCTAGATTCAATAGAGGTAGGTTACAGGGTGGGATACAGGCTAGCATTTATACTGACATAATGTTTTATGGATGCTGTGTAAGACACTGTGGTGTAGTAGTTAGGGTGTTGGTCTGAGACCCGGGTTCAAATCCCCCTGCTCAGCAATGACTCTCATTGGGTGTGACCTTGTGGGCCTGTGACTGCCTCTTGGCCTAACCTACCTCTCAGGATTGTTGTGGGGATTAAATGAGGAGGAGGAGGAGGAGGACCACCTTGAGCTCCCTGCAGAAAAAGCTGAGAGGTAAATGCAATAAATAAATAAATAATAAAATTAAAACTTGCATGTGTTGCGTGCCTCGAGGGAAGTGATTCATTAGTGAATACAATAATAACTGGTACTAATCAGCACCGATCCCACAGGAAAAACCCTTCTGGAATCATATCCAGGGCAGAATCAGGCTAATCGGTCTAACCCTCGAGCAAATATGAGGGTTGTGTGTGGAAATTCCCTTCCTGACCTATGTAGATCATAAGAACAGAAGAATCGCTTTGCTGGGTTCGCCAAGAAACCTGTTTAGTTCATCTTGCTATTTCCAACTTCAGACAGAGGGATGCCTCTTGGGAAATTTCAGCCAGGGTGTTAAATTGAGTCTGCATCTGTGCATGAGATATATAATAACATAGCAAGTTAGCATCTCTCCCCCTTTCCCTCTGGTTTAACAATACTCCCATAGATGTTCTCAGCGATCAAGCTGGGATATATGAGTTCCTGACATCCTGAGGCAGCCTGGAGCTCAGATGGTCAGGGCTTTGTTAATGAATAGAAGAACCTTGAAGCTGCCTCAGAAATAGATGGGCCACCAATGCAGCTGTTTTAACAATGGTGTCCCATGTTCTCAGCCCGAGGCCCCCACCAGCAATCTGGCCGCAGCACTCTGCACGAGGTGGAGCCTGTGAAGCAGATCCAAGGGCAGACCCCCCCCCGAATACTTTGCAGTAATCTAGACTTGAGGTTCCCAAAATACAGACTACAGTGGTCAGGCTATCTCTGTCTAGGAAGAGCCATAGTTTGCAAACCAGACAAAGCTGGTAAAAGGCACGCCTAGCCCTAGAAGATATTTGGGTCTCTAGCTGCCAAGATGTATCCAGGGGTACCAGAAACTAGACAGGTAAAAAGAGATTTGGTCCACCCAGGATTCAAGCATGTTGCTTTTATGAATTGTGCATTTCTGTATACCTTCTCCCGTAACGTCTGCGTTTTGTTGTTGTGGTTTGGAGAACTGCATTGCCAAATTTCTGGATTTTGAAGGAAAACCTGTGTCTTGGTTGGCGTATTGCTTTGGAAAGTTCAGGTGTGAACTAGATGGATTTTCCCCTGCTCCCCAAAGTGGTGTGCCTTGGCCATCCCGGGGAAGGTGCCAGCCAGTGCTATTTTCCTAGAAAAAGAGGTGCCAGGACTCACCATGAACTCACCTCCCTCATTTTCTTACAATGACAATAGCGCCCACCTGAGAGGTGCCAGAACTGAGTTCCAGTGAGTTCTGGCTGGGGGAAAGCCCTGGCGCAAGCCTTGGGTGGGCCACCTAAGCCCAGATCTCTTGCCCTGTGCCTCTCTGCCACCTTTGCCGCCTGAAAGCATGCCGGACGGTTTTCTCTTGCTGGGCTCTGTGGGACGAGGGCTGACTGTGCATCTCTCTCTGTCTCCACCTCCTAGATATCCCCGGATTTCCCCCTTCTGGGACAGCTGGTGGGGCTCTTGTCCCTTCACCTCGCAGACAACGTGAAGGAGATTGGTCTGCAGTCAGCGGAGGCCTTGTACCATCTCCATTACATCATGATAGCCAAAATGGGTGAGGGGGGTGCTGGGAAAGGGGGTGTTTCTTGCAAGCCGCAGGGTGGGAGATCGGCAGCCCTCCAGAGGCTGCTCCAACTCCCATCATCCCTGAGTGTTGCCCATGCTGGCTGCTGCTGGGGGTGATGGGAGCTCAGGAGGGCCAGAATTCGTGCCAGCCCTGGCCTAACGCAAACACCCCGTTGGCCAGAGACGAGAGGTCAGTCTGAGGGGAGGGATTCACTGCTGAAGAAGACAAGAAAAGCCGCCTGGATCAGACCAGTGGCCCACCCCAGTCCAGCATCCTGTTCCCCCAGGGGTTGACCAGATGCCTCTGGGAAACCAGTAAGCAGAATTCGAACTCAAGAGCTCTTTCTTCTCCTGTGCTTTGCTGCCTCTGACCGTGGAGGCCGAGCATAGCCATCCTGGCTAATAGCCATGGGTAGCCTTCTCTTCCATGAAAGCCATCTTGGTCCGTGGCCATCAGTGCCTCCTGTGGCAGGGAGTTCCAAAGTTGAGCTGTGCACTGCAAGAAGGAGGACCATCCTGAAACTTCAGTTTCATTGGAGGTCCAGGAGTTCTCGTGTTAGGAGGGAGAGAGAGAAAGCTTTCTCTCTCTCCACTTTCCCCTTGCCATACATTGTGTCTCCTCTTCCTCACCATTTTTCTAAACGGAAAACCCCCCAAATGCTGCGACCATAGAGCTCTGCAACCACCCCAGTCCTTTTGGTTGCCCCCTTCTGAACCTTGCCCAGTTCTGAATTATAATTTTTGAGGTGAAATTGAGAATCTTTTTGTGGGTCGCAGTGGGGAAACTGGGGGGTTTGTGCAGGGAGCACTAATGCTGTGTTCTTTTGCCTGCATATCCCCATCCCTGACCCCGTTTAGCTAAGAAGGTGGAGATGAGGCATAAGAACAGGAAAGGCAACGTGGTCAAATGGTTCCGAGAAGACTTCTTCATCCCTGGGCCCGCCATCTTCTACACCGACATCTCCAAAGTGGCCAAGGTGAGTGTGGCTTTTTGGACTGTTTCTTGCTAAGGCCGCAGCCAGCTCTCAGTTAGCAGCCCACGCCTTCTAGGAGATGAGGGAGAGATTCAGAGCAGTTCACATTTAAAGCCAAAGCTATCAAATCCAGGCTTCCTGAAACAATATGAGAACGGAAACATAAGCTGCCTTTGAAATTCATACATCCTTGAGTTTTTCAGTGCCATTTCCTGGCCAAACAGTGTCTACAAAAAGGATTGTGCAAGCTAAAAGTGTCCAGAAAATGAATATATTAGTGTAAATAACATATGGAAATGCATTGTATTAGAATAAATCTTTTGAAGCCAAGCGCCCATTGGTCTAAACTGCATGCCAAATTCTACTTACAGTGGACGCTTGGGTTGCGAACGTGATCCGTGCAGGATGCACGTTCGCAACCCGCAGCATTTGCAACCCGTGTTTGCGCATGCGCGGGTTGCGATTCAGCACTTCTGCGCATGCACAAAGTGGTACTTCCGGGGGGTTTCGGTGGTCTGCAACCTGAAAAAACGCAACCTGAAGCAGTTGTAAACTGAGGTATGACTGTATTCTAAAAGGTCACATTACACAAAACGATAGATAGATAGATAGATAGATCCCAACCCCAAACTACTCAGGCACTGCCACAACTGAGCCCTGGATAGAGATCTGTATACATTACAAGCTGCAAGCTGCCAGGCCAATGGATCCTGCAGTTGATTTGTGGAGTAGCCCTAGCTGTGCATCTGATGGGCCACTGCGGTGAGGAGAGCTGCTTCCCTGCATGTCTGACCTTTGCTGGATCGAGGAGAGGCAGGGTGGTGCAGTGGCTAGAGAGACTGACCAGGTGCTGGGAGACCTAGGGTTCAGATCCCCACTCAGCCAGGAAACTCATGGGGTCAGTCACAGTCTCTCGGTCTAAACTACCTCATGAGGATAAAATGGGGAGGAGAGAGAACCATGGATTGCCACCTTGGGAAGAAAAAGAGTATGAAAAGTTGACTCATTTGGTGCCCGTTTCATGAGGCACTGCCAAGCCAATGGGCTATGCCAGGCTTTCTCAACCTCGGCCCTCCAGATGTTTTTGGCCTACATCTCCCATGATCCCTAGCTAGCAGGACCAGTGGTCAGGGATGCTGGGAATTGTACTCTCAAAACATCTGGAGGGCTGAGCTTGAGGAAGCCTGGACTATGCTAACATTGTGGTGGATGTTTTTGACGTATATTAAGAAATAAACACACAGCCTGCAGGTTCCCACCTAATCTGACTTCTTTTGGCATTGATTGATTATATAACTGATATCTACTATTACTCACCCTCTCTGTTGTCTTATTTTCTAGTCTGACTTTAGATTGTACCTCTCCATGTTCCAAGGTCATAACCAGTTTTAGATGGGGATCGAAAATAGGAAGGCGTCCCCTGACTCCTAGTTTTGTTTGTTGTGAAATCTTTCAGTTACTTAAATAAACATTTAAATAGAATCAGAATTGGAGAGTTGGAGGGGATCCTGAGGGTCATCTCAGGCAGAGTGGATGTGTCTTTCACTAGGTTTGTCCCTTGGACTACTGAAAAGTGGTCAGATGCAGAGCAGAAGAAAACTCCCTCGTCTTTCTTCTTTGTGCCAGGCTTTTGGGGAGCACCTCGCGCCCAGCCAGATCAACGAAGTCGTGTTGAAGGCGATTGACAACCTGACAGTGGAAGACAGAGTCATCTCTCAGGCTTCAGGAAAGCTGCTGAGTTCCTTCCTTGAGGAATGCGGGATGGACATGGAAGATGTAAGGCTCAAAATGGAGGCAGAGGGAAGCAGGTTTCCTCTAAATTAAACATTCTCTTTGGATGTAGAATCAGCTTGTTTCTAGGGGTGTAAGAAGGCATTGATTTCCACGTTTGTGGATTGCGCCTCTGTTTCCATTCTGCTGCAGTTCAGCTTCCAAAAAACAACCACCATGTTTTTAATCTCAGTTTTGTTTTGTTTGTTTTTCTTGGGGGGGGGTTAATAATCACTTTGAGCATCTTTTTTATCTTGTCATATATCATTCCCCCAAAATCCCTCATTTTCTTTCAGGTTCACCACACTTTCTCATCCTGGTCTTCTTTTATCTTCTTCCAGCTGCCCATAGTTGTGAAGGAGATTTACAACCATCTCCACAGAATATCAGACACCCGCACTAAGGATGAGACACTCACAGCTGTGGTCAACCTTGCTGCGAAGCGCCTGAACCCGGTCGTAGATAGCCTGTTGGACTGCTCACTGGAGTGTGATGAGTAAGGGCCTCTTAGAGATGAGTGTGTTATGGGGGGATATATCCATTTTGCCTGCAAATCTCAGGGCGTCTCAGATGCCCTGCATAACCTGCGATCCACCAAGCCAGGCCAGAGCCCATCAGCCATAGATGGAGATTTCCCAACTCTGGGGCATCTCCCAGGTTTTTCAAGTAGAGCTGCCAACTTTTTGTCCCCTGGAAACTGCTTGCTCTGCAGGAATGAGGCTTTCTTCCACGCTGTGAAAAGCAGTACCCACTGTGGATCAAACCTCTGTTCAAGATTCAGGTGGAAGCCATGCCAGGTTTTTCACACACACACCTTCTGGGCAGTTGCGAGGGACAGGGAACAAATTCCGTTTGGGTCACTTTTAAGTGAGAGCTTACGTCATTTGCAGTTTCCAAAATGAGAACTGTCGTATTTCAAAATTCGCACTATTCTGAATTTTTCAATGCAGTTATCCAGTCAAGTAGCGCACGCGCGCACACACACACACACACACACACGTAGGCACACAAATGCATGAACTGGTGGAAATAACATATAGAAAGACATAAAATTAGAGGAGATTGATTTGCAAAAGGTGTTTAAGAGGCAAAACTGGACATGAAAATCTGCAAAGTGGAAATGGGGAGAGCTGAATTTAAGTGGGCTTTCTTAATTTATATTTCCATTTCATACTTGCAAAAAATTGTGCCCCGAGTTACATATCAAAAAGGGGAATAGTAGTTTCTTTCTTTGCTAATGCACGTGCGATATAAAGGAAATACAGAAGGCCTGACTTTTTTTAAGAAAGGGAAAAAGGAAAAATTCTCTTTTGACAAATTGCAGAAGTGCTGCAGCGATCTGGAAGGCCTTGGTCTCCGATCCGTACTCCAGCATCAAGCTGCTGAGACCCCTCCTGAAAAGGCTACAGGATGAAGACCCCAACGCAGAAGTCACGTACAGGCGACGCAGTACTTCTCAAATGCCAATTGCGGTACGAAACCACTCAGTTTCTCTCTCCTGGGTGGTTCTTGAATGGGAGCTGGATGGGGCTGGGGCTTCTGGCTGGGGGGGAGGGTTGCATCTTAATAACTGGCCTCTGGGGTTCTTCCCAGCGGCATCTTAGTGGTCCATCGCTGTGGGGGGTCTCCTGGAGCACAGCCCTGGCTCAGGGGCAGAACACCTGCTTTGTATGCAAAAGGGCCCCAGCATCTCCATGTCGGGGTGTCCCTCGCCTGAAACCCTGGACAGCCTCTGCTAGTCAGTGTAGACAATACTGAGTGAGATGGACCAGGGGTCTGAGTCGCGTCCTGCATAGAGAGTTGGGAGATCTTGATCTGACGATGTCCTCCGCTGAATGCTGTTCTCCTGTCCTTGTCCCTCCAGGCTACCAACGCTTTGTGTCTGATCCTGTCGCTACCTGAGGCTTCGGATGTACTGCAGAACAAGTTCCCCCAGCTGCTGCTTGCCCTGATCACTCAGATCTATTTTCTTTTTGGGACGAGCAGAAGAGTTTCGAGGGCGACAAGTCTCATGCCGGAGCCCCCTTCGCATCTCCATCCGCTGGCGTAAGGGACCTGCCCATGCATTTGGGGTGGCCCTCCCTTCTCTCTCTGGGCGCTTGCAAGCCTGACCGTAGCAGTGATGGCTCAGCCCTCCCCCAAGAGATAGGCTTCACTTGGACATGGAGGTTCTGCTTAGCTTGGGTAGCTAAGAGACCCAGGCTTCCCCAACCCCTGTGCTCTTCAGTCGCTTTGGACCACAACTCCCACCAGCCCCAGCCAGCACAACTCTGGCGAAGATGGGAGTTGTTGTAGTCCAAAGGACACTAGGATGGGAAAGGATGTTGGAGACTCTCCCACGCGATGGGCTGATTTTGGCGTGGCGGGACTCACGTGTCATGAAACCTTAAGTCTCCATCGCAGCCGAAAGGTTGCAGCTTGTGCTGGAAACATGTGAGAGGCTGCGGGGGCTGGTGGTTGTGGCTGGATCTATCAGGCCAAGCAGCTCAAGACTGCAAGATGTCAAGGAGCTAAAACTCCCCAGATGAACCTACCCAGACCTTGTGATCATCATCAGAGGCCCCTCTTCATGTGCCTCCTCCACGAGAAGTCCAGAGGGTGGCAACACAAGAAGGGGCCTTTTCTGTGGTGGCTCCCCATTAGTGGGATGCTCTCCCCAGGGAGGCTTGCCTGGTGCCTTCATTATATACCATTAGATGCCAGGCCAAAATGTTCCTCTTCAGTCAGGCCATTGGCGGATTAACACCCTACGCCCTTTCAGCTGTGTTTGTGAGAGGAAGAAGGAGTTATTGGTTCGGTTTGTTCTTGTTTTTATTATTTATTTTGTGCTTTTTATCTTGTATTTTTGTGTTGTGAACTGACCTGAGATCTATGGGTGAAGGGCAGTATACAATTTTTTTTAATGGATAAATAAATATAATATTCTTAATTCTTTCACTCGATTCAGGACCACTGTGCAAGCTCTGAAAAACCTTATTGGATGTGGTGGCTACATCAAAGAATACAACATTTTGGGGGTGCAAAGGTGCTGGGATATGCTGTCAAACCCAGAAAGCTTTTTCGATGGCATTCGTCTTCTGACAAGGTAAGACGGTGAAAAGGACTGGCAGGTGAGGCACGAAGAGCAGCCCACCAAGGCCTGCTTTCTGGGAAATGGGGTTAAACTTATTATTTATTTCAGAAAATGTATATGCTGTTTTATTGTAATAAACAAACTTCAAAGCGGTTAAAAAGAAAAGATAGGCAAATATTGATTAGAAAAACTGACAACAATAATTTGAGACTTTTGAAAAGTTAAAATAACAATTGACTAAAACCAGATTAACATTTGCACCAGCTTTCTAAACATCTGGGTAGGCTTGTCTAAACAAGAACGTTCTTAGCAGGTGCCCAAAAGAGTACAGTGAAGGCGCCTGTTTGATATCAATAGGCAGGGAGTTCCAAAGTTTAGGTGCTGACACACTAAATGCAGAGCAGGCATTCTGTGGTGCCTGAAAGAGTGCCAATTCCACCAGTTGAAGAGGTCGAGTGGGTGCATATGGGGTAATGGAGTAATGAACCTTCCCCACTGAAAACTCTGCTGGCTTTGGAGATTTATTTGCAAGAAACTGCCCTGCACTCTCAAGCATCCTTCCTTGACAGAGAGAGCTAGATATGACTTGGGTGAAATTGGAGAGGAGCAGAGGGTAGTGACTGGGGCAACCCGATCAGATGGGCGGGGTGCAAGTAATGAATAATTATTATTATTATTATTATTGAACACTTAGTGGTTCTTCCTGCCAGCTTCAGGCTTGTGCATCCTTTGTGTCTGATTTTGTGTTTCAGGACCTTGTTCACCTTCTCCAAAGTGCACCTCAGAACAACTTTCAAACAGGCCAATGCCTACTTGCGCCGCCCTGACGTAAAGGAGAGGACGGTCGGGATGGCCTTCTTCACCGAGGTGAGAGTCGGAAACGGAGAATGCCTGCAGGCGCTCCTGCTTCGCAACAACCGTTCCCAGGCAGGCAAGGAAAGCAGAGGGTGTAAGGAGGTCTCCGGAGCCACCATTGATGGCTGGCAGGCCTGCCCTCTGCCTGAGGCAGCAATTTCTACAGGCCTTAGTTAATGCACACTGCCCTCAGCTCTTATCTAACTCCTTGCGCTTTGCTCCCCCTTTCATCCCACCCAGGGGGGGCCCTCCCTCTGCCTGCCCCTCAGAGCCAGCATGGCACACAGGGCTGGGCTTTGGTGGCCGCAGCCTCTTCTCCTCCTCACCTGCTTTCCAGCAGCCTCTACAACAGCCTTTCCCAACCTGTGGGTCCCCAGATGTCGCTGGACTACAACTCCCATCACCCCTAGCTAGCAAGGCCAGAGCTCAGGGATGATGGGAGTTGTAGTCCAACAACATCTGGGGACCCACAGGCTGAGAACCGCTACTCTACCAGCTGCCCAAGGGAGGAGGCCAGCAGCAGTGACCATGGAGATGCCATGGAGGGGCAACGAGAGGCCCCCTCACAGCCGCCACCGTCATTGGGGACAAGCTCTGGCTCATCCGCCTCCCCTGGCAGCTCTGGCAGGGAAAACAGGGACATTCCGGGATTAAATCAGAAGCCGGTTGGCTTTCGTTATTCCGGGGCTGTCCCTGGAAAATCAGGCCACTTGGAGGGTATGGGGTACCGGACTTCGGTTTCCGCGGCACAGATTTCCTCCTGCCCTCACTACTTTCTTTGGCCTTGCACACATCAAGTGTTTTCTTTTTCAGCTCCTTTTCCACTCAGAGATAGGCTTGTTTTTCGTGAAGCAAGACATTATGGACGTCCTGAAGGAGTGGATGGGGCAAGCCAGCCCCCTCATGCAGCTCTTCAGCATCCGAGGACTGGGCTACATGTTGCAGCACCAGCTGGAGGTAAGAGATTGGTGGCGGGGGGCACATTAGGAAGCGGCGTACAAATTAACCCCACAACGCTTTGAGGTAGCCATATCAGCCTTTCAATGAGGCTGTTAAAATGAGATTCCTTTGTTCTGCTGCAGCCTTATTCTCAGGTCCAGATCAGCACAGGAAGGAAGCTGCCTTAAAGGGAGTCAAGCCAATGGTCTGGCTACCTCAGGGTTGCCCACACTGACCGGCAGCAGCTCCCCAAGGTTTCAAAAGTCTCTCCCAACCCTGTGTGGAGATGCCAGGACTTGAACCCGGGACCTTCTGCCTGCAAAGCAGACGCTCCCGCTCTGGCCCCTTCCCCTACTGGAGGCCCCCACCCTGCACAAGGACTCAGGAGAGAGCACCCGCTTGGGTTGTTTACTTTTGTGTAATGCTTACGCTGTGGCTTTTTGGGTGCAAACTGCGTCTGCGTGCACTGACTTCTCTGCCGTGACCGTGTTCCCTCACCTGCTTCCTTGCTTCCTTCAGGATGAGTCCTTGAATCCCTTCATCTCGCCCCTGATCAACTGCGCTTACAATCCGGACAAGAGTATTGCCAAAGAGTCCATTAAGTGCCTGCAACTCATGTTCCACCACTTGGAGGGGGAGGAATACAGCTTGGCCGGCTGCAGCCTTTACCCTCAACTCTTGAAACACTTCAATGACGTAAGTCAACAAGCCTACTCGAAATGGACTTCATCCATGCCCTGGTGCTTCCCAAACATTTGGGGGGGGGGGCTGCCCCTTTGGTTCCATAGCCTCATCCCCAGTGCCCCCTACACTATGAAAAGAATCACAGTGGTACCTTGGTTCTCAAACTTAATCTGTTCCAGAAGTCCGTTCCAAAACCAAAGCGTTTCAAAACCAAGGTGCGCTTTCCCATAGAAAGTAATGCAAAATGGATTAATCCATTCCAGACTTTTAAAAACAACCCCTAAAACAGCAAGTTAACATGAATTTTACTCTCTAACGAGACCACTGATCCATAAAATGAAAGCAATAATCAATGTACTGTACTATAAAATAAATAAGACAGTATTGTAGATGATTAAAATTTAAATAATTTTTTTTGCTTACCTGCACTGATGATAGTCGTTGTTTGGATGGGGGACTTTTATCCATTTCCACAGTCACACAATCAATCTATCAGTAGCTAAACTGGGTTCCAAACAGTCACAAAAACTAACCAAAAAAGCCTCAAAAACAAAAATGCAAAATAAATAGTAAAAACAAAAGCGCCAAATACAGTGGTACCTTGGTTCTCAAACTTTAATCCATTCTGGAAGTCCATTTGACTTCTGAAATGTTCGAAAACCATGGCGCGGCTTCTGATTGGTGCAAGCGCCCTGAAAAAAATAGCCGACAGCTGCATCGGACGTTCGGCTTCCGAAAAACGTTCAAAAACTGGACACTTATACTTCCAAGTTTTTGGCATTTGGGAACCAAGGTATTTGAGAACCAAGTTACCACTGTATTCAGAATAGAGGTTTGCACGACCCACTAAGGAAGATGATAACACAAAATCGAAATTCCTTTTTATCTTCCTTCCTTCCTTCCTTCCTTCCTTCCTTCCTTCCTTTCATCTTCTTTCTTCTCTCTTTTCCTTTTGTTTTCCTTGGTGTCCTCTGCTCAGGGCCATTGATTATTGGGCTCTTTGGGCATGGTCAACGGGGGAGGGGGGCAACTGCCCCTTCAATCAAGCAAATAAAGAAAAACACTTAATTAACTGACCAATCGCATCACAGATAGCTTGGTTCTTCTGCCACACCCCCCTCCCCAACATAAATACTGCCCCACCAACATAAATCCTGGCTACGCCCATGTTGGGCTCCAAGGAAGGTGATGGCTTGTTGGTGAAGGACCCTGAGTGAGAGACAGGGAAGGGAAGAGGCTGGGAGGGTTGACCTCTTTCCTGGTGAGACAAGGGTTAAGAGCTATCCTTGAGAGAAGACTCTGCATTTCTGTTGCTCTTTCTGTTTTTATTTAGATCAGTTTCCTTTTTTTATTGTATTATGAAAAGCCTTAATAAAGACTTATAGGAAAAAATAAAGAAGATAATAACACAGTGAAATTCAGAACACCAGCTGCGCCGTCTTGCCCCTGCAATTGAGGGGCAGGCGCTGTGTGACATGCACATGTCATGCACACATGCCACGCCATGTGCCGCACGCACGCCGCATTTACACCTCAAGCCCCCCTCTGTCACCCCCCCCACAAGTGATCCCACTGGCCTAATCTGCAAGACTTCTTGCTTCACCTGCACTTCAGGTGACTCTGTCTGCCAGCAGGTGCTGCTGGCAGAACTTTAGATGCACCAGGATGAACTCAGTCCGTTAAGCTTAACGGTGGTGGGCAAAGGCCCCCGGGGTTGGTCCCCTGTTGCGTGGGCCCAGCCAACACCCTCAAACAACCAGACCCATCGTGAACGAGAAGCGTTTCCTCAGCTAAACTCCCTGAAACGGGTTTGCCCTGCACAGCACTTGGGACTGACTGGCGTTCTCCTCCTCTCTCTCCTCAGGAGGACAATGAGCTCAGCCTTTGCTCCATCATTCTTTTCGGGATGCTGTTGAGGGGCGTGAAGGAAGAGCACAGAAACAGGGTGGAGGACATTGTCATCAGGAGCCTCGTCCCCCTGATAATCCAGCTAACTGACCCTGTGAGCAGAGAGGTAGGTTGAGGCTGGAAGGGCCAGTCTGGGCATCGCCTGGCCCCTTTGGCAAACTCCTTCTCCCTGGCAACTGTCGCACGCAGCTGGAACGCAGAGCAATGTTTCTCTGCCTGTGGAAACCCCTTACGATACCAATGCTGGGTGGTCCTCGAAGCATCTGTTGCAGCTGAGGAACTCTCCCCTTTCCTGGGAATTTCAACATGAGGAGCGTTGCTCTGCGTGTTCCAGCAGGGCTTGGAGAATCATCCCATGCTGCCCCACAGATCAAGTAATGCGTAGACTGGTCTTGAATGGGTGGGCCTCGATTGTGCTTGGGTCTGAGTCATCACCACACCTGAGGTCAGAAAAGTTAGAGATCCTTGCAGATACCATGCTATGGTTGGGATTGTCTGCAAAAGGTTGGAACCATCAGAGTCATCGAACCGCAGAATCAGAGTTGGAAGGGATCCCAAGGTCCTCTAGTCCAACCCCTGCAATGCAGGAATCTCAACTCAAGCGTCCCTGACAGATGGTTCTCCAACTTTTGCTTAAAAACCTCCAGTGAAGGAGAGGCCACCGCCTTCCAGGGAAGTTGGTTCTGGAAGTCTTCTGATCCAGGCTGTTTAGCTTTAAGGAGTGGAAGCCCTGCAGGGTTGGTTTTAAAACCTGGTCATTAGACACTATTTGAAACACCAAGGTTTGAGTTTTTGGGTTTGGAAGCTAAGCCTTGACACCTCTGCTGTCACTGTGATCAGCTGACTAGGCCGGCCTGGTGGAGGTTCATTTAGCAGCCAGTAACCAGAGGGAGGGTCTTTTTCAGGGTGGCTCCTCTCTATGGAATCACTTCCCTTCTGAGCGCAGGTGAGCCCCTACATTAGTGGCGTTTTGATGCTTGTTAAAAACCTAGGTGAGCTCTCAGGGTTTAATTCCCAGTGGGCTAGTTGTGTTTTTAACCCTACCTGGGTTACTGTCTGCATTTTATTTGCATTGCGGCCTCAATGCAGATATGTATATTTTCAAAGCTGTTGCAAGCCTAAGGCTTGATGTGAAGTAAAATGTCATCCCTCCTTTCAATTCTAGGAGTGTCGAATTGTCCTTAACACAATTGTCACCTTCCTGAAACTGGGGGAGCTGCCCTTTGACATCTTTGAGTCTGTGCAGCAAGACAGACTCTACCACAGATTCTCAGTTATCTGCAAGTACATTGTGAGTAAAATTAACATGGTCAACTGTTCCCTCCAGACTCTTTCACCAGATTTCTTCAGAGGAGAAGAAATTTTCCCACCATTTCTTAAGTTTGGGACTCACTTACTTTCCTCCCAAACTGTGTGTGTTTGATGTGGGCAGTGGGAGTTGCAGGCTTATTTTATTCTACTGCCTGGCTACTATCATATTTTGTATCCACCACAATGCCCCAGATCACGGCTTGGGTGAGGAAGTGGAAGAATATCTAGATGAAATTCTGCAAAATAGACTCTTGAGAAATGGTGTATGGGGTGTGTGTGTGTGTTTTGATTTTTCTTAGAAAGATGCTGTGCAACAGCTGCAGCACTCCTAGCGGCTCATCCCTCTCTCCCTCTGCTAAATTAACCCCCCAGTTTTATGCCATTGTGGTGTATTGATGTGCATCCCCCTGGATCAGCTGTGGCTGCAGACCCTCAAAGTGTCCCTATTTTCCAGGGACGTCCTTGTTTTAGAGAAGCCATCCCGGTTTCTGGTTTGATCCTGGAATGTCCCACTTTTCCTTAGGATGTCCCTATTTTCACTGGAGAAATGTTGGAGGGTATGGAGTTATCCGACCTCTGAGCCGTCTGAAGGAATCCTGTATATCAAAGTTTTTTAACGTTTAGTGTTTTGTTATGGTTTTATGTGTGTTGGAAGCTGCCCAAAGTGGCTGGGGCAACCCACTAAGATGGATGGGGTATAAATAGTCAAATTATCATTATGGAATGGGGCGTCCCTCATTTCATCAGAGAAATGTTGGAAGGTATGTGGCTGCAGCATCTGCCTTCTCATCTCCCTGTGTCTGTATCTGTGGCATCAGCATCAGCCGGCCACAGCCACCAGCTTAGCCCTGCCTTCTCCATCACAGATGTCTTCTAAGACATTTTGTCACTATTATCTATGTGTAGCACAGCCGCAAACAGAGGCCCAGCAACACTGCCATATCCACAGTTATGCTATGGAACTCACTGCCACAAGACGCACAGCTGGCCACTAGCTTGGATGGCTTTAAAATAAGATTGGACAAATTCATGGAGGGTGGCTCTGCTCTGATTCCATAGTTCTACCAACTAAACCAACTAAATTTTTCTGTGCTCTTAATACTTGGGCATGAAGTATGATTCTGCATTATATAAAGGCAGTAGTATTACTGTGGGTGGCCAATTCGAAACAATGAGGTCATACTTTTCAAGTATTGTTTGGCCACCACGAGGGATAGAAATGCGTTAAGAAGCTGGAGTTTTACAAAAGACTAATCTGGCACCTCGGCTGTCTTCCTGTCCACTCCCCCCGCCCCCCCAGTTGTGGAGATACAAGCAGAGGTTGCCGGACATGCTCACGCAGATGATGGAATACCTAAAGAGCAGAAACCCTGCACATCGCGAGGCAGCGACCATATTGATAGGTAATTGAAAACAAGGCTCTTGAGAGGAAAGGGGATTTCAGGGCATGAGACAGAAGTGGGATTTCAGCTGGGAAACCTGGAGGCAGGGATGCAACTCCAGGTGTCATGCGCTGCCTAACTCTGTCCAAAGGAGAGTGCTAAAGGGAGGCTGCACCCAGAAAGTCAGGCGCTTCTCCATTGTTGTTGTTGTTGTTTACCCGACCCATGCCCCAAGGTCCCAGGGTGGGTTACCACTTTTAAATACAGACAGTGACTGGTTTCTTGCGATTGGTGCACCGCGCACACTGGAAGTGGCCTGAAAACGTCACCAAACATCATTAAGATGTCACTGAAAGGGCAGAGCAAGGGTCGAATGGGGGTGGGGTACGGCAGGGCGGAACAAGGGTGGGGTGGAATGCTTTACCAATGCGTGTGGGGGTCTGGAACATAACTCCCACGCAAAATGAGGATTGCCTGTATTGAAACAGAGACGTGCCCCTCAAACTTTTTGTGCCTGGGGCAATCCCCCCAGTAACCCCCACTACGCCACACCATTTCCCCTGTATGGAATCCTGGAGAGCCCCTGTTCTTCAGTGTAGACAGTCCTGAGCTGGACAGACCAATGCTTTGACCCAGCATCAGTCAGCTTCCCAGGTTCCTACGATTAAACCAGCAAATCGTGAAAGTGATCCAGAAGTTGTTAGCCCCTTCTATAGAGTACCAACAGCCTCTGTGCCTCAAGTCTGATGAATGTTTTTAAGCTGGACAAAGTATCAAATGCAGGAACTGATCATTTTCTATTGATCTGTCTAGCGTGCAATGCACAGTATATGAAACCCGACTTGGTGAGCACCAAACAAATTGACGACATTTATCTGGGTAAGGATCAAACCGGCTCTTTTCCTTGCAGGGATATTTTCATCACAGGACTACTTTTCCCAATCTCATTAATCCCAGATTATCCCACTTTAGTTACTATCAGCCCCTGCAGTCTCCTTTCCCTTCTGGATTGTGATTCCCATGTTCTTCTAGCCACTAACATGACGGGAAATCTGACGAGTTTGTGCTGGGCAAGAAATTGCATTGGGAAAATATAATATAGTTGGATTAGACCTAACAACAAAAGTTTTGTTTCTGTACACTTGGACTTGAACAGAAACAGTGTTTCTTTCTCTCTCTAACACCTGGCATTAATTTACCTAGCAATGCCAAAGCGAAATGAATTGTCACAGTAGGGCGTGCTGAATTTTTCAGCTTTCAAAATCAGAAAGCAAGGGGTGCTAAAACGTTGTAACATGACTTGGGAATTCAGATGTTGTTTGGGTGAAATGCATATGATTTGCTTTTGCTTGGTGAGTGAAATGAGTGTAAAATTGCATAGAAATCATTACAAATGATCGCTAGGAACTTAGTTATTTTTATTTCAGCATTAACGTAATTACCTTACATCTTCAGAAGTTAAAATTCTTTGGTTTTTCCGAAAGCCGTTTTTTTTCCTGCTTCTTCATCAGACATAGACTTACCATGCTAAATGTTGTTCAGTCACAAAAATAATCACAGATTTCAATTCCTCACACCCAAAAACATATTTTAAACATATTTCACCCCATAAAATGGCATGCGCTACCCAGGGAGCCCAGCTCACTTCCCCGGCTGCTTTTCTTTGCCATTGCAACCCCATTGCTTTGCCATTCTCCTGTCCAGTACACCAGCCCCCTCCAGATCTTGTTGGACTACAACTCCCATCAGCCAAAGCCAGCAGAGCCAATGGTAAGGGGGGGGGGGTCCGTATGTGTCACTTCTCCTCATCTCCACATCAAAAAACGGCCAGTCCTAGAAACCTCCTCCACATAAACAATACTGAGCTCAGCAACCCAATGGGCCTAACTCTGTTCCAGGCAGCTCCTTCTGTCCTTAGAATGAGGGGTATTTGCTCCTGACAAGATCTATCCCTGTCCCTCCTTTGAATTTATCTCTTTAAATATCTCTATGTGATTTATAACCAGCTTACAAGAGGAGGGAGCGATGGCCACCAACTTGGATGGCTTTGAGAGGCAGAAATGCTTCTGAGCACCAGTTGCGGGAAACCACAGGAGGGAACTCCACTTACGGGTTTCCTGTGGGTGCATCTGGTTGTCCTTTGTGAGAAGAGGACGCAGGACACTGGCCTGATCCAGGAGGACTCTGCTGTGGTTCTCATGTTCCTTCTTCCATTGCAGCTCTCCTGGACCTTCAGGGTGACTTGGACGTGGCTGTCTCAAACGCTGCGGTGGCGGCCAGCGAGGAGCTTTTTAGACGCTGCGGCGGTCGGATCAATCCAAAGATTGTACCCAGCCAACATCTCCTGTCCATGCTAAAAAACAACATGGCAAGGCAGTGAGACCGAGAATTGGCCTGCCCAGAAGGAGGTCTTCAGAAAACGTGGGCAAGCAGGAGCAGTGCTTCTTGCTTTCCTAGTGCCACAAAGAGCAGCTGCAGGGCAGCTGGGTTTCCATTTGAATTGAGAGCACTTGTAGAGAACTTAATGAAGATTCTAGACATTGCTTTCTGTGTGGTCTGCCTTTCTCTCTAGGAATCAACCTTTTCGCTTCAACTTCTCCCTTTCCACATGCCATTGTTTTTATATGATGATTTTCTCTCCCCTGTCCCCTCCATCCAGTGGAGAGCTGATCACACTCAGAAGGGTAGCATCCCTTACACATGCCTTGCATACACAGAGTATACCTAAATTCCTCCAAGAAAAAAAGGAAAGGGAAACCATTGGGGGCTGGGAAGGGGTCTGACACATTCCAGAAGTTTTGAGACAGCTACATGTTTCAATCATTTTCAGTAATATCTGTCAATTTGACTATGCATTGTCAGTCTGCTGCAAATTAAGGTTCAGAATATTCAGGACTCTAAGACCTCTTGATTGATTGATTGATTGATTGAAACAGTTCCTCTTTGAAACACCATTGCGTTTTCCTGGCCAGTTTTAATCTTAACCTCATACCTGTCTGTGCCGCTCAGGAAGCAAGCTGGGATGCAATAGCGGTTTTGGAAATGAAGCAGTGGGAGATGATTTACTTTTTACAGGCGTCCCAGAGGAAGAGGAGGAGAATGCAAAACAGTATTTAATTAACACATTGTCTGAATAGTTAGGAATATAGGAGGAGGAGCTGGTCTGAGATTTTGGACGCAATTACGTAATCAAGCAAAGGCAGGGAAATCACCAGGACCTGATAGCCTGACAGCAAAATATTACAAAAAATACCCCCACAGAATTATCTGGTGCAACCATAGCAAAATGTAATGAATGAAATTCTAAACGTAGGTAAGGTACCAGAGACATTAAAAGAGGCTTTTATTACATTAATCCCGAAGCAAGAGGCAGATTTATTATTGATTAGGAAGTACAGGCAGATCTTGTTATTAAACAACGATTACAAAATATTTGCAAAGAGAATTAATTTATTAGAAATAGTACATCATGATCAAGCAGGATTCCTTCCAGGACTTCAGATGAAGGACAACATAAGGAATATAATTGATGTTATAGAGTACCTGGAAGTGAGAAATGAAAAACAAGTGGCCTTGATGTTCATTGACGCTGAAAGGCATTTGATAATATCTCTTAGACATTTATGAATAAGGTACTAGAAAGATGAAGTTTGGGGAGACATTTAGAAGAGGAATAGATGCTATCTATTCAGAACAACAAGCAAGATTAATTGTGGACTATGTTATTACTGAGAAATGTAAGATCTTGAAATGAACAAGGTAAGGTTGCCCCTTGTCATCATTCTTGTTTATTTTAGTGCTAGAGGTCCTGATGAGGAATATAAGAGCAAAAGAAACCATCAGAGGAATAAAAGTAGGAAATAAAGCATATAAATTGAAAGCATTTGCGGATGACCTTGCAATAACGGTTGAAGACCCAAAAAATTCATTACTGAAAGTATTATGAAATAAACAGGAATTTGGACAGGTATTGGGTTTTAAACCGAATAAAAACAAGACCAAGCTCTTAGTGAAAACTGTTGCGGAGCAGGATAAAAAGGAGTTACAACAGATGAAACAGACAAATATACCTAAAAAGGTTAAATATTTGGGAATAGGTTGACAACTAAGAATGTTAATATATTTAAAGATAATTATGGGGAAACCTGGAAAGAGATAAAAAGGAATTTAGAAATTTGGGGTTCTGGGCAGGCAGTCCCTGCTTCTGAGCCTGGCCTCCCTCGCAGGGCTGTTGTGAGGGGGGAGGAAGCGCCATGCAATGAACAAGAGAGGGAAGAAAGGCTCTTTGCGGCTCCATCCCTCGGCCTTTTCCATGGCAACCAGGGATGCCACCTCCACCTTACCTAGGATGCGGGTCACCCCCAGGGTCAGCTTCTCCAGATGGGGCTTGGTGCTGCTGGAGCTGCTCGCGCTGCGCAGGGCCTTCTCCTCCATCCTCTTCCTCCTCCCTTTCGCATCAGCCCCTGACCACCTGCACACCTGTACGCGCAGGGACAGCAGCAGGTGGGCGTTTTTTGACTCCTCTCGCGACCCGTAGCTCAGAAGCCCCGCCGTGGTGGCTTTTGGGAATCGCAGTCCTCCGTTTCATTGAGTTCCATTCGGCGGCCGTACTGTAGGGGGAAAGGAATGGAGAGCAGGCACTACGACTCCCAGAAGGCAACGGGAGAGCCGGCTCCACCTCCTCCTCCTCCCTTTCTCCCCCACCCCGCTCCGAGTCCTCCCCATTGGCCGGCTCCTCCGACTCCGTATCTGAGCGAAGCCCGTTCCCCGTCAGCCAATGGGAGCCGAGAGTCGGGCGCGGGGGCGTGGCTGGGCGGAGAGACGTTGGGAGTGGCGGTTGCTTCAAGGTATCGGTTGTGGCTGTTCGTTGGAGTGAGGGCCGTCTCTTTACCTCAGGAGGGGCTCGCGGGGGGGGGGGGCGTGGCGGGAGGAGAAGGAAAAGCGGGAGGGGGGGCTAATTTGACGGCGGGTCGATGATAAACGTTGGCCAAGGCTGCCGTGGTTCCTGAGCATGTGCAGAGAGCCGCCTCCGTTGCCTCAGGAAAGACGCCCCGCCGAGCGCGGAGCCAGGCCCGGGGGTTCCGGGGGAAGCCCCCACTCCCAGGACGGGGGGACCTTGGCCTGCCAGCCTCTCTCTCTCTCGCCCCTCGCCCTACTCTGCAGGGCTGTTGTGAGGGGCCGGGGAAGGTCGCTTGAGGCGCCCTGGCGTCCGCAGGGAAAGAGCAGGTTGGAAATGTTGCTGCTTCATGTTCTAGTACAAATGCTGCTGCCAGTATGTTAAATTCCCCTCTAGCTCCTTCCAAGTCTCCATTCAGTGCACAGCGTAGCCACCCTAATGGTCGCGCTGAAGGGAGACTTGAACTCGGGGCTTCCGGCTTCCCCGTCAACTCTGAGCTGCTGCAGCTGAAGTTTTGGTAACTTTGGTGCCTTCCGTCATGGGGAAGACGGGGCTGGTGAAGGGAAGACGTATATTGATTTCATGGCCCTTGAGGCTTCTGTATGTCTTGGGGGACGTGTCCTGTTTATGATATCGTCCGCCTCCATAGCCTCTCCCCTTCACCAAGTGACCCAAGTCTCGTGACCCTGCAAAACAGACCCATAGCCTGTTCGTCACTCCCTCCTAGCGTCCTTTCCATCCTTGGCACCAGAATTAGGCGTCCCACTCGCAGCAGGAAATGGTCCTACTTCTGTATCAAGCTAGAAATGGAGGCTCAGACCTCCAGGCTCCCAGAGGCAAAGTGAGTTGGTTCTTGGAGACTTTGCATCACAGTTCTGCCAAAGAAGGCTATCCTGCACTAGGTAGCTCAGTTGGTTAGAGTGGTGCTGATAATGCCAAGATTGCAGGTTTGATTTTCATAAGTACCACCTTCATCTTCCTGCATTTCAGAGGGCTGGGCTAGATGAACCTTAGGATTCCTTCCAGCTCTGCAGTTCTATGATTCTAACATCTTTAAGGGTCTGGGGGAGGAGCACACATCTTGCATCTCCAGCTTAAAAGAGCTGGATGAGCAACTTACGATAACTCCATTTGGTCATATTCTTGGTGCATGTAACTCTTCCTGCACCACCTTCCTCCAAGGGGGACTTTAGCAGCGACTACTGACCTGCACTGACAACTGACCTGGATCCTGTGCCTTGGATTTCAACCTTTTTATTTGGCTAAGTGCTAGTGCAGTGCACAAGAATAAAATGGCAACAAAGGCAATAGATAGAAATGTGGAGAGAGGAGGAAAAACCAAGCCCATTCAGGTAGGACATCTTTCCTGCTTGTACATTGAAGTTATATAATGACTTGGGTGGAGTCGGGATTGCAGAAGACAGTTCGGAGTGGGGAGGAGCCAATGACAATTTGTCCCAGGTGAGCTTATGAGGCCTTGCTGTCTTACCCTTCTCTCTGATGTGGCCTGCTGACATGGCGGCCTGGGATTGGTACGCTTGGAAGGGGAGGAGCTCCATTTAGTGAGTTCGTAGTGAATTTGCACTTTTTGGGGGGGGGGGGAGTGAGGGAGAGAGAATGAAGCTAACTATATTCTTTGTTTCTCAAGTGGTGGTGGGAGTGTATCCCAACCTCAAAGAAGCCATTATAAATACATCCAAATAATTTGCAGCTAATCCCCAGGGTGCAATTTTATGCATTTCACGTTATTTCCTGAAAATGCACGACCAATATACAGGCCCTTCAGACAGTGTTCAATAAAAAACCCCTCAAAGCTTGCTATTAAACGGCTGGAGTTGGATCCCAGGAAACATGTCTCTTGTCACGCATTCCATTTAAAACTGCAACATTTTCTGGTAGTGAAAAGTCCAAGGGAATGCATATGTGGTTAGTGCAACACGTGCAAAACTGATGCTACAAATTGTCTGTTGGCTTCTTAGAAATAATCCATATCATGACGATTACTCCATTGTCTCTTGAGACAGACAGATGCCAACAGCAACATCAATGGATTGACAACTGAATATTGAAGGTTAAGTTGCAGCCCTAGCTGCAAGGAGAATAGCAAAGAGGGGTCTGGATTATACTCTAAGGCAGGCATGGCCAAATGTGGCCCTCCAGATGTTTTGGGAGTACAGCTCCCATCATCCCTAGCTAACAGGACCAGTGGTCAGGGATGATGAGGACTGTACTCGCAAAATACCTGGAGGGCCAAGTTTGGCCGTGCCTGCCTAAGGTGTCTGGAATGCCTTTCTTCATAACAACACTCAAAATAAATAAGATAAACAACTTGTTCTTAATAAGTATGACAAATAAACATACTGAAATCATGTTCCATTTTATTTGAGGCACTGGATAAATTTAGGATAGCTTCCCCTGCTTCTGTACAGGAACTAAAGAGGCCAGAATCAATGTGAGCTGATAAGATGATGTAAATTTGTGTTGGGCTTGCATTTCAAGGGATCGAACAGATGAATGTTTCCCCACTGTTGGGTTGGATAGAGGCTTGACATCCGAAAGTGAGATCTCTAATCTGATCTGGTAGATGAGAGTAAGTGGGCCCAAGAAGCTAAAATTTATTTCAAAAGTTTAATTTTAAATGTATTGGCAGAAGATAAGTGAATGGATTTTAGTTCATGAAGAATGTGAGCAAAAAGCAAGCAAGCAAGCTGAGATTCTTCTTCAAAGGGCACCATGTTCTGTGAGCCTTCTGTGCCCCTACAGAATTGTGGCATCCATGCCAGCAACTTAGTAATGGCTGCCTTTCTTCCAGACAACCTGATGCCCCTTGGCTGCATGACCATCAACAGCATCTCCTAGCTAAACCAAGTTAGAGCATTGCCCGTCTACACCTTGCCCAATGCCCCCATGCTGGCTGACTTGGAGGACACCGACAATGAAGGAGGTACTGCCCCACCTCACCCCTTTGTCCATGGGAGACCTCAGTTCTCCTCTCCACCTCCCCTGCTACCCCACCAAAAGTTTCCATGACCTTATACACAAGCCCCACCGACGCCCAGCTTCTCAAGCTCTGCCTGGTTTGAGTATTCCTTGCCCTGCACCCGATGAGAATGCCTGCCTGCCTCGCTCAGCCTTTTCTTTCTCCCCAAAGGTAATGGGGGTCAGCTGGAGAAACCTCACTTGTACTTGCGGAGCCTGGAGTTTGAGCTGGACCCGTGCAGAGGGAATGGGAAGGTCTGCCTTGTGTACAAGAACACCAAGCCGGGTATGTTGTGTGATACCAACAGCCCAAGAGCTGTCTTCAGTAATCGACCCCATCTGCAAACCCCAGTTAGCTTTTGTCTTTGTGGGAGATGTTTGGGACTACTGTTCCTAGCACCATAACGTTGTGCTGGCTGAGAGTGATGGGCTTTGTAGTCCAGAACATTTGGAGGGCACCAGGTTGACAAAGGCTGTCATCTATAATGGCCTGTGATGAAGTTTTCCTGAAGAGCAAGCTATGCTTTGTTGCTGTTGTTGTTAATATTATTATTAAAATTTGTATACTGCCCTTCGTCCACAGATCTCAGGGCGGTTCACTACATAAAATTACTATATCTATATATGCATAATAATAAAAAGAAGAAGAAAAGCAAACATCCCCCTCACCCAGCACATTTAGAAAGGTATCGGAGATCACTCAGCCAAGGGCTTGTTGTCTGGACCCAAGTTTGAGAAACACTGCTCTCACCACTATGCCACACCACCTCTACACTGACTGGCTACTGCTCTCCAGAGCTTCAGGTGGCGTGGTGGGGGTCTCTCCCACCCCTCCTTGGAGATATCGGGATTTGCATGCAACTTTAATGCTCTCACCTCTGAATGAACCCTTTTGACCCAGGGCTGAAGTTCTTCCATTCCCTTGCTCTGTTTTGCATCACTCCCACTTTCCCAAAGAGGCATTTGGACACTGACTCTCCAGGATTTGGGGGGCAGCAGCTGTTCTCAGCTCCACTTGGAGATCCCCAGGGATTGAACTCTGCATCCAATGTACACACTCTGACACTGAAGCATGATTCTTCCCTCAGATACACCATGCAACATGAGTTTAGGATATTACCATGCTGTGGTGTGATATCTCTTCTGCAGCTCTATGGCAAGAAAGCCTTGCCAAAGGGTAATAATAATAATTTAGCAGGTCATCCAGGGATTGAATTAGGGATCTTCTCCATCCCAAGCAGACCTTCTGTCCCTGAGCCCGTCTAGCGGGATTCCTGTCTGAGGCCTTCGGTCCCACAGCCAGCAGATAACAAGCCAGGAGCCAGGCCTTGAGACACCCCCACCCTTCCATCACTCACCTTCCTTCTCTGCCGTGTGCAGCCTTTTTTTTTATTGCCAATTTTGATAGTTACCAGACGGACAATTTGACAGACAGGGCTAGGAGCCTGAAGTCCTCTGCGTCAGGTTGGCCTTTGCGTTCCAGAGCCATGCTTGTTTGGGATCCTTTGAGTTCCTTGGTTTACCTTCCTTTTACCCGTCCTGCATCTCCCAACAAGATATTCCCTTCATTTCCTCTGTGCCATGGCAAACTTCATAAACTTCTATCGTGCTGCCTCTTACTTGCCTTTTCTCCTAACCAAAAAGTCCTAGCCTTGGCCACCTTCCTTCATAGGGGATTTACTCCACCCCCTTGATAATTTTGGTTGCCCTTTTCTGAACTTTTTCCAACATCCTTTTCAAGACGAGGGCCCTCAGGCTCCTGGCAGGCAGTTCTGGGTGGCAGGAAGTGCCGTTTCCAGCTCACTTCTTCTCCACAAGGTTCAACATGTACAAGCCCATCCACTGTCAACACGGAGCAGCTCTCTGAGGCCGATTCCTTCGTGAACAGGCTAGACCCAAACAAGATCTTCCTGAGATTGCACAGCAGCACCTTAAAGTCATGTGGGTCTCCCTTGCTGATTCCAGTATCCTTCTGGTGAATATCAGACCCGGAGGCAGGGATAGTCTTCAAACAACGACTAAACCTGCCTCCTCAGTAATGACAGTAATGGTCTGGATTTAGCGTAACTCCTCCTGCTGCCCGTGATAACTGAGATCAGATGTCCCAGGACACCCCACCCCCCGTGGAACATGCCCCAGCCATTCTGTTGGCTGGGGCCCACTCCCAGGCAGCCCTGACCCTCTCCCCTTAAGATCAAAACTATACCTGTCCACAACCCAACACCCACCCACCCCCAATAGAGAAAGAAACACACAAACAAAAGAACATACCAAAAAAGCACAATTTAAAAGGCCACAGATAAAATATAATTTAAAAGCTATTAAAAAGAGGAGCCCTCTCTGCCGAGTAGCAGCCAAAGTCCTTGTGAAGCCTGTCAGCGCTCGCCCCCCCAAGCCAGGTAGAGAGAGGCAGGGCAGGGCAGGGCCCTCAGGCTCCCGGCAGGCAGTCCTGGGTGACAGTGGCAGCAGCAGCAGTCCTTTCTAGGGCCTGTCAGGTCCCCCCAAGCCAGGTGGAGAGAGGCAGGGCAGGGCCCTCAGGCTCCTGGCAGGCAGTCCTGGGTGACAGTGGCAGCAGCAGCAGCTGCAGTCCTTTCTAGGGTCTGTCAGGCCCCCGCAAGCCAGGTGGAGAGAGGCAGAGTAAAACTGCTTTCTGGGTGCAGCCTCCCTTTAGCGCTCTCCTTTGGACAGTGTCAGGCAGTGCATGACACATGGAGTTGCATCCCTGCCTCTCAGCCTCCAGGTTTTCCAGCTGAACTCCCACTTCTGGCTCATGCCCTAAAACCCCCTTTCATCTTAAGAGCGTTGTTTTCAATTGGCTGCTGTCTCCCGATGTTCGGGCCTCGTGCTCCTCAGCAACTCTGTGAGCTCCCTTAAGGTGGCTGGCAGTTTCTGGTTGTATCTTGACACCTGGGGACGGGAGTGGACAGAAAGGCAAACGAGGTGCCAGATTAGTCTTTCTGCTGCCAACCAGTGTAGGCAACCCTGAGATAGCCAGACCATTGGCCTGACTCTCTTTAAGGCAGCTTCCTGCCTATGCTGGTCTGCCCCTGAGAATAAGGCTGCAGCAGAATAAGGGAATCTCCTTTCAACTGGCTCATTGAAAGGCAAAGCGTTGTTAGGTTAATTTGTACACCGCTCCATAATGTGCCCCCTGCCACCAATTTCTTACCGCCAGCGGTTCCTGTAGAATATGGCTTAGTCCTCGCAGGCTGCCCATCTGCATCAGGGGGTTGGGTGCCACCAGCCACTCTTGGAGAGTGTCTACAATGTTCTCTCTGCTGCAGAGGCAGCCAATCTCCCGGTGAAAAAGGAGCTGAGAAAGAAAACACTTGATGGGGTGCAAGGCCAAAGAAAGTGCCATGAAAATCAAAGTTCACTACCCCATACCCTCCAAGTTTGTCCTGATTTTCTAGGGACAGCCCCGGTATTATGAAAGCCAACCGGCTTCTGATTTAATCCCGTAATGTCCCTGTTTTCCCTGCCAGAGCTACCGCCACCGAGCTTGGGGAGGAGGATGAGTGCTTGTCCCCAATGACAGTGGAGGCTGTGAGGAGGCCTCTTGTTGCCCCTCCGTGGCATCTCTGTGGCCACTGCTGCTGGCCTCCTCCCTTGGGCAGCTTGTAGAGCAGCGGTTCTCAACCTGTGGATCCCCAGATTTTGTTGGACTACAACTCCCATCATCCCTGAGCTCTGGCCTTGCTAGCTAGGGATGATGGGAGTTGTAGTCCAGCGACATCTGGGGACCCACAGGTTGAGAAAGGCTGTTGTAGAGGCTGCTGGAAAGCAGGTGAGGAGGAGAAGAGGCTGTGGCCACCAAAGCCCAGCCCTGTGTGCCATGCTGGCTCTGAGGGGCAGGCAGAGGGCAGGGCCCCCCGGGCGGGAAGAAAGGGGGAGCAAAGCGCAAGGAGTTAGTTAATGCACACTGCCCTCAGCTCTTATCTAAGGCCTGTAGAAATTGCTGCCCTAGGCAGAGTGCAGGCCTGCCAGCCATCAATGGTGGCGCAGGAGACCTTCTTACACCCTCTGCTTTCCTTGCCTGCCTGGGTGCAGTTGTTTCAAAGCAGGAGCGCCTGCATGCATTCCCCGTTTCTGACTCTCACCTCCGTGTAGCAAGCCATCCCAATTGCTCTTTCCTTGGTGTCAGGGCGGTGTATGTAGGCACATGCCTGTTTGAAAATTGGTCGTAGGTCCGATTTAGCTCGGCACGGGGACTGACTGAGCGGGCAGCAATGGCTTCCTATTGACTGCAGGATAGGAAGCCATTGCCGCCCGCTCGGTCAGTCCCTGCACGGAGCTAAACCGCCGTGCTGCTCCAGTTCCTCCGCATGGGGACTGACTTCCAGGACGCAGCCACAGCTTCCTATTGGCTGCAGGAAGCTCCTGCAGCCAATAGGAAGCTGTAAACTCTCCCCCCCCCCCCGCTGTGGCTCCGAAAGCCAGCGGGGAAAGAGCGGCGGGCATGGGCGCATGTGCACAAGTGTGCGTGCTCATGTGGGCGATTTGGCCCACCGGCGGAAAAGTTTGCCAACCCCGGGTTTAGTTGGTAGATTATTCTATAGTCCTGTTATAAGAATAATAAACGATCATAAAGTGAGTTATAAAGTCCCTCAAAAAATCCCCTCAAGGTTCGTCTGCTGACATTACATTTGTCGCATCGTTGCATCTATACACTTGTACTGTGTCACTAAGTTTTTACTGAAATTTCACGTATCTGTATTACTGTATCTGTATTTTGTATCTGTTACCTTCTGTATCTTTACTTTTCAATGCTGACAAAAAATTGTGTATTTCTTTATTTGTACCAATGTATCTGCAAAACTTTGATACTAATAAGAAATGTCATAGTTGTCCGTGGCTACACAGTGCCATCTACGAAGTCTACAGTACACACACAGACCAATTCACAAGTTGAATGACTTTATTCAAAACAAGGCTATACAATCACACTTATATATGCAAAGTACCAGAAAACACCCAAAATCCTGTCTTTGTTTCCTCTCTTATGGATCTGCTCCAGGCATCACTCAAAGTCTTCCTGAAAAATCAGAAAAACAAACAATACATAGCCATCAATAAACATGGGAAAAACAGGAATCTGCCTAAATCCTTTTGTATACACTGTCTACACCATAGAAATCAAGTATCCACAAATGCTACCATTAACAACTATTTGTCCTTATGATTTACCTGTAAATCCCTCATGCCGCACCTAGTCTGACATCCTGTTTTTTTCACTTGCTCATTCCTTCTGTATGGAAAATGAAAGGTATAAATGTCTGAGTTTTCTTTTGTTCGGGTTGCTCCTCCGCTGAGCAGGGACCCTGGTGCAACAGATCTTTTCTTTGCAATAAACGATCGGGCTTAATTGCCGCCTTGCTTTAATATTAATTGTTTTTGTCTCTATTTGTTACTCCTGACCGGTAAGAGCCTCAAAACGCACTCTACACGGTGTTCCTTTCCTCTACAAGAATCGGGACTATATTAAAGGGAATTTCCTCTTTTAACAGTCCCAAAAGGTTGACTTGACAATGCAACTCAATATAATATTTATACACAAGAGTACAATTAAAGATGAAAAAGGACCAATCAATTTTTTAAAAAAAGCATTTAACATTTGCAAATCTAACAAATGCCATTTTAAAAAATCAATCCAAAAAACATTCAACCAGTTGTTAAACTGGAACCCTCCTGTGGTTTCCTGCAAATCGTATTCAGAAGCATTGCTGCCTCCAACTATGGATCTAGATTCAGGTAGGTAGCTGTGTTGGTCTGACGCAGCAGAAATAGAAAGAAATAGATTAAAAAATTGTCCAGTAGCACCTTAGAGATCAACTAGGCTTGTTCTTGGTATGAGCTTTCATGTGCATGCGTATCTGAAGAAGTGTGCATGCACACGAAAGCTCATACCAAGAACAAACTAATTGGTCTCTAAGGTGCTATTGGACAATGCTTTTTGTTTTTTATATATATTCCAACTACGGAGGCAGAGCAGAGGCATCAAGAGCAGAGCCACCCTCCATGAATTTGTCCAATCTGATTTTAAAGCCATCCAAGCTAGTGGCCACCTGTGCGTCTTGTGGCAGGGAGTTCCATAGCATAACTGTGGATGCGGCAGTGTTGCTGGGCCTCTGTTTGTGGCTGTGCTACACATAGATAATAGTGACAAAATGTCTTAGAAGACATCTGTGATGGAGAAGGCAAGGGCAAGCTGGTGGCTGTGGCCGGCTGATGCTGATGCCACAGATACAGACACAGGGAGATGAGAAGGCAGATGCTGCAGCCACATACCTTCCAACATTTCTCTGATGAAAACAGGGATGCCCCATTCCATAATGAGAATCTCCGCAGCCAGTTATTTCCTTTCAGCCTAACTGGCCTCGCAAGGTCGTTGTGATGACAAAATGTGGGAGAAGATAATGACGTGCACCATCTTGGGCTCCTCACAGCAAAGGTGGGATATCAATGTAATGAACAAAAATGTCCCAGGGCTACTTATTTTATTGCAAGTTTTCCTCCAAGGAGCCCAGTGTGCAATAGATGGTTCTCTCCCTCCTCATTTAATCACCACAACAACACTGTGAGGTAGGTTAGACTGACAGGCACTGACTGACACCCACCCCCTGCCTGGTCACCTAGTGAACTTCATGGCCAAGTGGGGATTCGAACTCTGGTCTCCAAAGGCTCAGTCAACACTCCAGCCACTGCACCACACTGCCTCTCCTTTGACCTTGCTATGGCATGAAACGCTGCCTGGACCGTCTCATGCTTGGACCTGAACTTCGGGACACTTGCCCCCCCCCCAACTAAGCTACCTTTACTTGGAGGAAGAAACCTGATACTTTCCCCGCTGGATGACTGGCCCTTTCCATAAAGGAGATCTGTATTTTTGTATTAAGGCTGGAACGAAATGATTTTAGGCGTGAACCCTAGGAGAGAGCACCAGAGACTGTTCTGCAGGGAGCCCAGGGGGATGAACTAAATGACCGAACAGGATTTCCCCCATCTTTTACCTTTGATGCTTCAAAGGGCTCCCTTTGTTAACATCATGGGGTTGTGGTCAGAAATTGTTTTTGACTGTATTACCACTATTCTCCACAGTATTTCTTTCAAAATCCATAGCGTATCTATGTTACTGGCAGATTGGTTCGGTTCTGAAAAGTGGGTGAAATCTTTTTTATAGGGACTTCCGGAGGCGGCGCCAGCGATTAATGGCGGATTTCCTCCATCGGGAGGAAATTTCACTGCGAATTAAGGGTCGGATCCCGCTTTCGGCGTAGCGGGGGACCCCTAAAAATCACAGGCGGGAGAAGCCTGTGAGCCTGGGACCCAGCGGGCACATTTGGCGCGCCCCCCAGCCCGGTAGGAAGCCCGGCAACGGGCTTTGAAGCGGAGCGGGGAGAGCGCTGTGCTGTGGGCTGTCTGCTCGTTCGTGGTGTGAAGCCGCAAGCTGTTGATTGGAGAGCGCTGCCTTTCTTCCTTAAAATCCGGACCTGAAAATCAACGATCCGTGAGTAGGATACAATTTAAATTGGAACTGTATAAAACTGGAATCTGGCCGAAAACGGAAAGAGGCTTAAAAAGGAAGTCAGCCTCTTTATTTGTAGATAAAATAAAGCATTGAACTTGAAAGCGGAAGCAATTGGAAAGTACGTTTCAGTGGACTTTAATCCAATCATCTAACCTGGACTTTTCCCTTTGCAAATTGAGGGAAAAGGGGGAGAATTGTGGATGTGATTTCTTCACAAAGGGTGGAAAAGAAGGGATTGAACCACCACTCAACTCCCTGGGAAAGGATCTCCAGATCTCAGGAAAGAAAGAGAGGTACTGTCTTGCAATATATTTTGACAGCTAGTCCAGCACAAGAAATAAAAGTTTGGACAATTTATGTGAATGTATCTCCGGGTCTTAAGTTAAAAATTTTGAATAGACTGTTTTCGTCCTGAATAAACTAGGGGGGCTTGAAAAAAAAAGGAATTAAAGTATCCAAGAACTTTTATGACTGTTACAGTGTCCCCCTAGTGGAACTTGGAACTGTTACAATTTGTTACAATTGAAACTGTAGCAGCTTTGAGGAGTTCTCACACTGCCTGGCTAGGAAATTTCCACTGTTTAACTTCAAATACGTGACTGACCTTGGCGTTATCTAAGGAATGGCAGAGGGGAAAGAGAAAGCGGATGCTTTGACCACAAGATCTGGGAAGATTCTTCGTACAGAAGAAGGATTACAAAGGAGAGCTTCGGCCTCAGGCCCTTCTGGAACCTCATCAACAACCTCATTGGCACAATCAAAGGTAAAAAGTACGACAAGTGAAGAAGCCTTTGCTCAGGTTTTGGCCAAAGTGAATGAATCTTTGAATAAAATAAGTCAACAAGTAGCAGAGGCTTCTGAGAAGATTGACCAAAATACATTAAGTATTAATCAGAATACAGCAAGTATTAACCAGAATACAGCAAGTACTAACCAGAATACAGTAAACATAAATAATTTGGGCCAAAAAGTAAATACCAACACAGAGACTATTCAGAAATTATTAGAGGAATCGGCCTCAATTCGTCAGATTGCTGAAGAGGCTAAAGAAATTGCTACAACTTCTGCTACGGAAGTTAAAGAGGTTCAAGAGGAATTACCAACACTGCATAAACAATTGGAAGACCACAAACTAACTCTGTCTATGATAGATTTGAAGGAGAAGCAAGTGAACCTTCGGGTCAGATCGGTACCTGAGGTGGAAAAGGACAATCTAGCTGAATTTCTCACGCAGGAATTTTTGGACTTTTGGGATCCAGAATTGGTAAAAGACAGTTTCAGAATAGTAAATGCCTTTAGACTTGGGAGAAGAGGAGAGAAGAAGGTGAGAGACTGTCTGATTACTTTTCGAACAAAAGAAGAGAGAGACAAGATTTTGGGCCTACATTTTAAGATGGCACTGGAAATCCAGCGGTCAAGGGTGGAAATATTCAAAGATATTCCGAAATATCTGCTGGATCTCAGATCAAAATATAAAGACTTGGTTACCCTGCTGAGAAGGAACAATATAAATTTCAGGTGGGAACTTCCTCAAGGCCTGTCTTTTAGCTACAAAGGAAAGAAGAGGAAAATAAGATCAGAAGACGACAAAGACAAATTTTGTAGAGACCACGGAGAAGACCTACAAAAAGAACTATTTCCGGAACCAAAAGACCTTTCGAAAGAAGGGATACCACCGACGGATGAGGAACAGGCACTAGGTGCAGTAGGAGGAGAACTAAAACAATAACATCATGGCCCTGCAACTTTTAACATGGAACTGTCGGGGTTTGAATTCCCCTCAGAAAAGGAAGTCAGTATTTCATATATTAAAAAGGAACAATTGGACCTAATTTGTCTACAAGAAACACATATAACAAGATTACACAGGAAATTGTTGATAAACAAAAGACTTGGTCAGGAATTCATTTCGTCAGATAAAGTTAAAAAGAGAGGGGTTGTGATTTATGCAAAAGACAATTTATCACCAAAATTTGTTTTTAAGGATGACCAAGGAAGATTTGTGGCAATTGAAATTCAAACACAAGGAGAAAAATTTTTGATTGTAGGAGTTTACGCACCAAATGATGGGAAATCTGATTTTTTTAAGAAGTTGCATGAGACCTTGATGGACCATATGGATTACAACATGATTTTGATGGGAGATATGAATGGAGTGGTATCTACTTATATGGACAAGGCACAAAGACAGGTAGTCACCAAAGATGGTAGACTACCGAAAACCTTTTTTGACTTGACAGACAACTTGGACTTAGTGGACATTTGGAGAATTAGAAACCCCTTGGCAAAAGAGGGAACCTTCTTTTCTGAAGCCAAAATGACTTGGACAAGAATTGACCAAATTTGGATAACTAGAGGAATGGCACCAAAGACAAGAAAGGTGGAAATCTGCCCGAAAATTTGCTCCGACCATAATGCTGTTAAGATGGAAATGAGACTAACACCAACTGGCTCCTTCAGATGGAAGATGAATGACACCTTATTTAGAGATGGAGAATTTCTCAAGAAGGCCCAAAAAACTTTAAGAGACTATTTCGAGATAAATCTCAGTTCCAACGTGGAGAAAAGAGTAATCTGGGACGCAAGTAAAGCTGTTATGAGAGGGTTCCTAATACAACAGAACGCGATAAAGAAAAAAACTCAAAATGAAAAGAAGGATAAAATTATGAATAAAATGAATGAATGTGAAAAAAGACTGCGAGTAAATCCTAAATCTCAAGAGATTTTGAGAGAGTTAAAGTTACATCAAGTACAATATATGAAAATAATGAATCAGGAAATAGAGTGGAAGATTAAACAAATGAGACAAAAGACTTTTGAATCGGCTAATAAATGTGGTAAATTGTTGGCATGGCAAATGAAAAAGAGACAAAAATTAAATACGATTACGAATCTAGAAGTGGAAGGAAGGAATATACAGAACCCTGCAGAGATTAGAAGTTGTTTCCAGAAGTATTTTAAAAGACTATATACTCAAGGGCCAGTGAAAGAAACAGATTTAGACCAATTTTTGAAAACAAATGGATTACAAAAAATATCTCAAGAAAAGAGACTAATTTTGAACGACAGAATAACTGAACAGGAAATAGAAGGTGCCATTCAAAATATGCAACTGGGTAAATCTCCAGGACCAGACGGCTTGACCTCTACATACTATAGATCTTTAAAAGAATGGTTAATTCAACCATTGAAAGAGGTCTGCAACGAAATTATGGAGGGGAAGAGGGCACCAGAGTCGTGGAAAGAAGCGTATATTACACTTGTACCAAAAACAGAGACTGAAAAGACACAACTTAAGAACTACCGCCCTATATCATTACTTAATGTGGATTATAAAATTTTTGCAGATATTTTGGCGAAGAGATTTAAGAAGGTGTTGTTGGAAGAGATTCATAAAGACCAAGCGGGCTTTCTCCCAGGAAGACATTTGTCTGATAATGTGAGGAATATAATTGATATTCTGGAAAAACTAGAAGTGAATATTAACACTAAAGCAGTATTGATATTTGTAGACGCGGAGAAAGCCTTTGACAATATTTCTTGGAATTTTATGAAGAAGAATCTACAGGGTATGGGGGTAGGCCAAGGTTTTGAGAATGGTATAAGTGCAATTTATTCAGAACAAAAGGCTAAACTAATTGTAAATAATGTTGTTACAGAAGAACTTAAAATTGAAAAAGGGACACGACAAGGTTGCCCAATTTCCCCACTTCTTTTTATTTCGGTCCTGGAGGTTCTGCTGAATATGATCAGAAGGGACCAGATGGTTAAAGGTATCCAGGTCGGAATTAAACATTATAAATTGAGAGCATTTGCAGATGACTTAGTATTGACGTTACAGGAGCCAGAATCTAGTACAAAAAGGGTTTTAGAACTGATTCAAGAATTTGGTCAAGTGGCAGGACTCAAATTGAACAAATCAAAAACCAAGGTTTTAGAGAAAAATTTAACACCGTTTGAAAGAGAGAGGTTTCAGAATGAGACAGGTTTAACAGTGGTCAAGAAAGTTAAATACCTGGGGATTAACATGACAGCAAAAAATGGGAACCTATTTAAGGATAATTATGAAAAATGTTGGTCAGAAGTGAAAAAAGATTTAGAAATTTGGTCAAATTTGAAGCTTTCACTGCTAGGCCGTATTGCAGCGATAAAGATGAATGTATTGCCTAGAATGTTGTTCTTGTTTCAAACTTTGCAGATTGTGGACAAAATGGATTGTTTCAAGAGGTGGCAGAAAGATATCTCTAAATTTGTCTGGCAGGGCAAGAAGCCTAGAATAAAATTTAAAATACTAACAGATGCAAAGGAAAGAGGTGGATTTGCCCTGCCAGACCTTAAACTTTATTATGAATCAGCAGCCTTTTGCTGGTTGAAAGAATGGCTACTTCTTGAAAACACTGACATTTTGGACTTGGAAGGTTTCAATAATGTATTTGGATGGCATGCATATCTATGGTATGATAAGGTCAAAGCACATAAAGCATTTAAAAACCACATTGTCAGGAAAGCGCTATTCAATGTTTGGTTAAGATATAAGGATTTGTTAGAAAACAAAACCCCAAGATGGCTGTCACCAATGGAAGCGAAAGCCTTGAAAAAGGTCAATATGGAGGTCAAATGGCCGAAATATTGGGAAATTTTGGAACAAGACGGAGATAGACTGAAATTGCAGAGTTTTGAAAAACTAAAAACAAAGTGCGAGACTGGCTTCATTATTATCAGATAATGGAGGCATTTAAATTGGACAGGAAAATTGGCTTCCAGGTGGAAAGATCCAAATTAGAAACAGAATTGTTAGAACCCAAAACTAAGAATTTGTCAAGAATGTATAACTTGCTGCTGAAGTGGAATACTCAAGATGAAACGGTAAAATCGGCTATGATTAAATGGGCACAGGACGTTGGACATAACATTATGTTTGCTGACTGGGAACAGTTATGGACCACAGGTATGAAATTTACGGCATGTAATGCCTTAAGAGAGAATATTATGAAAATGATATACAGGTGGTACATAACCCCAGTCAAGCTTGCGAAAATCTATCACTTGCCCGATAACAAATGTTGGAAATGTAAAGAAACTGAAGGTACATTTTTTCACCTTTGGTGGACGTGCCCAAAAATTAAGGCTTTCTGGGAAAAGATATATAATGAATTAAAAAAGGTATTTAAGTATACCTTTCCCAAGAAACCAGAGGCCTTTCTCCTGGGCATAGTGGGCCAAATGGTGTTAAAAAAGTATAGAACTTTCTTTATGTATGCAACAACAGCAGCAAGAATACTCATCGCAAAGTATTGGAAGACACAAGAACTTCCCACGCTGGAGGAATGGCAGATGAAACTTATGGACTATATGGAATTGGCGGAAATGACTGGCAGAATCCGTGACCAGGGAGAAGAGTCGATGGAGGAAGACTGGAAGAAATTCAAAGACTATCTTCAGAAACATTGCAAAATTAAGGAATGTTAGAGTGATGTTGGATTGAAAATAAGTGGTTTCCATCTGTACAGGTTAAAGTTAAGGATAGATTAAGATTAAAGATTAAGATTAAAGATGTTTTAAAGAAATGGAAATTTGATAATAAAAAGGAAAAATTTAAAGCTATATGACATTAAGAGCAAGGATTAGGTTTAAAAAAGTTGAAGTTATATATTTTAACATTTTATTAACATTTTATTAAATTAAAGATTGGGATTAAAAAAGTGGAAAAGAAACTGCTGGACAAATAATGTGGATTGGAATACAAATTGGGGAGGTATGAGGAAGTCCAGAAAATAAGTAATTTAAAATTGGGAATGGAAAAGAGAGTTTGTTTTTAATTGTTATGTTTTGTGATTTTATTGTTAAGTTTTGTATTTTTTTGTGTGTGTGTGTGTTGTTTTTTCTTTTTTCTTTGTTTAAAACCTTAATAAAAAATTATTTAAAAAAAATAAATCTTTTTTATAGGATGCTTAAATCTCCAAGCATCTTTTAAATCAAAGTTTTCACTACTGGGAAAACCATAGCTTTAACTATATGGACCTTTGTTGGCAAGGTGGTCTCTGCTTTTTCAGATGCTGTCTAGGTTTGTCATTGCTTTTCTCCCAAGAAGCAGGCGTCTTTTAATTTTGTGACTGCTGTCACCATCTGCAGTGATTATGGAGCCCAAGAAAGTAAAATCCCTCACTGCCTCCCTTTCTTCCCCTTCTATTTGCCAGGAGGTGATGCGCCCAGTGGCCATGATCTTAGTTTTTTTGATGTTGAGCTTCAGACCATATTTTGCACTCTCCTCTTTCACCTTCATTAAAAGGTTCTTTAATTCCTCCTCACTTTCTGCCATCAAGGTTGTGTCATCTGCATATCTGAGGTTGTTGATATTTCTTCCGGCAATCTTAATTCCGGTTTGGGATTTATCCAGTCCAGCCTTTCGCATGATGAATTCTGCATATGTTAAATAAGCAGGGAGACAATATACAGTCTCAATTTTGAACCAATCAGTACTTCCATATCCAGTTCTAACTGTAGCTTCTTGTCCCACATAGAGATTTCTCAGAAGACAGATGAGGAGATCAGGCACTCCCATTTCTTTAAGAACTTGCCATAGTTTGCTGTGGTCGACACAGTCAAATGCTTTTGGGTGGTCAATGAATCAGTAGTAGATGTTTTTCTGGAACTCTCTAGCTTTCTCCATAATGCAGCACATATTTGGAATTTGGTCTCTGATTCCTCTGCCCCTTCGAAATCCAGCTTGCACTTCTGGGAGTTCTCGGTCCGCCTGCCTTGTAGAATTTTAAGCATAACCTTGCGTGTGAAATGAGCACAATTGTGCGGTAGTTGGAGCAGTCTTTGGCACTGCCCTTCTTTCGGATTGGGATGTAGACTGATCTCCAATCCTCTGGCCACTGCTGAGTTTTCCAAACTTGCTGGCATATTGACCGTAGAACCGTAAAAGCATCATATCTTAAAATTTTAAATAGTTCAGCTGGAATATCATCACTTCCACTGGCTTTGTTATTAGCAGTGCTTTCTAAGGCCCATTTGACTTCACTTTCCAGGATGTATGGCTCAAGGTCAGCAACCAGACTACCTGGGGTGTACGAGACATCCATATCTTTCTGGTATAATTCCTCTGTGTATTCTTGCCACCTCTTCTTGATGTCTTCTGCTTCTGTTAGGTCCTTTCCACTTTTGTCCTTTATTATGGTAATCTTTGTACAAAATGTTCCTTTCATATCTCCAATTTTTTTGAACAGATCTCTGGCTCTCACCATTCTGTTGTTTTCCTCTATTTCTTTGCATTGCTCGTTTAAGAAGGCCTTCTTGTCTCTCCTTGCTATTTTTTGGAAATCTGCATTCAATTTCATGTATCTTTCAATACCTCTCTCACATTTTGCTTGCCTTCTCTCCCCCCCTATTTGTAAGGCCTCGTTGGACAGTCACATCTTTATAGGTACCGTATATGCATTTTAGCAACCACATAATTTAAATATATCTCCTCATAACAAACATGGGAAAGCTCATGAGTTCAATCAACCAACCTGCATCACACACACCTGGAGAAGTGAAGTGGATGGGGGTGTTGGAGGATGGTGTCTAAAATTTCCCTCTCATCCATCATCTCCAAAGTTTCTCTGAATGTTCTTCCTCCCAGCATCTTCTTACCCGTCAACAATTCCCCGAAGTTTTCATCTGAGAGCTCTTGAGAAAGAGAGAGAGAGAGGAGTAAATGAGGTGGACGAGAGGGAAAGGTACCGCATTTTTCTGTGTATAACATGTCCCCGTGTATAAGACGCCCCCTATTTTTGGGTACTCAGTATTTAGAAAATGGGGAGAGATTGCCAAGACTTGTTTTTGGGAGGGGATTGCCCAGAGTTGTTGAGCTTTTTTTTTTTTTTTGGGGGGGTAGCCATTAATCAAATTGCACGCATCAACCAAGTCACCTATCGTCTGCCCGATTGCCACAGCAGCAGCCAATCCACAACAGCCCTTTCCGCAGCAAAGAAATCACTGCTGGAAATCTCCTCCTGGTGGCTACAACCAACCGCCCGTCCCCCCTCAGCACTACCCATGTATAAGAGTAGCCTCTATCACTTTGAAAGGACACCAATCTCGTGGAAAATCTTATCTCTACTGCTGTGATCCAATCTTTAATCAATGCAGCAGCCTCACTCTTGTGTCGGATCGTAAAAATCCATGAGTTTTTCGAAAAATCATCGATCAGCAACAGAACGTGTTTTGATCCACCCAAAGACACTACCTGCATGGGGCCACACAAATCTGCATGGACTAGCTCAAAGGGCCTGCTGGTTTTTCTAGTGGATCTAGGATATGTGCATGTGGTTACCTTAGATTGTTTACAGGCTCTGCAATCTAAGAACTTGTCACATCCCTTAAACTTACACCCCTCAGTATTCTTTGGGGCCTTGTTAACGTAGGACCACCCTGTGTGGGAAAATCTCCTGTGCCAAAGATGTACACAACCATTGTGTGGTGTCATGTTTGCGCATTGCACTTGTGCCTCTTCAGGGGGTTCACAACAGCAACATTAGCAATAGGCATCTCCACCATGAACAGCCTATCTTTGCACTCAGTACTGTATAGCTTCTTCCCATCCCTGAAAAAAGAACACGTTATTTGCAAACTTTACACTGAAGCCATCAGCTACAAGAGCGGACACACTTAAAAGACAGTTGGCGATCTCAGGAACCACAAAAGCTTGGACTTCATGATCTAGAAAAGAACAATACAACATGCCAGTCTCAGTTAACTGTCTCTTCGATCCATCAGCCAATGACACATATCGTCCACTTTTCAGACTTGCAATTTCAAAGAAGTCCACCAGATGGCACTAGAGTGTGAGTCGCTCCATTGTCCACGATAAAAGAGAGAGTGGCTGATTGTTGACATTCCAACATTGCCATGGAAACACTTCCGCCCCCACTAGGGCCTCTGCCAGTGTTCTCATGCTTCGCTGTCTGAGAACCTTCGCTTATTTGCTTTCTCTGCTGGCTGACCTTGCATTCCTGAGCCTCTGCAGAACAGTTCTCATGGCGAAAACAACTCTTGGAGACTTTGGCTTTCACAGAGCTCTTACAGCTGCTGTCTGCACCCCCACTCCTGGGTGCCCAGCTTCCTGAGGAACAGCTTGCCAGTGCTTTCCTCCCAGCTCTCTGCGTCTCTCCCTGTTCATCGCACAGATGTGTTGAAGCATAGGAACAGCTTCCAGGAACGTTGCCTTCAGCCCTCACTGGGCTCCTTTCAGCCCCCACTGGGCTCACAGTCCCCTCTCGGTCTTTGGCTCCCACTGTGGCTACAAACGCCTTCTCCAGTGCCTGCCAAGCGACCCGGGACTCCTTAATGCCCTCTACATGAGGCAAAAGCCAAGCATCCACGCTTGCTTTTAGTATGCCCAGCACCCACTGCTCCTTTTCCAGAGCTGCAGCCACGTCTGCCTCTGTGATGGCCTGAGAATCTGATTCAGAGGCTGAACCTGAAGAATCCCAGCCTGCACAGGAGTCCCCGTCTCCAGGGCCGGCTGAGCCAGGGCAGGGGCTTGAATCTGAAGGGCCCGCATCTGTGCCGGATCCTCAGGAGCAGACACCAGATGAATCCACTCTGGCTCCGGAGGTGATTGAGGACCCATTGCCTGCAGGTGCTCCTCTCCCAGCCCTGTCAGGGGAAGGTGAGGTTGCCTCTGGGTCCAGTAACCCTCCAGCCTCTCCTGAGCTGCAGAGGCTCAGGGCAGAGAGACGGAGGGAACTAAGTTCTCACAGGAGGAGTGCTCACCTTAAGGCCCGGAGAGGCAAGTCACCTGTGGGCCGGGACCGCCCTAGGCCCCAGAGGAGATAAAGGCCAGTCAGCCCAGTCCCAAGTTGTGGGAGCAACATCGCTGGAAACCTGTTGCTGCCAGCACTCTGACCTGCTCTTCCGGAGTTCCTGACCATGCCCGGCTCCTTGCCTTGGACCCCGCTTCGCCCTTGACAGACAGCCTCCAGACCCTCGACCCAGGACTGGACTCGGACCATGGCACACGGTAACCCCTCCAGGACCAGCACAGCCTCACAAGCTTTCTCAGCAGCTTGAGGTAGTGGGGGATGCATGCAAGACCAGAGCTGTTCTCCCAGCAGCCAGTACTTCATTCTGACGGACCACTCATCCCAGTTGGGGCCAGTTAGCTTCCCAAAGGGCACGTTAAAAGCCTCTTGAGCCTGTGCCATCTTCCCCTGGGGCTTATAAGCTTTACTCACGTTTCTGCCAGCCGGTCCCCTGAAGATGCAGTCTGCTGCAAGCTCCTGCTTCACCAGCGAACTCAGGACTGCCCCCTTCTCAGGCAGGAGTTCAAAGCTGGCTTCTTTCCTTGTGGTCTCTTCTCACACCCGGCAAAAGAAACGTTGCTTCCCATAACCTGTGAATAACTGCGTGTCCAGTACACTCCCTCTGTGCAAAACTTCTGCTGTGTTTCTCAGTGCAGGCTTTAGTCAGGAGCTACCTTAAGCAGTATGCAGAGTCGCAGTGTTGCCTCCGTGTGAGAAAGAGTAAGGAAGAGTCCACAAGCTGTTCTCTCTTTAACAGCGTTTACTTACAAGCAATAAATCCATCAGAACTTGGAGGCATTCTCTGTGCCGGAGAACAAAACACGCTCTGTGTCTCAGCGTCTCTCAGCGTAAAAACTGAAAGTAACTCACAAAGAACTGACGCAGCTTCCTGAACGAAGCTCCACCCCCAGATACAGGACACCACTAGGGGTTAACCCTTTAACCACCATACTCCACAAATACCTCATCTTATACATGAAAAAACAGGGCAAGTTCTTTGTCAGGGGGCTTCTTGACTGTTGCGATGAGCAGATGCATGTCGTATCTGAACAGGGATCATAGAACTGTAGCATCTGAAGGGACCTGTGGGGCCACCTAGTCCAATCCTCAGCAATGCAGAAGAGGGGCAGCCACCCAGAAGTCCCTGCTCCATGTTACAAGTCTCTTTAAAAAGGAGGGGTGCGGTGGGTGGGACTTGTGCCCAGAGATCAAGGAAACCAAGAGAGACCCCAGCCTTGTATGACGCAGGCCTTGCCAAGGGGAACCCGAAAGGGATCTGGTTCTGCCTACTCACCTGGGAACGCTGGCCCAGAATCCTTGGGGCTCTTCTTTTTCAGCAGGGGCAAGTGCCGCTGCTGCCTGGAGTCTGGCTTTCTGTTGACCGGCTGAAGGGTGCTGGTCTGGCGCTGTACCAGCTCTGGGAAGACTACTGGCTCCACCTTGTTATTTCGGGCCACAGTGTGAATCTCTGGCCTCCCCAGCACTTATTATTCTTATTAAAAGGGAACACAAATGCCAAACTAAAACTGTATCTTTCGCTCCATAAGACGTGCCTAGTTTTTAGAGGAAAACAAGAAAAAAAAATGTTCTGAACGAAACAGCGGATATATGATTTTTGTGGTTCATGCTGTGGCCACAGACATGTGATTTGACGGTGAGATTGGAGTAGCCCAATGCAAAAATCCTGAGGATCCATGTGGATCTGTGCTTTGTAACCACATTTTTGTGCCATTGTGGCCCCACGCAACAATGGATGCGTGATTTTTTTGGTGCAGGCTGTAGCCATGGACATGCTATAATAATAATAATAATAATAATAATAATAAAAAAAATAAATTGTTATTTATACCCCGCCCTTCCCGGATCAGAAAACCGGGCTCAGGCGGCTAACAACAAAAGTAAAACACTTAATTGATGCAACAAAAAAAAGCATAAAATACTGTATGAAACATGAATAACAATAAATTCAGAATTCAAAAATCAATTTGGGGGAAAATCCATCCAATAAACATTAGATGATCACCAGGGCTAGCTGGCTAAATTAGTCCTACTTGGGCCAGTGAGGAGACCAGGGGAGAATTAGGTGTGGGATCCCAGAGCAGGTAATCTTCATAAAAAGGGGAGAGGGAGGGAAGGAAAGGGAATAAAAGATCAGTTCAAATTGAAAGCAAGGCAGAATAGCTCTGTCTTACAGGCCCTGCGGAAGGAGGTTAAATCCTGCAGGGCCCTGGCCTCATGCGACAGAGCATTCCACCAGGTTGGAGCAATCACTGAGAAGGCCCTGGCCCTGGTAGAGGATAATCTGACTTCCTTAGGGCCTGGGTGGGTGGGGCTTGTGCCCAGAGATAAAAGGAAACCAAGAGAGACACCAGCCTCGTATGATGCAGGCCTTAAAAAGAGGAACCCGAAAGGGATCTGGTTCTGCCTACTCACCTGGGAACACTGGCCCAGAATGCTTTTCGTCTGGTCTGCTGCTGACCCGCTGAACTGTACTGGCCTGGTGCTGTAGTAACTCAGGGAAAACAACTGGCTGGACTTGGTTCTTCCTCCAGGCCTCTGCACGTGCTTGAGGAGGCTTCACCAGCACTGGCAAGAGTTGGTATGTTCTTTGGGCAGCAGGGTCCTGGACGACACTCTCTTGTAAATTAACTGGATAAACTTTTGATGAACTTTTCTTCTTCTTTAAGAAGAAAGCCATCCTGCAAGAGGGGAAATGGCCCGCTGGTTGGTTAGCTCACTTGGAGCCCCTTTGGACATAAGGGCATCTGAAAAGCAACTCAGCAAAAAGAACTCGCCATGAGGTCTGGATAAGTAACTAGCCTGACTCTAGACCCAGGTCTTTTAACGTAACCAGGTCTGCTAGTGACTCTTAGCATCACATCGCAGTCGGCCATAGATGAACGATATTCCACTTTACATCCTTTACTCCAGAAACAGATTCGGAAACGATAAACAGGATTTTCAAGAGGGCAGATGTACCCTGCAAAGGAAGAGATATTAATAGTCTACAACTCATCCCGCACCTCAACATCGGAGGAAGAACAGGTCTTACAGCTAGGATTGGGTTTTGTGGCCAAGCCTCGTTATAATGCCTTTCGCACCACAGCATAAAGTGTGTAAAAGCTCATGTACAATATCAAGCTACGTGATATGTATGGATCTAATGATCAGCCTTTATAGCAATTTAAACCTGAATCTTCCTTCGTTCCACCTAATTCCAACCCATCTATCACACTGTTCCACTAATTGGTGCTCCACGATTTAGACAAACTTGAAAAGAGGGGCATAGGACAATTTAACTGAGTCTCAACATAACTGTTTGAATGACTGAGTCCAGGGTGTCGTACATTGTCCTGGGCAAAGGTGGTTGGGATTCCAGGGTAAATATTAGGCTCAACATCTTCTGGCACCGCAAGTTTTTGCACGCAGTGATCTCTAGGATAAGCCAGTCATGTGTTGCACTGGGACCTATAGCACTGTGTTTAGAGGTAAACCGCAGTTCCCATGATTCTTGGGGGGAGGGGGGTCATGTGCTGTAGTGTTATGGCATGTCCACAGCCACTAACAACAACCAAAGTGAATAGTTTCTGGTGAATTTTCCTTAAATTGTCTTGTCTCAATTTAGTGTTTATCATTGCAAGGTGAGCTAGATACTGCAGTTTTTGGCTGTGGTGACCTGCGGTCAGTTATAATTAGTTAAAGTTGTTTCTGTATGTAACAATAGCAGCTAGGATTCTATATTTGCAGAAATGGGAGTTGGAGTACTGCAACACTGGGACATAGGAAGCTGCCTTATCCTCAACCAGACTGTTGGGCCACCTAGTTCACCATTGTCTCCAGGGTTCAGATGCTCTCCAGGGTTTCAGGTAGGGAAGCTCTCTACCTGCAAATGATGGAGATTGAACCTGGGACTTTCTGCGTGTAATGCAGATGTTCTACCATTAAACTACAATCATTTCCCAACATCTGGAGGGCATCCTTCCTTTGTGGAGTGTGCTAGCCTGCAAACAAGGGGGGGTATTATTAGTTTGTTCTTGTTCTTATTTTTAACTTGTATTTTGTGATTTTCATACTGTGGTTTTATGTGATCCACTCTGAGACCTATGGGTGTAGGGCAGTGTACAAATTTAATAAACAAACAAGCCTTGATGTGCAGCTGGCCCTCTTGTCCGTTATATCACTTCCAACATTTGTCTTTCTCCTATACTTTGCTTGGCCCCGATGGACAGAAACAGGCCTGCAGTATCCAGCTGTTGTCTGACAGCCCTATCATCTCTCCCCCTCAGCATTCTTGTCAGCCTATGTCAAGACTGACCCCTTGCCCTGCTGCATCTATAGCTTTGCACCCGCGGAGCCAGCTCTTTCCAGGTTTGCATCGCTTTTCTTCTTGAGCTGCCTGGCTGCTGCCTGATGTCATCGCTATGTCCGGTTCTCTGCTGCCCTGGATTACATGCCCTGAAAACTCGTGCCTCCTAAACTAACAGCTATCAGAGCGGCAGCATCGAGAGGAAGGGTGCGCTGCACACACGGAGGGTGCTCTTCAAAGCAGGACCCAACAGCAGGTGAGTTTCCCCTGATTCTTCAGTTCATCATTACAGGCCCAATTTAACAGAGGGAGAATAATTGGTGGGGACATGTCCAACACCCCTGAGAGTAGTGCTTCTCAAAGGGGGTGGCAGGGGAGAATGGCAAGTGTGGCAGGAAAAACAACAACATTTAAACATTTCAGTATAGTATAGTATAGTATAGTATAAAAATAATTTTTGAGAATATTGCCAGAAACTGCATGCATGCTTCTTTTCAGGAGCATTGGCTATTATTCTACAGTTCTCCATGACCTGTTGTTGCGAAGAGGGATTTTGAACTCTAACAAATATGTAACATCAGAAAAGAGAAAGCTTTCTTTCTGTTGATAGGCATATGTTTGTCTCAAATTACACCTAATATCAGTAACATTACACAACAAAAGCAAGCTCACACCTCTAACTGAGTTTGTAAACGTACAACCAAACAAAGCTTTCCAAAGATCTCTGAAGGACAAACTTCTAGTAGCAGGGAGTTCCACAGGGCTTGGCTTGTCACACTAAAGGGTACATCCCGAGTGAAGACTAGATGAAACTGGGGGTGCTGGGAACCACCAGAGATTCTCAGTGCTTGAAGAACTAGGAATCAGGAAGGCCCTGAGATAATTTGGGTCCTAGTCGTTGAAGGCTTTTCTTTGATTCGGATTCCAAGAGCCTTCTTCCCCTGGGGGTTCCCCAGCTTGTGCCTCCCACCACTTCTCTGTATCCAGCCGGTCCATGACACCACTGCATTACAGCTTCCATCAGCTCCAAATCTCCCAGAGGTCACTGGTTTTGGGGAAGACGTAATTAGAGGAAGAAAGTCGCTGCACAGCACACGGTGTTTGGAAGCTATCAAGCAGGCAGATCTTAGGTTTCTGCATGGAAAATAGAAGAGGACAGATAGGGGGCCCCACCCTTAGGGAGCCCTTTGAAGCATCAAAGGTAAAAGATGGGGGAAATCCTATTAGGTCATTTAGTTCATCCCCCTGGGCTCCCTGCAAAACAGTCTCCGGTGCTCTATTCTGGGGTTCACGCCTAAAATCATTTAGTTCCAGCCTTAATACGAAAATACAGATCTCCTTTATGGAAATGGCCAGTCATCCAGCGGGGCCTTCCTCCTCCGCACCACTGCCACGGGAGCATTTAACAAGCCGGCAAATTATAAACAGAATAAATTTGGTTCTCCTGAGATCAAAGGGAACACAGGCAGGACGGGGGACGGAGGTTGCACAAAGGTTTCGAGGGATGAGTGAGCGGCAGGTTCTGAAGGGGCCTGAACCAAATCCTAGATCAAACGGGAAATTCTGTCTTAAAAGCCTGGATGTTAGATTAGAAATATCCCAAGGGCAAAACAGAAGATTACACTATTAAAAGAGCCATGTACGCTTTGGAGAAGGCAGTCCTTTAAAAAGAAGAAAAAGTAGCAGGTATTTTTCCTCCAAGCAAAGGTAACTTATTTTGGGGGGCAAGTGTTCTGAAGGTCAGGTCCAAAACATGAGACGGTCCAGGCAGGATTTTATGCCATAGCAAGGTCAAAGGGGGACGCGGGTGGCGCTGTGGGTAAAACCTCAGTGCCTAGGACTTGCCGATCGTATGGTTGGCGGTTCGAATCCCCGCGGCGGGGTGAGCTCCCGTCTTTCGGTCCCAGCTCCTGCCCACCCAGCAGTTCAAAAGCACCCTTAAGTGCAAGTAGATAAATAGGTACCACTTTACAGCGGGAAGGTAAACGGCGTTTGTGTGCTGCGCTGGTGCTGGCTCGCCAGAGCAGCTTCGTCACGCTGGCCACGCAACCCGGAAGTGTCTGCGGATAGCGCTGGCTCCCGGCCTCTTAAGTGAGATGAGCGCACAACCCTAGAGTCGGACACGACTGGCCCGTACGGGCAGGGGTACCTTTACCTTTAAGGTCAAAGGAGAGGCAGTGTGGTGCAGTGGCTGGAGTGTTGGCTGAGACTTGGGAGACCAGAGTTTGAATCCCCACTTGGCCATGAAGTTCACTAGGTGACTGGGGGTGGGTGGGTGTCAGTCAGTGCCTGTCTAACCTACCTCACAGTGGTTGCGGTGATTACGGTAAATGAGGAGGGAGAGAACCATCTATGCCACATTGGGCTCCTTGGAGGTAAACCTGTAATAAAAATGCAATAAAAAAGTAGCCCTGGAGCATTTTTGTTCATTACGTTGATATCCCACCTTTACTCTGAGGAGCCCAAGATGGGGTATGTCATTATCTTCTCCCACATTTTGTCATCACAATGACCCTGCGAGGCAGGCTAGGCTGAGAGGAAATAACTGGCTGCGGAGATTCTCAAGTCCGGAAGAAAGCTAGGTTGATAGCAGAGAGCCACTTTAGGAGGGGGTCCTACTGCAACGGGCCCCGCAAAACAGGAAAGGGTTGCCAAGGGAAAACCAGAAGGAAAAGTCTTGAGGGAATGGAGGTTGGGGAAGGTGGGGGAGGGGAGAAGAATTTACCTCACAGCGTTGTTGTGAGGAAAAATATAGGTCAGCCTGGCCTACCTCACAGGGCTGTTGTGAGGAAAAATATAGGAAAATATAGGTCAGCCTGGCCTCCCTCACAGGGCTGTTGTGAGGAAAAATATAGGAAAATATAGGTCAGCCTGGCCTCCCTCACAGGGCTGTTGTGAGGAAAAATATAGGAAAATATAGGTCAGCCTGGCCTCCCTCACAGGGCTGTTGTGAGGAAAAATATAGGTCAGCCTGGACTCCCTCACAGGGCTGTTGGGAGGGGGAAGCGCCATGCAATGAGCAAGAGAGGGAAGAAAGGCTCTTTGCGGCTCCATCCCTTGGTCGTTTCCATGGCAACCAGGGATGCCAGCTCCACCTCCACCTTACCTAGGATGCGGGTCACCCCCAAGGTGAGCTTCTCCAGGTAGGGCTTGGTGCTGCGGGAGCTGCTCACGCTGCGCGGGGCCTTCTCCTCCATCCTCTGCCTCCTCCCTCCCGCACCAGCCCCTGACCACCTGCACCTGTACACCTGTACGCGCAGCCAAACGGGAGGGAGAGCACTGGATTAGCGTCTTTTGCCTCTTCTCGCATCCCGTAGCTCAGACGCCGCGCCGCGGTGCTTTTTGGGAAACGCCGTCCTCCGTTTCATTGAATTCCTTTCGGCCGCCGTTCTGTAGGGGGGAGGAACGGAGAGCAGGCACTACAACTCCCATAAGGCAATGGGAGAGCCGGCTCCACCTCCTCCTCCTCCTCCCTTTCTCCCACCGCCCGTTCCGAGTCCTCCCCATTGGCCGGCTTCTACGACAGCGCGTCACTTGCGCCGTATCTGGGCAAAGCCCGGGTTCCGTAAGCCAATGGGAGGTCAGAGTCGGGCGTGGGGGGCGTGGCAGGGCGGGGGGACGCTGGGAGTGGCGGTTGTTTCAAGATGGCGGATGTGGCCGCGGGGCCGGGGCCGGAAGCAGCTGCTCGTTGGAGTAAGGACCGTATCCTTCCCTCAGGAGGGGCTCGCGGGGGGGGGGCGTGGCGGGAGGAGAAGGAAAAGCGGGGGGGCGGCGGCTAATTTGACGGCGGGCCGATAATAAACGTTGGCAAAGGCTGCCGTGGTTCCTGAGCATGTGCAGAGAGCCGCCTCCGTTGCCTCAGGAAAGACGCCCCGCCGAGTGCGGAGCCAGGCCCGGGGGTTCCGGGGGAAGCCCCCACTCCCAGGACGGGGTGACCTTGGCCTGCCAGCCTCTCTCTCTCTCCCCTCGCCCTACTCTGCAGGGGTGTTGTGAGGGGCCGGGGAAGGTCGCTTGAGGCGCCCTGGCGTCCGCAGGGAAAGAGCAGGTTGGAAATGTTGCTGCTTCATGTTCTAGTACAAATGCTGCTGCCAGTATGTTAAATTCCCCTCTAGCTCCTTCCAAGTCTCCATTCAGTGCACAGCGTAGCCACCCTAATGGTCGCGCTGAAGGGAGACTTGAACTCGGGGCTTCCCGGCTTCCCCCGTCAACTCTGAGCTGCTGCAGCTGAAGTTTTGGTAACTTTGGTGGCTGCCGTCCTGGGGAAGACGGGGCTGGTGAAGGGAAGACGTATATTGCATGGCCCTTGAGGCTTCTGTATGTCTTGGGGGACGTGTCCTGTCTATGATATCCTCTGCCTCCATAGCCTCTCCCCTTCAGCAAGTGACCCTGCAAAACAGACCCAGAGCCTATTTGTCCCTCCCTCCTAGTGTCCTTTCGATCCTTGGCAGCAGAATTAGGTGTCCCACTTGCAGCAGAAACGACTGATTGTCCCGGCCACCAAATTGTCATACATATAGAGCTGGAAATGGAGGCTCAGACCTCCAGGCTCTCAGAGGCAAAGTGAGTGGTTCTTAGAGACTTTGCATCACAGTTCTGCCAAAGAAGGCTATCCTGCACTAGGTAGCTCAGTTGGTTAGAGCGTGGTGCTGATAATGCCAAGGTTGCAGGTTTGATCCTCATAAGGGCCACCTTCAATTTCCTGCGTTTCAGGGGGCTGGGCTAGATGACCCTTAGGATTTCTTCCAACTCTGCAGTTCTAGGATTCTAACATTTTCAAGGCTTTAACAGTGGGGGGGGGGGGGGTGCACACATCTTGCACCTCCAGCTTAAAAGAGTTAGATGAGCATCTTACGATAACACTATATGGTCACATTCTGAGTGCATGTAACTGATGAGAAAATGAGACTCTAATCTGCTGGGGTGGATGAGATTAAGTGGGCCCAAGAAGCTAGAATCTATTTCAAAAATATAATTTTAAACATATTGGCAGAAGGTAAGTGAATGGATTTTAGTTCATGAACGATGTGAGCTTAAAGATATCAAAGAGAGATCAACAGCATATTGTATGTAAATGAATCATGAGGAAGGGAGCAGCGTACTTTATAAGGAACAGTATATGCAAGTAATTGCATAAACGTGCTATTTTGTTTTCCATGTAATCATTATCTGCATATATTGTTCCTTTCTCTCATTATTCGGATATACTGTCCTCTTCCCCAGAATTCATTTATATATAATCTGTTGTTGATTTCTGTTTGGTATTATAATGCTCACATCTTTTATGAACTAACTTCCATACATAGGTCTTCGGCTGATGTATTTACACTAAATCTTTCCAAATGGATTTTAGTCTCCATTTGGTTGCTCCCCTCTGGCCCACTGAGGCAGAGTAAGAACTTCCTTTCAGCATCTAGAAGAGATGATGTGCAGAGAACAACTTACTGGATGTAACATGCTGCCAATAGTTGGCAGTGGGCTGTTATTAACTTAATTGAATCCACCATGAGTTGATGGGTGACTGCTAAAGATATGCAGTCTGATGGCAATCTGGATGATACAACAGGGAAGGGTCCCAGATTATGGTCTTGACTAGGGTGCAGTTTACCCAGATCTCTCTCCTGATCCCCCAAATACCAGTACCTGCTTATAAGAGCCCCAGATAGCTTTTTAAAAAATGTGTGAGTGTAAAGCTTAGTTTCTCTATGTCCATAATCAGAGTCTGAGGAGCATGCATTGAATGTATAGCCTCCAGGAGTTGCTTTTATAATCAAGGCTAATACAAATAAATGTGGCTCATTATCTCTCTGATTGAGCTAGTCTTTAATAAAAGACAACCTTTTAAATGAGTCTCTTTAAGAGTAATAACAAAGTGGATTTACAGAAATGTCTGCTTTGGTAGTGTCCTGGTCAGTTGTCCGCTGCTTCTGAACTTTCTATTTTGATGCAGAAGATTTTTCAGACTACAGTGGTACCTTGGTTTCCAAACAGTCTGCTTTGTGTACGTTTTGGAATAGAAACACGTCAAACCTGGAAGTGTGTGTCCCAGTTTGCGAACCTTTTTTTTTTTTTGATTACACACAAGGTTTTTTTGGAGGCCCCATTGGCGAAAGCGTGCCTTGGGTTACATCCTGTTTTGGTTTACTAACGGACCTCTGGAATGGATTATGGTTGTAAACCAAGGTACCACTGTATAATATTTTCAGAGTGTAAAATGTAGAATGGAACAAACCTTTTGCCCTTTCTTTCCTTGAATGAAATTGCATTCAGTTTCTGACGAAGAGCAGCCACCTGTCTATGTCCCAGGTATGATCTTTGAATGGTTGCCACATTTAACTTGACTTGTTGGGTAGTGAATTGGGCCAGGACCTGATTCGGATTCACTCTGTGCATACGGCACATGCACTCTTATCTCGGCAACTTTGGAGCAACTGGTTATAAAATAAGATTGGGGTTCTGTTTGTAACTTTGGGGAGAGGGCTAGAAGTAAAAGAGTTCAAATGATAACTTAGGGATACAACTGTTTCAGGTCCTTTAGGGGGGCTGGAAAAATCATGGCGTGCTTTTAGGCAACATCATCTCATTTTCACAGGTTGGCAGCCAGCCTTTAGGTGCTCCTAGAGCTAGAGAAATGGCTTCAAGCTGTCATTTAGCAACATTTGATCTTTAGCTGCTCATATTTACGTGTTTATTTACTTGCAATTGACCTTCTCTTCCATCATGGAGCCCAAGGTAGCGTGCGTGCACATGCGGTTCTCAGGCAGTCTCCCACCCAGCACTAACCAGACCTAGACCTGCTCAGCTTCCAATAGGTCGTGGCATCATGTTCCTTCTGGCCCTACCCTGGGAGTATATAGATCAAACTGTGAATAATTTCATTGTATGCACTGACTTCCTGATGAATTAGAGCTGGGCTCTGAGTTTCATTTGCCTGCCTAGCCAACTCCCAATTGGCCCTTCCTTACTTAGAGGTATCAGAGAAGGTGAGGCAGAGTTTTGTTGGCCTGCTTTGACCTGCTTCTATATTCTGACTGTTTTTACTGAGAAAAGAATGAAAGATTTTCATGGATAATTTCAAGAACTTAACCCAGCTGACAGCAAGTCCAATGTGCTGCTTTGATGATACATATTTTTGTCAGCCCCAGAGACAGTTCCTGTTTGTGTGAAAATGTGTTCTCTGTATTGACCCTTAGAAGTTGAAGTTAGTGCCATGTCAAGAAACATATGTCTCTTGAAGGTAGATGAATTTTCTGTGCCTTAATTTTCTCCATGTTTCATATCCAAGAAGTTCTCTTCTGCAGGCAGATGATTCAGTAGATCAGCCCTGGTTGATCAGCTTGCAGTCTCTTTGTATCGTTCTGATTGCTGCCACCCACCCACTTCTTGGGTGCTGGCTGGGTCCTTCAAAGCCAGAGAGAAGCTTGGCTATGCCAAAGCAGCCATCCCACATTGATATGTAGTGAATTACATACTATAGGGGGACATGGGTGACGCTGTGGGTTAAACCACAGAGCCTACCTAGGACTTGCCGATCAGAAGGTCTGCGGTTTGAATCCCCACGACGGGGTGAGCTCCCGTTACTTGGTCCCAGCTCCTGCCAACCTAGCAGTTAAAAAGCACGTCAAAGTGCAAGTAGATAAATAGGTACTGCTCTGGCGGGAAGGTAAACGGCGTTTCTGTGCGCTGCTCTGGTTCACCAGAAGTGGCTTAGTCATGCTGGCCACATGACCCAGAAGCTGTACGCCGGCTCCCTCGGCCAATAAAGCAAGATGAGTGCCGCAACCCAAAGTCGGCCACGACTGGACCTAATGGTCAGGGGTCCCTTTACATACTGTTTACGTAGTATGTTATAGTATGTTTACATACTATAGGATGTTCCAGCCCCAAATGACAGAAGTAAGGGAACTTTCTCTAATTGCCCTGTGAAGAGTATAGGAACAAGGCAGCAAAAATTAGGCTTGTCCTCCTCTCTACTCCTCTCCCTGGTCTTTGGTTCTGTGTTGTGATTGTCAACTTCATAATTGTAAAAGAAATGGTAGGGAGGAGGAAAAACCAGTTGCTCATGGAATTATAAAACTTTATTAAGTACCTCCAAAGCCATTAAAAATCTGTTTGGTATACAAAATAATTGAGCTTATTCTTATAAATATGTTGAGAATAGTCAGGCAGCTGATGTGATAACTGTGGTCTATATAAAGACTATTAATCTTTGGTCTGTGGTGTAACCATGCAGGACTCTTTGAACCAAGCATTCTTCCCCTGTCTCCTGACGGGAATAGTAAGTCCAAGGTGCAGGGTTCTTGGTGTTGGGCAGGGTTATCCTTGGGCCTTCTCAAGTCTGGGCTGGTTTGTTTTTGTTAATGAAGAGTTTTTCCTTGGGCTGGGCTGATGCTTAAGCTTTTTTGGGGGGTGGGGGAGGGTGCTGTTTTCATTTCCTCTTTTTTGTGGGAAGCTTCAGTGTGGGAGGTGCTTTGTAAGAACAAGTTGGAAGTTTTCCTGACCTTGTCTGTTCAACCTCTAGGAATTTCCACAGAGAGGAATTTTAGAGCAAGACACCTGCTGAAAGGTCAGAAAGTGGAAGTGAAGGCAAAGGTGCCTGCAGCTGCTGCTCCTGCCTCAATGGATGCCTGGAAAAGCGCAGGCCAAGTGCCTGGGCAGCAGGTCAGTACGGAGAAGGGCAAATGAAACCAGAACTCTTGAGGCTGCAATCTGTGGCAGAGGTAACCTGGAAGTCCATTCAACTCAGCAGGACAGAGTAAACCTGTGGAGGATGACAATGTGAAGTTTACTTATTGTTTTATTTATTTATGACATTTATATGCTGCCTTTCTACCAAGGCATCCAGGGCAGTTTACAGTGTTAAAATACTGAAACAAATGAGATATAATGTAAACGTGGTCTTGGATGGTGGCAGCGATGGCAGTCCAATTGGAATCAGACTTTTGATGTTGATGCAGACTGTTTCTGCTTTATTCACACACAGCTGAAAAGTGGCTGTTTGTATCTGGCTTAGAAGCCTTTCCCCTCTTCTTTTTTCGTGCAATCATTGTGGCGTTCAAGGTGCAAAGATAAAGTAATTGTGCAGGCCTTGAAAAATCTTCTTTGTCCAGGCATCTAAAAATTTACTTCAGCATTTGTAACTGTGGCTAGATTAACGCTTGCAAGCCTGGGGCCAGAATGGAGCAAGTAGGACCAGTTCCCGTCACAGTGCCTAAGGATTAAAAGCTTCTTTTAGGGAGTCAGAACTCTGGATACACCTCCGTCATTGCCTGTTCTTGCAGCTGTGTATAGTGTTGTGACAGATGAGCTGCCTTTCAGCATGAACAGGCAGCTGCAAGGGATTTGTCAAAAAGAGGCATGTCTTCTTGCTCCTCTTATTTGGGGCTGGAAGGCAACCGGGGGGGGGGTAGATTGGCTGGCAAGGTGTCCCAGTGCTTCTCTTTGGAGATTTGCTGCCTCCTCCCAGCAGGTCTCTCTTCTCTTCGGGGCAAAGACAAGCTTCTTCAGTGATCAGCTTCCACGTTCTCTGTTGAGAAGCTTCCCTTTATTGGGCCAGACATTGGTTCACCAAGGCTGCTATCTTCCACCAGCAGTGGCTGTCTTGGGCAGTGGTTCTCAAACCTTTTTCTCTGGGCAACACTTTCAGAATAAAAAAATGCTTGCAACACACACACACACACACACACATGTG